AATATTGGTACTGAAGAGACATCGCAATACACGATGGTCCTCCAGGCGTCAAGCCGTGACGGCTCTTAAGAACAACTTATTATCAGTACACAACATTTTAAAGAATATGACTGACAGTAGTGTCTTGGAAATTCCCAGCTGTTGAAAAGGCTGACGATGAATCCCACTGGTTGATTGCTGAAAAATCTTTTTAGAGAGAGTGTTTCGTTGTGTTTAATAGGATTAAAAGTGAAATGGATAAAAGGGCAAACATCTACCATTCGGTTTCATCTGATTTTAATTTTTTATCCGGAAAGTCTAAGTGAGTTTTCTGATTCTCCTCTTAAAAAGTGTGCAGCTGATCTTGGTACTAAGTACGCCAAAGATTTAGATACCTACATTAGAGCTTGTGAACGAAGTAGTTATTAAGCGGCAGAGCAAAGCAATGCAAGCTTTATAGGGGAGTCAATGGTGTCCGTCTGTCCGTGAACACGATAACTGTCAAATGGTTCAAACTTTACACAGTAATAAGCCTATTGAAAATGGGTCAAATCCAATGACCCCGTGGGGTCACGTTTCTCTGTCCCTGCCAAACGCTTGAACCTATTCGGTTGAAACTTTGCACAGTAGACTTATATGCCACATGTAACAAGTCTATTGAAAATGGGTCAAATCCAATGACTCCGTGGGGTCATACCGAGGGGATCTGCCGCTTTTTTAAACGCTCTTTATGGGTTTATTTTCAAGTACCATGCTAAAGAGCTGATAAGCGACATCAATAGGCTTCTCATTTGGACGTCCTAAACAATATTTCTGATTATGACTCGCTTATCCGAATATTGAAATTGCGTTGCGGATATTTTTAACAATGCCTGTCAGTGTGGCCTATTGTGAGCGGTCATTTATCAAGTTAAACATGATAAAAAAACTATTTAAGGTCAAGCTCGAGGTCAAGTATGTCCTAAAACAGGTTGACAAACTAATATAAAATACGAAATACGACATTGCGTCTCAAATCGATTTTAATGACATCATCGACGATTTTGTCCTAGTAAAAGCACGAAAAGTACACTTTTGACTTTCTAACCTTTAAGTATACAGGGTGGTGCACGGTAAGTAGAAACATAGGGATTTAACATGGGAAATTAGTTTTATGCAAAATCCTGCCCTCCTGTACATTTTACAGAAAAAACTGTAGAGTTTAAATTTGTTCAGAATTAAAAGATGCATACAAAACTGTTCGACTACACCAAAATTTCTCGGGAAAACACTTTTTCTTATTAATTTTGGTGTGTAGAATTCAAAACAATTCGTACTTTTTCGATTAGACTTCTCAATCAAAAGTTATAGACTAGAAACCAATTTCGAAAGAAATTTCAAAGGGCTGTAACTTTTGAACCAGTAGCCCAATCTTGGAACTGTTAGAAATTGTGGATTCTACAGGCCACAATCTATAAGAAAATTTTTTTTCCGGTCGATCCGAGACAATTTTTTCTTCGGGGCTCAAAAAAAGGCAGTGTATAACCTTCCTTTTTTACAAAAAATCGACTACACCAAAATTTCTCGGGAAAACACTTTTTCTTATTAATTTTGGTGTGTAGAATCCAAAACAATTCGTACTTTTTCGATTAGACTTCTCAATCAAAAGTTATAGACTAGAAACCAATTTCGAAAGAAATTTCAAAGGGCTGTAACTTTTGAACCAGTAGCCCATTTACATGTTTCATTAAGCTTTTGGTATACCCACAAATTTAAAAATAAGTTTTTACATTTATGTTATTAGTAGCAATAGACATTTGTTGTTTTATGAATTGCCATTAATAACAGAAATGTTGAAATTTATTTTTAAATTTGCGGGTATACCAAAAGCTTAATAAAACATGTAAAAACAGTTTTGAATGCATTTTTTAATTCTGAACAACTTTAAACTCTACAGTTTTTTCTGTAAAATGTACAGGAGGGCAGGATTTTGCATAAAACTAATTTCCCTATGTTCCTACTTACCGTGCACCACCCTGTATATAGTAATCACCCAATTTATAAAACCAAATTGAAGCAATTTGTAATAAAAAACTAACAATATGTTTGATTACTGAATAATTTTTACTTGTCATTTATTGCCCTCAAATATTTAAGTGGCTTTTCGTTTAACCCCCTAGTGTCAGGGGCGGAAATTTTAGGTTTCGCCAAGGGCGCGACCATATCTAGATACGGCTCTGCATGCGAACTAACCTGCATGCAGACTGGAAAGGTCTTAAGATCGCTCGGCGCAAGTATAAGGACCATATTATTCGAAGTTCGAAGATCATGGAGGATCTTTTGTGGTAACACCCTAAATTTCAAAAACTTCATAAGCTCCGTTTGAAAGACCCTGGGTAGACATTTAGGACACTGAGGCTTCCAGTCCAATACGCGCTTATACAGGCCACGGAGACGGCTCGTCACAGCCTCGGGGGAATGTCTGATAGAACCCTGGGAGCGTTTCTAGATATCGAGGGTGCGTTTAACACCACGTTCGATTCCATTAGTGAAGCTGCTGAAGACGTAAATCGTAAGATGGATTTACGCCATGCTCGGAAGTAGGGTCATTGTATCCTCAATCTGGACCACGAAGATGAGTTCCTCGATCACTGGAGGAGGTCCGCAGGGTGTAGTGTTGTTTCCATTGCTGTGGTGCGTGGTGCTAGACACGTTCCTCCACACTTTGAACGAGGACGGAGCGTGTGCACAGGAATCCGCGATCGTCATAACCGGAAAGTTTCCAAACACTGTGAAAGAGCTAATTCAGAGGGGCAGCCTACGTTAACCCGGAAAAGACCGAGGTTGCTCCATTTACGAATAGCGAGGAGAGCGGGTCTTGATGGGCTGTCTTTTCGAGGACGTCAGGGGCCTAGCCAATTCAGTTAAATTTTTGGGAGCCATCATCGATTCCCGCCTAACCTGGAAAGGGCACATTGAGCGAATAAACAAAAAGGCTACTGCGTGACTATGGGCATGTAGGTAGAAGGGCTTTTGGCTGTACATGGGGCTTCAACCCTCGACTGGTATGTTGACTTTACACTGTAGTGATACGGCCAATACGAGTACATGCCATGCGCAAGCAACCTATATGAAGTAACTAGGTAAGGTACAAAGCCTCACCTGTCTGGGAGTCACTGGAGCCATGAAAACCATGCCAACTTTGGCCACTTCTGTCTTTCATACGGTTAAACGATTGGGCCGAGTGAAAGGATCGAGGCAGCCTTGGGCACGGGCGGATCTGGGAGGAAACCCTTAGATCCAATCTCCTCCTCGCAAGAAGGGATGTGATCCAGGCTGTCTTACTGCGAGCGAAGAGTTTTAAAGTCACTCTCCCGGAAAGGGAACAGTTGTTGAACTTAAGATTTTTCGTTTCTTAAACCTTAGGGGCTAGTGTGGTTTACAGACGGGGAACGGGCATGGGTATATAGAGTGATCGCCTGAAGGCTGACATCAGCGTCTCCCTTGGTCAGCAGTCAGGAGAATCTGCGTAGTGATTACCGTAATAAACATACAGTGTGTCCCAGGTAGAACGCACCATAGGGAAACGACAATGTATTGTAACGGAAACGCTCCAGACATGACGTCACCTTTGGCGCTCTGGAATTTTCTACGCGCGTGATAGTGGGATTTGTGTAGGAATATTCGAGACTGTACGCGAATGTTCCTGGACTTACATTGCTTGCGTGTATAAATGGTTGCGGACCGAACATCGCGGCAGTTTACTATCGAACGAGATCGAGTACATATGAAACATCGTGCGCGGAAATATAAATTGCGAAGTGTGTGATATAAATAATCGATATAAATTGTACAGTTTTTATAGTGTTTTAGTTTTGTTTAATAAATATTGATATAAATCGAACCCGAATTTATAAATCACGTTACAGTATTTTTTCGCGAAGGTTCCACGTGGCCTTTGAAATGAGCGTTCAAGGTACTACTCCAATCTCCTTCTAGCATCAAGCAAGCGCAATAACTGTACGTTGAACTTCAAATACACATCATGACCTGCTGGATCCTTTGCGAAAAATTCTGTTTGCCTATGGTACTTTCCCCCTGGGACACATATGCATATGCAGTGACAGTCAGGTGGTGCTGAAGACAGGTTCCGATCGGTTATGGCACTTGATTGCAGGCGAACTCTAGACAGATTAGTCCCTTGAAATAGCCAGTGATGTCTCTTTAATAATGGCAACATTGCACGGTTTCTCATGTTCTACTTTTTGATCGGATTTATGGCTCAGTGGTAGAGCATTGGGTTATAAATCCGGAGGTCGGGTGTTCGAACCTGGGTTGAGGTGAATTTTTCATCTGTGGCGGAGATGAAAATTACCTTAGACCAGTTCCGAGCATTCTACCGGCTACTCCGAATTAGGTTTTCCTGTAATTTTCCTAATTCGTAAGGTAAATACTGGAGTAGTATAGACCAACTTAAGACCTTCTGCAGAGGCACCTCTAAATAGCATTATGCGGGTCACTCTGTAATTGGGCGCATGCCTGTTGAGGGCCCAAAGCAAGAGAGGGATAATAATAATGATAATAATAAACAAATATGCCAAAATGCGTTTTTGATGTCTATTCGAATTCGATAGAAACCCCTTAGTCGATCACTGACATTTATGGTAACGGGTAAGGCGTGCATCTTTACACCACACCACCACAATTTTATAGGAAGACGCCCCTTCCTTATTTTTATTTGACTGTCATAGGGGGGGGGGGGTTCTGTTCAGTTTTGGAATAGCACTTTATCCTTTAAGGAAGAAATGAATCTAGAGGCAGTGGAACTCTTGAAACCAACATCCAACTGTTTAATAGGAACGCCGTTTCGTTCCCAAATTTGTCATCATCGGCAAAAGAAAAAGATCAAATGACATTAGGTAACACGCGCTTTCGCATTACATAGTTGAGATTGTTATTCATTCATCCTCGGATTTATTAAGCGAAAGCGAAAATATTGTAACATTAATTCGGATATAAATAATTGATTTAGTGCAACGGCAACATTGCACGGTTTCTCATGTTCTACTTTTAGATTTACTGTAATTTTTAGATTCAATGTCGATTTAGTAATTGGCCGCGTTATAAAAGTGTAGGTACCTAGTCGCAATTTCATATTTATGCTAGTTTCAGTTTTAGTAATTAATTTTAAAATTAAAACAGTGTAGGTAAGTTATGCAAGAAGTGGATATGATCATTATGATCCATCCTTAGAGATGGCGATACTTCGCGACATTTCTAAATTGGATTAAGTATATTTTGTGTGTTTCTCTAAGATTCAATGCAGGTTTTCCCTATTTGTATTTTATTTTTTATTTTATTTTTACTTTTTTTTAATTTTTTTTAAATTTTTATTTGTATCTTTTTGATCTAAAGTAATAATAGTAAAGTTGCAGAAAAAAACATTACAAAAACCCCACCTAGCACTTTAATTAAAGTACGGTAAATTAAATTTATGCGACTTTTGGAAACGTAGCTCCCAAAAGAAACAATGTTTACTGTTATGTCTGCAGATATTTTTTTTTCTAGATCAAAATGCAGCAATCACGTCAACGGCGACCTCATAAAAAACAAGATCCACAAATAGAAGATTTAAGGGAAAAATTGAACAGAATGAGAGTGGAACGATCGAATTCTGACCAAGGTAGTAAGTATATGCTACATTAAATAACCATACGCATAATAAGTCTTTTAGAGGAAATTAAGAAAGCACCTCCACGTGATCCACCCTACAATTTTTTAAAAGATCCCCTCCGCGATGATCCAAAACCAAAAAGACCGCAGGCTAAAAACCCGCCGAAACCAAAGCCAAATCTACAACCAAAGGATGTTAACACTTCGCCTCGTCCTACTCAAGAAAGGCATTATAGATCTGTTAGGGAAGTACAGGAGTTTTTGAAGAAACCGATAAACGTTAACGTGGAAGTGTCGACGGAATCGGGCCAACGAAAATGTGTCCTAGATGAAACCAAGGTTGTAGAAATTTCTTTTACAAATAAACAGTATCCAAAAAGACCGCAGTTTCGACGACAACCTGGCGACTTTCACAAATACCACGGTGATGACAGTAAAACGACAAAATCGGAGGGCGACAAACGAAATTGAAACTATGGAACAAGAACAAAATATATTTTATATTACGATAACTTAGTACAGAGTTTTATTCACCCATGTCCATGCTTTTTCAATTTTTTTGACAAGCTCTTCATTGACAATCTTGTTCTGAAAAGGAGGATGTTAAAACTGTGGGCGTTCAAGTGAAAAAATGGAAACCTTCTTCGTCTGTTTGTAACACAGCTCGGCTTCGCTGTATCGGGCCAGTTCCAAATTTATAAGGGCCAAGTAACCCCAAACTTCAGGCAAACGGTTATCGCAAACGTTCGCTTGCAAAAGGCACTGTTCAGCGCTGATTAGGTCCTTTTGGGAGTAGTAAATCAGACCGACGCCCAGCCACGTGTAGGGTGTAGGACTATATTTGCACGCCGACAGAAGCATCTTCTTCGCGAATTGCTTGTCGCCGGTTCTTTCGCTGATTAGTGCTAGATACACGAACACCAGGTGGATGTCGTCCGGTCTGTCGAACGACTCCAACACGCCCATATACTCGTTTTTTGCGTCCGCCAATTTGTCCAGGGCTAAGTAGCAGTGGCCGGCAAGCGCATTGACTGCATAATCCTATAACCGTTAAATTTTACGCCTGCTTTTGTTAGTCTAATGATTTTTCCTCTACGGCTAATCAACTGCATCTCGCTATTGATTTTCCCCCCTCCTAATTACCGGAATATTTTTAAAACGGCGATACCTAATTTTTATTGGTTAGAAACTTTTATTCAACCAATCTCGAGTTAATCGTTTTAAGAATTGCTGACTGATTTTTTGTTGTGCTGATCTAAGAAACTGTAACGTTAGTTATACCTACCAGTATTAAACACTTTGTAATTTAAACCCTCACCCCCCCACTCCCTGACGCGACTGACGATTAGAGACAATTAAAAGAACAAGGAAACATTGAGACCTGAATGATGCAGAAACGACGGACTTAATTTACAACACGGTTTAAAAGTTTATTAGTGAGTTTCCATCACGGTGGAATTTTTAAAATTTGACACCCCACAACTTCCCACAATATTCAAAAACCAAAACGGATCTACCCGTAAACTCAAAATCTGACATATTTGCAACGAAATTTCGAGAATAGTTATTTGTACTAGTTTTGAAAGTTATACTTTTTTTCAAGAATTTGCAGTTTGATTAATGAGGGCGAACATTCTTCAACTGTTTTTCATTCAATTACTTATCTTAATTTTCGGTATTAGTCACTAATTGTTGCCTACCCGAATCTCCGTAAGTATGGCAAAGTTTACACTTGAACCGAAACGTACCGGTTCTTTGGAACTAATAATAACGGTACCCGTACCGGTTCCGGTCTTGAACAACGGTTGCGGTTTCAAGTAAGGGGCCTGGAAATGCAATCCGTTCCGGTTCCCGTACTGGTATGAAGTGGAGAAAAGAGCGTGAAACAAAGACGTTAAGGATGGGTGCATAAGTGAGGCACCATCTTAAAGGAGACAACATTAAGGAGACGAGATGGATGTATGACGGAGATGTGATAAAAAGAGGAGATGGTGCATAAAAGACACGTGACTAAAAGAAATGCCGAGTTGCGAAAAAGAGCACCAATACCATGAATGCGTTAACAAAATAGGCGAGAGGAAGATAACATGAAAAAAACCTGATGAACGTGAAGGATCGAGGTACGAATGAAAGACTCCTTATCGCAAACGACCAGATGTGTCTTACTTCTACACCTTAAATTGAATAAATAACAAAAGCGATAAAAATTTAAACTATTAACAAAGTTTCTAAAAGGAGAAACAATAGTGAGATACAAACTCAAATGAAACGAACTGTTGTGTTTATTAAAATATTCTCATATACATCCTGTATATTAGAATATTTTAATTCCGTCATTATTTTTGGTGTTTAAACCGAAATACCGTCTACATGACGCTACGCTCTCTTCTGGCAGTAGAATATCATCTTTTTGGGTACGACTTATTTTAATTCAACTTACAGGTCCATGTAGCTGTTCCGCTTCCTTCGCATGAACTAGGGCGTGCTCGTAATTCTTGCGATAATACTGAATGACTCCTAGTAAATAGTGGTAGACTCCCCGATTGCCGTTCTTGGTATGTGTCAAAGATTTTTCTGCGAACTGAATTGATTATTAAATAACCAGGACCAGGAGTCCAGGTGTTACCTCAAAGAAATACATTTTAATTAAAAGCGCCGCGGTCCTGAAAAATAACTCATTTGGACAAATGGATGTAGTCCAGATTAAGTTATCGCGGTTAGTAAAGTAGTCGTTGGACTTAGGGGTGTTCATATACTTATGAGCCATTTCTAAGCATAAATCTGCTCCTTCCGAGTTTCCAATGTGAGAATAAAATAAATGCATTGTAACCCAACCTAATTACAATAAAAGTTTACAATCGACAATCTAATAAAAAAACAGACGTTACTATACTCTCTAGGTACTACAGAACCTTCACAATGTTTCTTCTATATACCCATTCGTTTTAAATTGATGTCTTCCTAGAGGCATATTTCAGGCATTCAACGCGTGAGACTGTAGATAAAGGAAAAATTTGGAAGAATAAGAGCCGGGAGGTCGAGTGTTCGAACCTGGGCTGAGGTGGGAATTTTTCATCCGTGGCAGAGATGGGAATTTCCTTAGATCAGTTTCGAGCATTCTGCCGCCTACTCCGAATTGCATTTTCCTGCAGTTTTCCTAATTCGTAAGGTAAATACCGGAGTAGTATAGAACAACTTAAGATCTTCTGCAGGGACACCTCTGAAAAGTACTGTCGAGGGCCCAGAACAAGGGAAGGACAATAAATAAAATAAATAAAATAAATAAAATAAATAAAATAAATAAAATAAATAAAATAAATAAAATAAATAAAATAAATAAAATAAATAAAATAAGTAAAATAAATAAATAAAATAAATAAAATTAAAAATACCGAAGCCAAAGCAACAATATTCCAATTTATGAATGTGACAGCCAGATATTTATTTGTTTTAAGAAGTTATTTTGGTTGCATAAATTGATACGTCCTTCACAAGAGATTTTGTCATTTGAAAGTAGACATAGGGAAAAATAATACACATAAACCCCTACGTTTACACTGTATATGACATGAAATAGATGTAGCATCTTTCGTTTCAGGTTTAAAAACTCTTTTACCGTATTTTTTTATCCAACCTCGTACAATATGGAATAGCTTACTGAATAGATTTTGATGAGTAGGAAATCTTAACCTTGATTGTAGGGAAATTGTCAAGAAATAGAACGACATCCTGAAGAACTTGGGGAAAATAGAAAAGAAGCCATTGGAAAATAAAAGGCCAATTTTAAGGAAATATTAACATACAATAAAATGGGGGGCACATAAGTCAATTTAAAAAAATTTGAGAAAATTAGACTTAAACTCTGGCGATATAGAAGGAACGCGATTACTGTTACTTGCAATGATTAGAAATTGGCGTCTTTTAGAATATCGATTCAAAATGAGCATCCCTTTCATACCGTGTGCGTACCTACTCGTATATCTTGTACTTACCTTCCAACCACGTAGGATGGAAGAACATTGCCGTTAGGAAACAAGTTTCTGCTTCTTCTTTTTTATTTCTGCCACAAAGAAGAAGGGCAAACATCAAGAGACTAAAAAAGGATGCAATCATGGAATCTTTCTGTACAAAAATGTTACCTACCTATATTTAAATTTCTCATTCTCCAACAAGCTACGCCTCACGCACTCGAACGCCTTTTCTTCGTCTCCGGTTTTCAAATAAAAAACGGCGTAATCAAACCACGACGTGGCCTTCTTCTTGGCCTGGCAGACCCTCTACAAGGAGGACGTTAGACGAAAGATGAACCGCTTCATTTACCTCCAGGAAGTATCGGTCGGCGAGTAAAATCGCGCCAATTTCACACGCTTCCTCCCCGTATAAAAGGAAGAGATCCTCCTCCTTTGGCATGATAGTCGTTGCTTTGGGTTCGACGCCGGACTTGCTGAGTAGATTTATCATATCGTGCGATTCTTTGGTGAGCGAAGAAAAAACTTCCCCAATGTAATTCTGCGGCAGTTTTATGAGAAACGGATCCTTCAGGACCCGTGTGAAGTTGACAATAAATAATATTTGCATATTTTTTACGAATTTTCGCTAGTTAATTAGTTCGTTATGGTCTTTCCTGCACAATTTACCAAAAATCATTTTTTTTCAATCTTCATAATTTTCAACTTTTGCCATGTGTCCATATACACGTGTGGCATTTTGATCCTCAAAAATTCAAACACGAAGCTTGCTCAGTTTAAGAGAGCTTCATTTTAGGCCACGGAAAAACAATAAATCCTGATCTAAACCACAATTTGATTGAGAAAACGGTTAAATGGTGTAATAAGGAACAATAAAATTGGCCATGGATATTATATGGGGTGTAGCCCTATTTTTGGTCCGATTTTTCTGCAATTTTAAGAGAAGGTAAGTACTGCAAAAAAAATCAAAATGAAATCACTTGTTAATAAAGTTATTCCGGCCTTTTTTTCCTAAATTTTAAATGGATGCTGTTTTTAAAACTGAACGACGCGTCAAAAAATGGATTGCGCATGAGCATTTGTTATTTATGGACGAACTTTCTCAAAAAATAAACACACATAAAAAAATAAATACTCGCAGACTAAAAGACGCAAGCAAATTATTGCGCATGCGCAAACTTACATTTCTTGTTTCTAACCCAATTCTTCCAAAACCCAGCAAATTCCAGTCAAAAAATAAATTGCGCATGCGCTTTTGTCTGAAACTAACTAGAGATGTCCCCTACAAATCAAATTAAAAAAACACGTCAACTAGTATAGACGTGGTCAATCGACAAAAGCGCATTTTTCCCACACAGAATCAGTAATAACTCGGGAAGGAACTGGCTCATCCAAAAACTCTTTTGTCGTTCTGGTCTCGGGACTGTACTACACCGAACAAGAAAGAAACCATAACGAAAAATCTTAAACTGGAAGACTAGTAGTGGTACAGACGGACGGACAAAATGCGGACATCAGCATTCATTTTTCTATTGGAAAATGCGATTCTTTTTTTCGGAAAACAGACTATTCATGTGGAAATGCGCTTTTTTAAATATGTAGTGCATCAATTTTAAGGGGAATTTTACGAGGAACACGAGGAGCACGTAAAAGTGCTCGAACGGTTTATCGCGAGCGCTCGGGAAAAGTACTTTTTCCGCTTGGAGCGCTTTTTCGAGCGAAACGCTCGCGAGCACTACCCAGCTCTGCTAGTGACGAGATTTGGGTGCACCAGTAGGACCCAGAAATCAACTTGGAATCCAGACAACGGATCCACCAAGGTTCTCCTCTAAACAGAAGGCTGTTGAGGACTTTTTGCAGACAATGAAGGCATGTTTTATTCAACGGTATTAGACAAATAGAAGACTATACTGCATTCATTATAAGAAGGTAGTAGATGGCGCTGTGTTTGAAGATAAACACACATAGGAAAAATATAAAACAGCACCAAATTATTGTAAAGTAGAAATATTCAGCACTGCGAACAGAAATAAACCTTTGACAATAACAGCTAATGACCACCTTACAAAATTCACCAGTCGTTTTATGTTTCATTGTAATACTAGTAGTAATATATGGCAGATTCTAAATCTCACTAGCCGAAAATCCCTACAAAAGTCACTAGAATTGAGTGGTTCTGAACTGCGGTAGCGAGGTTTGCGCCTGTGCTAACGTCAAGGGGTCGAGGTTTGCGCTCCAGATAAAGTATCGGAGGTTTGCGCCTGTGCTAACGTCAAGGTCAAGGGGTCGAGGTTTGCGCTCCAGATAAAGTATCGGAGGTTTGCGCCTGTGCTAACGTCAAGGTCAAGGAGGTCGAGGTTTGCGCTCAAGATAAAGTATCGGAGGTTTGCGTCCGAGCTAAAGTAATTTGGTTTGCGCCTGAGCCGAGGGGTCTTGTCGATGGTAGTGTACGGCCGATTCTAAATCACACTATATTCTAAATATGACTGGTGGTGGGGATTGACGCTTATATAAGCCTCTATATGTTCGTTACAAGGTGTACATGTATTAAAGATGTCGTGGATGGTATATGCTGAGGAATCATGGACCAAATCTGTCGATTTCGTGACGGCCGTGAGACGCCTTAAGCAGCACGTCAAGGTCAAGGGGGTCGAGGTTTGCGCTCGAGATAAATTATCGGAGGTTTGCGTCCGAGCTAAAGTAATTTGGTTTGCGCCTGAGTCGAGAGTAATATATGACCGATTCTAAATCTCACTAGATGAAAATCCCTAGAAAAGTCACTAGAATTGAGTGGTTCTGAACTGTGGTAGCGAGGTTTGCGCCTGTGCTAACGTCAAGGTCAAGGGGGTCGAGGTTTGCGCTCCAGATAAAGTATCGGAGGTTTGCGTCCGAGCTAAAGTAATTTGGTTTGGTTTGACTCATGTTTTAACCAATCACAGTGAGGGTCAAAGCTACCCTATGCTTTCTACCCGCTACCTTCTTAAAATGAATACAGTATACATTGAAAAATAAAATAATCAAAACAGTCGTATGCCTTTTGTTTCATGCTAAGGTAGATTTCTTTTCTAATGTCCCTCGTAGTACGTGCCTATTTTAATACCATTCGTATGCATATTGTTGCACATTTATTGCTAACTTCGCTAGAAATACGCAAAATCTATTATTGGCTGGTTATTGCTAACGTTACACGGGTCGCTTTAACAGCTCGTCGTACCTGATAATCTTTATTATTGGGATTGGTTTCCTCAACGTACGGAAATTTCTCCTTAATTGCCACACATGCGATTTTCGTAAACGACGATAGATACGTTTGATAAATGCCATTCTTTTGCAGAAAGGTCAGGAAGGCGTTTTTGGTATCGCGTATGCCAAATTGCACACCTATTGGTGAATTCTCACATTTGCGTGCAAGCGCAGGTACCTACTTACAAGGGCAGGCCGCCATATCCACCAGAAATTTATCATGCTGACTCAAAATATCTTCCGTTAATTGCTTAATCCCATCTCTGTATTGCTTAACAGCCAAACGCGCAGATATGACATGCTTGGAGAGCATGGGGCGTGGTGGTAATAAATTTATCAAACTGAAATGAACATTGAACACGAAACAAATTATCTGATATTTACTCGACGGTCAGATCTTCAATTGGTCTTTGCATTTCCAGCGGCTTCTGTAGTTCGATTTCAACCACAATAAACGTCCTTTCACCTTGTTGATTACCGTAAACGAGAACGCTCGGTGGTTCTTCGACCACTACAGGTGAAGGGAGCAGCTAAAATAATGGCCTTTAATTATGGTTTCACAGAACCCAACTGACCTGTTTTAAATCCTGTACTTTTGAACTGGCCCCCTTGTCACTTTTCGAAGCTTTGGACTTATCGTCTTTCGCTTTCCCGCCCTTCTTATCCACCACGGGCGTCGCACATTTTCCAACATTAACATCCGGCGCAAAGTACGACGATTGAAGTCCGGTCCTCTGTAATATTTCCTTCTTGTGAAAAGTGCGCAGGCCGCAGGAAGCGCGACATCTCGACACTAAAATTCTGAATCAGTCGAAGACAATCGTATAAAGAACTACCCCCAGGATAAAGTAATGTGGATAAGTCTACGTTCGCCATCAAATGTAAGGAGTTTGCGGCATCCTTAGGCATGCCGGGCCTGGAGATGAAGACTTCGAGGGGCAGATGGCGGTAGTCTTTCAAATTTTTCCGGAACAATCGCGAGGCTTGCTCCATGAGGTAATTTCTCTTTATGACGTTGAACTCCACCCTGGGATCACTACCAGGATTAGCTACTTTTTCCAAATTTGCGTTTATCTTGTTATGGATCGTATCAACTGTATCAGCCATTCTAAAGGATAAGGTTAAAGTTTTCAGTAAAGGCACTAGCTAACCTGTAGCAAGTCTCTCTATTGACTTCGGGATCGTGCCCTTTGGGCCATAGCTTCATATTGCACATATTTGTACCAGTTTTCCACGTACCACCATGAATTACAACATGTTCCTGTTCCTGTACGCACTGGCCATGAGCAAAATTAGAGAATAATGAAATTGAAACTGACCGAATGCGCGTTTGGTATATTAACACTGACTGAGTAGTCCATATCGGCAGACATTACATTAGGAAGATTGTAAATGGACTCAATTGTTACACTAAGAATGTTCGTGTACTTTCGAGGAAGCCAACCATCTCCTTCTATATTTACTTCAACCATTAAACACGGCATCAGATTCACGGGAACCATATCATCGTCATAAGGCTGTTCACTTTTATGAATTAGCAAGCTTTGGGTAAATATTTCCCTGCCTGTAATACAAGCGTAGTCAAAAGTTCGCGAGGCTTTCAAGCTCACCTTGAAATAGTGGCAAAAAGTCTAACTGTGCACTTCCTAACAGAATTGGTCCAGCTGGGAATGGGGTCTCAGATTTTTCACTTTTACTGCCTGGAAATATATGGCAATTTACGCCTCCGCCACTAGAATAATTACCTCTAGGTGATTGGTAACATTCAGGTGTAACAAAAGCGCTCCTATCGAAGGTCCTTTTCGCAAACACCTCTATCAAATTAATGGTGGTTTCGGACGATGTCGCCAAAGCGTCTTGCGATAAACGCGCAGGAAGTTGGTCCATTATTTTTTTATCTCCCCTACCGGGGTGTTCATAAACTTTAACTGGAAAGACAAACTGTTAGTACGAGAGAAGCGTGAATTTCAATTAAGGACATTGTAGCGGGTTAGAGATCAGATCATCCAAACTCTTCGCGGAGTTCACGTCGCACGGTATGACAAAATCAAAACTTGTGGCACAGTACTCGTCGTCGGTTAAAGCGGCTTTTGTAGAAGTGCCCAAATCCGTGCCCAAGAAGTGGGCCTGCACGTTTACGTCGGCAATTGAATACGTTGGCACCTGCGGGGAGGTATGTGCAATTGAATCTTTTAAAAGGTCGATTTGCGGTACTCACGATGCCTTTGTAACCACACAAAGTGATTCGTACGTGTTTTATATCGCTCATTGTGCGAATTACTAGAAATAGCTAAAAAATTGCTTCAGATTGTCACTGACAACAATTATTGCAATGCTTACTTCAAAATTACTTCATTGTCTCTATAGTCTAGTAATCTAGCATGTCTGATTGCATGAAAATGCGTGATCTTGTTATTGTACACAGAATTCGGTTATGCTAAGTTATTTTCAGTACAAGTGAGCAATGGCATTGCTTACTCTTGAGCTCTACATTTGAACACACAACCGAGCATCTACAGCGAGAGAGAGTACAAGCGCCGTTGTTCATGCGTGCTAAACATAAAATTATTCCACAATCATATTCATTATTTACGTATTTCAAGCTTATTTCTTTTCATTTAACATTTATTAATTGAATTGAATTGAATACATAATAATTTGCACGTAGCCTTTAATATAATTCACAAACCTTGAATATGTTCTATTTGCCTCGAAATAAATGCATAAGTACAGACACTGCGGTGCGTGACTATATGAATTTTTTAATATTACGCATCATTGCGAAATTTTTGGCATAATTTTACGCGAACAGTTACTTACTATCTCAGTTGTTGTAGAAAATTTAACAATTAGAACCAAACTTACCTCAACAACCATGGTATAAAAATATCTCCAGCAGGCCTTTTATTGCAACCATTTGTCGATTGAGAGCCAATCATGGCAGATTCCCTACACATCTACATAAAATAAAATTAGCAGACACTCCAATATGTTTGTGTGGTAGTGAAGGTTCAATGCAACACCTTATGTTGGAGTGTAGCAATCACTCGACTTTTAGAAATGAATTCTACACAAATCTACAAAAATGTAATGTCACTTTCCCTACAACATTGTTTCTTCTTTTAGAATCCAAAAATATTTCGATATATTTATACATATACCAGTTTCTACAACAAAATAAAATTGAAATTTGAAATTTAATAGAAATCTTACTTATAAACTAGGCTGGCTTATTGGTACCGCCAAAGCCAAAAACACAAAAAAAAAGTCGCAGAAAAGTGTTACCGGTTTTCATTTTGAGTGTCAGTTTCAAACCAAGGACGTCGCTGCTATTTATTTTTTACCAATCGTGTGTTTAAGAACGCGCTGTTAAGAAACGCTCTGTGATTAAATTGGTGAAGAAGTGAAGTTGTTTAATATTTGTAATAAGATCATTCGTTTGCAAGTGATAAAAATTTACATAAGGGAACATTTTCGAATTGCAAATACGCGAAAAAGTGTTTTCTCGAGAAATTTTGGTGCAATCGATTTTTGGTAAAAAAGGAAGGTTATACACTGCCTTTTTTTGAGGCCCGTCTAAAAAATTGTCTCAGATCGACTCGGAAAAAATCTTCTTATAGAATGTGGCCTGTAGAATCCATAATTTCAAACAGTTCCAGAAATGTAAAAACTTATTTTTAAATTTTTGGGTATACCAAAAGGTTAATAAAACATGTAAATGGGCTACTGGTTCAAAAGTTACAGCCCTTTGAATTTTCTTTCGGAATTGGTTTCTAGTCTATAACTTTTGATTGAGAAGTCTAATCCAAAAAGTACGAATTGTTTTGGATTCTACGCACCAAAATTAATAAGAAAAAGTGTTTTCCTGAGAAATTTTGGTGTAGTCGATTTTTCGTAAAAAAGGAAGGTTATACACTGCCTTTTTTTGAGCCCCGAAAAAAAATTGTCTCAGATCGACCCGGAAAAAGAATTTTCTTATAGAATGTGGCCTGTAGAATTCATAATTTCAAACAGTTCCAAGATTGGGCTACTAGTTCAAAAGTTACAGCCCTTTGAATTTTCTTTCGAAATTGGTTTCTAGTCTATAACTTTTGATTGAGAAGTCTGATCGAAAAAGTACGAATTGTTTTGGATTCTACGCACCAAAATTAATAAGAAAAAGTGTTTTCCCGAGAAATTTTGGTGCAGTCGATTTTTGGTAAAAAAGGAAGGTTATACACTGCCTTTTTTTGAGACCCGAAAAAAAAATTGTCTCAGATCGACCCGGAAAAAAAATTTTCTTATAGAATGTGGCCTGTAGAATCCATAATTTCAAACAGTTCCAAGATTGGGCTACTAGTTCAAAAGTTACAGCCCTTTGAATTTTCTTTCAAAATTGGTTTCTAGTCTATAACTTTTGATTGAGAAGTCTGATTGAAAAAGTACAATTTGTTTTGGATTCTACGCACCAAACTTAATAAGAAAAAGTGTTTTCCCGAGAAATTTTGTGCAATCGATTTTTGGTAAAAAAGGAAGGATACACACTGCCTTTTTTTGAGGCCCGCAAAAAAAATTGTCTCAGATCGACCCGGAAAAAAAATTTCTTATAGAATGTGGCCTGTAGAATCCATAATTTCAAACGAGCCGAGCTCTGGTTGAAAGCAATTTTTGTATTCCTGAAAAAATCGGCCTACGAGAACCATTTGTATAAAGATTCATTGAAACGAATCAGATTCAAGAAAAGGATTTTGGTAAAGTTTTGGAGGAAAAACTACACAGAAAGGAAAAATATAAGGTGCCTCATAATAAAATTCTATAGTTCATGGTTATTGTATATTCTATATAAACATAAAAAAAAACTATCATGTATCGACGACAGGACTGGAATTGGATCCCTCTAATTTCCTCCTTTTGATAAAATGCTGTATTCTATTCTCCAAGCTCTCTAAAACTCAGAATCAGGCATGTTTTGGAGCATACGATTGTTACTTACCACATTTCTGCCGTTGCACCAATGGAACATACTTCTTAGCCCTCACTCCATTCAATAAATAATTGCTTTGACACAGAGACAAGTCAACAGTACTACCTGACCGTTTCCTAAGGTCAAGTAACATACTTTCAACCATATTGGCTCTAAAAATTCAGAGTTATCAATAGCTTTTACTTAATTTAGCCAACTTTATCGCATGAAATGTCCAAAAGCTCTGGAGCTTTTTAATAAGATCAGTCAAATTGTTATCATCATATCTCCAATTACTCTCCAGTTCGTACTCGCAATCGTACAAATTTAGAGGAATATCACTGGCCATGTTATAATCCGGTTTTCTGCTGTGCTTTTCGACATCCAATAGATCTTTAACAATGGAGGGGTCCTCCTTTTCTTGTCCAATTAAGAGCAGTACCCCCATTATACATCTAATCTGATGCCAGAGGAATGCTTGCCCTTGTATGACGAGCACAAACATGCTGTACTCTATAAGACCATGATGGAGAATGCGTTATAGGTGAACTATCGAATACCTTCATTTTCCTTGTTTAAACTATAAGGAAGAATGTCTACGTGAGTGATTGTCCGATTATATTTTACTACACCATTTCCGACATCCATCTTGCAAAAATTTCGGAAATCATGGGATCCTACGAGGAATTGTGTTCCCTCGACCATTTTCTACAAAATTGGACAAATTTAATTTGATAGCACTGGTGACAGTTCAACACTTTTCTAACTTATAAACGGTCATGCTAGAACAATAGAACCATAGCCAAGTACTACCAACACATTTATTGAAGGTGTTTCAAATGATGTAACTTACCTGAATATTTAAGAAACCTTTCGGGAAAAAATATTTGTACTTCCTGAGAGTGCAATTGAACCGTGCACTGAAGTTGTCACTAACAGGACACCATGCGACACAGCGTATAGCAGGTGGTAATACCTTATTCAAAATTATGCAATAATTAATTTCTCGATCGAGATCATGATTATTGCTTCGTAAATCTAACGAAATTACCTAAACTGAATTTAATAATCCCGAAACTTTGCCTTATACGTACTTGACCGAACGCGCTCACACCCTTATCTGTCCTGCCACAGCGGTGATAGTTTGACGACTGGCGGTCCTTGATCAGGCAGGTTTTTAGTAAGGCTTCGAATAGGAAGTGCTCAATTGTATTAAGACTGTCCTCCTGGCAAGCGTAGCCTTGGTAATCCCAACCTAAGTATAAAACCTGGAGGAGAACGTGCCGAAACTTACACCTGGAAAATGTCGTAGAATCAAAAGCACATTTGACTTACACTAACCTCGTAAAGTCGAAAGGTTTCTGTGGCGGATACGATCTCTTTTGATTCCTTTGCTGTGATTTGGCAATTATGTTTTTCAGTTCAACGTTATGGCATTGTAATGCAATAATTTTATCAATTAGATCCTGAAATAGGTACACATGATACCAAGATTGTAACATTTGCGGTTATACCTCTTTGCTGAAGGTGCTAAGCTGGGTAATGTCCAGGTGCCCGTGAATTTTTTTCCTACCAATTTTTTCCATTTCTACTTCGTTCAAGCGCCTCGGACAATAAAATATAAACATTAATACAAAAGTAAATATGTGAGGTTATAATTTTGACACTTTAGACACGTCGGATGTGTCTGGTTGCCGTGTGACGGGGATTTACGATTTATGTCCAGTGGCGGCGAAAAATTAAAAAAGGGGAAATTGTCGACTAATCTTTTCTGTAATTTTAATGCATTTAATTTTAAGTACTAAATAATTGAATAGGCTGCTGCTCGTTTTGCAATTGAAGATCTTCCACACCAAAAAAAAACCCCAAGCTATTGCGTCTTAATACATTTTATCTACTTATGAGTTTATTGGCTACAGATAACAGGACAGTAAACCTAGTATTACACTATCCTCTATAAATAACAGTAGTATATACAGCATGATTATGTACATTGTTCTGCTGATTCAAAATTACGTACAATAGTGTTGACTAAAATAATTGTGTGGGAGTAGCTTCCCATCTACAGTGTTGATCTGTTACAGAGCCTTGAATTCAAAAAAACAATTCATGTCGCACTACTATCCTAATTACGAGCCATTTACAGAATCGTCCGTCTTCGTCTCCTCCCGTTTTGCCTCTTCCTGCCTCTCTAGCTTATCGGCGTGTTTCGACTTTAAGTGCGTCCTCAGAGAAACTTTCTGTGGAAATGCGCAAGGACAAAACTCGCACGCGTACGGTTTCTCGTTTGTGTGCTGCCGCACATGCGTATTTCTCGCGTTACTGCTCGAGAACCCCTTCTTGCAGTAGGGGCAGGGGTAAGGTCTTTCGCCCGTGTGGCTACGGATGTGTTTCTTCAACGTTCGATGATCGTAGAAGAGCTTCGCGCAAATGCTGCACTCAACGGTCTTCTTATCGCCCACTAAAACTGGTACGTGAGAAATATGCAGAGAAAAATGTGGTTTGGGATGGAAAGCTGTGAAAAGGAAATAGAGAATCTGAATGGTAGAGTGTTCAAAGACAAAAAAAAGGAATACATGCAAGATCTGTAGAAAGCAAGTGAAAAGCCACCAGAAATGGAGGGCGGAGAAGACGTTGATACTATTGAGAAACAGTGTGTAGGATACTCAAAAGCAGGATGGGTATAGAAAAGAGGAAGACACTGGAGTCTGGGGCGTAATGCTATATGGTTGTGAAGCATGGATAATAATGAAGAAGGCCGTCAAAAAAATAGAAGCTTATATAGATTACATATTTGAAGATTAATGGCAAGGATAGGGTGAGGTCGAGTTGAAGAAAGATGAATATAATAAACTTACGTAAATGTCTCTTTAGATGAGCAGCATAAGCTGCACGGTGTCGATATACGTTACCGCAGGTAGTACACTGTAATTTATTATTTTTGTGGGCAAGTAAGTGTCCTCTTAAAGATTCGGTATTTTTACACGTTTTTCCACATATTTGACACTGAACTGGGGGTTCTGTATGCGTCATGATATGCTTTCTCATATTATCTTTACGTATACACTTTCCGCACATGCTACATATCGATTTAACAGATTTAATGTGCGTGCGTTTGTGTTCTTTCCATTGGAAATAATTAACGCAGGTAAAATCACAGGTACTGCATTTAAAGTTACTGGTGGAATTTAAACGATGTTCCGTATTTGATTGGTCATTAGCTACCACTTCGTTCTTGATGATAGTGATATCCGTTGTTTGAAGCTGTTCTTCTTTTGGCGTTTCCTGTTCGATACGTTGCCTCAACAGCAAGTCGCTCTTAATGATTATTCGTCTGAAATCGTAGAGTAGGTGAATGTTTCTGGTGCACATGTCGCACACTTTGTTCGGTAAATTATCACCAATTGACACCTGGAAGTAACGAATTTCGTGAAAACAGAAACAAAGCTTCACCTAACCTGTATTGAAGATATACTTTCGATTTTGAGGGGAAGGCTGGAATCGTCGAATATGTTGCTTAGTCTTGGAGAAACTTTCAGGCAAGTTCTACACATGTTTTCCATTATTTATTTATTTCTAATGTTTTTATTATTTAAAATTGGTTAGCAACAGGAACCAGAGAACTACCACAACCAGCTACGCCACTGATATCAATTAGATACGATACCCGCTGTTGCCAAATTTCAAATTTACCAAGCAGTCATACTGGAAATATAAAACCATAGCCAACTACTACCAAAACAATTATTGAAGGTGTTTCAAATGATGCAACTTACCTGGATATTTCGGGAAAAAATATTTATACTTCCTGAGTGCAGTTGAACCGTGCGCTGAAGTTGTCATTAACAGGAAACCATGCGACACAGCGTACGAGTATAGCAGGTGGTAATACCTTATTTAAAATTATGCAATAATTAATTTCTCGATCGAGATTATGATTATTGCTTCGTAATTCTAAAAAAATTGAATTATAGATTTATAGGAGATAATAGCCACGAATATGTAATAATAATAATAATAATAATAAAGCCAAACAAACACTTACACAATAATAAACGCCACTTAATTAAAATGCTAAACTTATAGGAAATGTGTAAAGGGAGGAAATGTGGATGAGCAAAGGAATAAAAACAATCGATATCAGGGTTCGTAACTGATTTTAGCAAAAAAAATAGAGACTTGGTTTCTAATTACATATTTAAAAATAGAGACCTTCGAGAATCAATTTCCATACAAAATTAAGCAAAAAATATTTATTTTGTAATAGATGAGATACATAAACGGCAATATATCTAAACAAGTATAAATTGTGCACAACTCTTGTGCGGATAAAACGCATTTTTTTTTAACCCAAATAGCTTTTTTTGACATCACCAATGGATATATTTCTTGCAGACGTCCCAATCGCCCTTTGTGAGTACCCTCTTCCGACAATCCGTTCTCTTATATGTATATGGGAATATACCCGATCGCGATGAGGGGTATGGTTGGTAGAAATTAATTCCTTTCGTTGAGACCTTTCATTAGAGTACCATGAAAGATAAAACTAGTTCCACCCCCCCTGCCCCTCCGCCCCGTACTTTGATATGAAGACAGAAAGAACGGCAGTAGTTGGTAGAAAACGGTTCCTTTCGTTGAGACCAATTGGTTGTCGTATGTAAAAGTTACGCACGTTTTACTTTCAAAAACAGCATCTCAGGAAATAATTCGGGGGGGGGGGCCTTTTGGACAGCGAAATTTGGTGGCCATCTGGCACACCTAAGACCATTCTATAGAAGTAGTTCGAAACGGCAAAAGTGGGCTCGGACGGATAAAACGCATTTTTTTTAATTCTTAAAAAATTCGCTGAAAATGTACAGTCAAATTTCTGCGGTTTATCAATTATGAACTTATACTATATACTTTTTTAACATGCAAAATTTAGAGACTTTAGAGACCAAATATGAAAAATGGTGACTTTTAGAGACCAGCATTGAAAAAGGAGACCAATGTCTAAAAAAGAGACCATTTGCGAACCCTGCGATATGGAGGGAGAGGAGGGCACGGAAAAAGAATGCATAAAGTTGCATCAGGTGTAAATCCGGCGCCAAGGTGTTCGCAAGTGTAAATAATAAAGCACAACTTGGGCGTAGAGAATCCTTGTTACAGCTAGGGCATAGAGTAGGATGTGAATGGAGCGTTATGGAAATACACTTGAAGAAAGAGAATGGAAGAAGACAAGAACAAAGCAAATGAAAAATGATTAAAATTTTATGAATAATTGAAAATGCAAAAATGCCCGTTAATATAACACAAAAAATTATAAAAATCAAATAAACTGAAGGTTAAGAGCGCTTTATTGAAACATTTTCCTGTTACAAACGGTCGAATACAGAAAAAAATTAGTCTCAAAAGTACTCGCTACTAATCCAACGCCTGTACAGATGCGATAAGCGAAGACAGCAACACACATCTCACAGAATCACGCACAACCGTGTACACAAACTCTCTTTTTTCTTCTCTTAACATCACCAGCACTGGTTCCATGACGATTGGAATAGTCGAAAATGGCAGCTCGGGTACTAACTTTTAATATTGACGAAAACTCTTCTTCTATAACGTACTCGCCGACTCTGTACAGCAATCGGAAAACTAACTCTTCTTCAATTGTAACTGACAAACGAAAAAAACTTTAAAACATCGGCCGACCGCCGGAAAAATCGTATTTGAAAATTTACACGCAACCGAAACGCACGCCAATTCAAATGACCCGAAACCACGTTCATCTGTATTTTTATTTAATTTCCAGTAAAGGCAGACGAAAATTAGCGAACACTTGTTTAAACCGCATTTCCTTATCTCTAAACCTCACGCCTGTGCCATTGCTTGTTTCATTCAATTAAATTTTACTTTGATAAAAGCCCCTATCAAACATTTGTTAACTAATTTTCGTAAAATGTGTTGGCTAACTTCTACGTCTTAAATTACAATAAAACTCAACAATTATGTGCCTATTTGTAATAAATTTCAATAAAGTTAAATACAGAGTGTGCCACTTGTCATTCCTATATCTTTAAACGCATTCTTTAGCAACCAAGGAAGGCATAACCTTAATGTCGGCATTATTTCAACCTAAACAGCATACCACCGTGGTTTACATAGCATTTTGTGTAAGTGAAGCATAAAACACGAGTTTTAGGTTGTGAAAAATAAAAGAAAGAAACTTGAAACACTAAGAGAAATAATGTGTTTATTTCCACCAAATGAGGCACCAAGCGTTTAGGAATAAGATGGCGCCAAGAGAGAATGAGAAGCACTACCAAACAGTTAGGGGGGGAAATAGGTATTTTTTCGAATTTTTAATTTATTAGGAAACATAACCCAGAGCATGATGTATCCAATACTTCATCACTGTAATATTAACGAAACCCAGATTTTCAATATTTAGAAGATCTCCATAATTTACAAACTTTTATTTTTGTAAAACAGGCCTCTCCTATATTTGAGTACCTACTTAATTACTACTATTGAGCTTTGTCACAGACACTGCAATATAGTAAATTAATTCAGTTGGGTTAAGTGGTATTGAGGATCAACCAAGTTGCATGGATAAAGTACAAAACATGTTAAGTCATGTAAAAATGTTTAAATTATATTTTCCCATTAAAAGTGGATTAATACTTAACAAAAAAGGATATCCCAAAACTAGCAGTACATGGAGAGTAATACATTTTTCTCAACAGGTCCTATAAGCCTAAGAAGCAAGAGAGAAATGTTAAATGGATTGAAGACAGAAAATAATCCAAGCAAGTAAAAAATTTGTGTTAACAAGCAAACGCAAAAATTTCACCAACCTATTATTTTATTACTGTCACTTTTTAGAAAAGGAAGTATAGATTTAGACAACAATTTTCACAAGAAGTAGGAGCACTTGTGCCGAAGATATTCGTACCTAATTCCTTAAATAACTTTATAAAAGCATACATCTTTGTGTAAAATTATATTAACTATAAATATGGAAATTTACTACAAGTATATATTGTTTCTTGTGTTTATTAAAGCAAAAGCATCAACAGTTATTGCAACCAACTCATTAATAAAAGAAGACCTTCCACGAACGATGTTATTTTAATATACTTACACTAAAATATCTCAAAATGAACATCGTCTCTCTAACCCTTAATTATAGAATGCTTATAAATATTCTTTTTTTCATATAATATATTACTATACATCTCACAGTTATACTATTAAAGTGTGCAACACTACACAAAAACAATTACAAATGCAGAATAAAAAGGAAATAAAAAAAGTAGACATCTGTCTGAAGATGGGTAACAGGATTAACTGTAAAATTAAAAAGTATTTATTATAATAATAAAACCGAATAGTTTAAAATAATTACTTTTTCTTAAGAGTGAAAAAGCTGCGCCGTTTTGCGTCTTCCTTTTGTGCAGAAGCAGGAAGGGTTTGTGACCTCGAAGGACCAGACGAATCGGTTTCCACCTGGGCAGTGATACGAGAGATCCAGTTGTTCATATCTCCATCATCGTGTGCTTGCAGTAAAAATTCAGCTCCACCATCCAATCTAAAAGTAATGGTAGTTTTTAAATAATTCAAGTACAATACATCTATTAAGTGCCTCCCCCTCCCAAAAAAATTAGTATCTGTTGGTGGGGGGAGAAGCAACTGAATGGACTGATACGTACTTTAACCTAAACACATGTTTTTTCTTTTTGTAATCGTTTGCGATGGAAGCCTTTGCATGGCGTAACGAGAAGGGTCCTTCGTTTTTAAATGTTTGCTCGGGCGTGCTCTTCGCCACCTTCGCATCCTTATAAAAGGCGATGTGAAAGCCGCGAACGACCGCATAGACTTTATCCCACGACCGGTTGCTAGCCTTGACCGTCGTATTTTCCCACTCGTGTTTTCGCACCAACTGCCCCTCGACCACATCTTCGTCCGGCGACGGACTTTGTTCTATGAAGGGAAAGCGTTTAAATAACGGAATCGGTGGAACACAATGACAGAGACTGTCAGGCAAACACTACATCGAAAGGGAACATCAAAACGGCTTGTACCTGATGTGACCGCCTCGTCGTCACTTATGGTCCCCGACGCCTTGGGACTTTTCTTCCAGCGGAAACTTCTGAACGGCGATTTACTACGGGAACGATCCTTACGTCTGCTTTCCTTTTCCATTTGAGACACTTAGAACACCACAAATCAAGCAAAACGAAACAAATAAAAGACGTGCCACAATAAAATTTGCGGCGCTTACGAAGCGAATATTATTTACAAAAAAGCGTTTTCGTAACATATTTTAACTTACTAGTCGGAGTCTTAGGTGTAATCTGTCCAACCACCTGCGGTTTGGAAGAGGGGACGGGTTCAATCGTCTTCTTTCCATGCACTACCGAAATAAGCCATGCAAAATTATTCAACGGCGACATGCAACACATCAAAATTGTATCATTTTCAAATTTGGCACTTCTTTTAAAGATGGATATACACATTGCGAAATTGATATTATAATGTTAATAAAACTGTTAGTAGTTTTATTGCTATGACTTGAAGGACTTCTATAGAAAGGGTTACATTAAAATTATTGCGTTTGCTCAAGAACAGTGTCAATATACAATGCTCAAAGATGAGTATGACAGAATAGACATTTGTTATATTTGTAATTGAGAAAGAGATTTGTCGATTCAGAACCATTGTTGAAATCAAAATGGCATAAAAAATGGTGTTCGAAAATCCCATAACTATTAATGAATGACCTGCTTTCAACATGAATGAATAAAGTATGGCGTAGGCGTACTCATTCGTAACCAGCTCAGTAATTACCGTAGACTGCACAATGAATGAGTAATTGAAGACAAATGAGAGAGTATTTCATTATCTCAATTAATAAAACACGCCTCTGAAAATATGAGGATTTCCGCCTACTCAGTCTGACTTCTTTTACGAGTAGAAAAACATTGGACTATTTTTATTTCGTCTATTAATAATAATAGGCAGAGTGTTCCACCCTGTATATACAACTTACGACGCAATTTTTAGGAGGGAAAGCTGTTTGGGCCATCTGCTGAACAACGTTTGGCATCTTGTTTTTATTTTATTTTTATTTTGCCTTTTTTTTTTACGACGGTCACGAACGCGTCGCTGTCTGTCGCTCTGTAAATGTTATTTTTGTGTTATTTGATCCAGGTAGTGCATTTCTTTATATCGTATTCATATTTTGTACCAGCATTTTGTTTTTTTTATAGGTTGCAATAATTGTTTTTGAAATTGACTTGATTTAACCATAATGCAGGATCACATATTTGATACCTTTATCCTTTTGTTTGAAATCGTTTACGTTTTTGGTGTAACGTTTTGATTACATGATCTTAACCGGAAGTACTATTCATATAAATGTTGATCATTCCATGGTTGGCAAAACGAAAAACCCATTTAAAAAACTCATAGGGTTTTTGTGTCAAAAACCCACCCAACGACCTATACAAAAAGCCAACACAAAAACCCATACAAAAGCCCAAAGAATTTGAGACACATTTTTATTATTTTATTTTAATTTACATATCAAAAAGAAACACACTAAAACACTCCTATTTTATTACAACACTTAACCAAAAACAACCAGTCTAAGTTCAAAGTTAATGTTATTTTTCTATAATTTGAGGTTAAGAGTTCCGGAAATTCGACAAATACCCAAAAATTACCCAAATACCCAAGAAGAAGACAAAAACCCAACACAAATACCCAAAACCCCACTCAAAGCATGCAAAAACCCAAATTTTTGCCAACCCTGGATCATTCCTTTAAACTTGTGGAAATTATCGAATTGTTTAGTTGTACGCGTACTGACTTGTTATTTGTAACCTTACATTTTCGCCGTGAATGGAGCACTCATGGGAGTGGCAAAAAAAATGTAATCAAATGAGTTGCGACACCTAATTCCGTGATTATGCGTGACATTCAACTGTAGGCTCAAAACCCCGAAACTAGGGGCCAGTTACATATCTTGGGGGCAAGATTATGTTAATAAAAACTCTTCGGTTTAGAACCTATTTGCGATAAACGAGTTGCGATTCGGTAGTTTCCGCATATTTTGCCGATAGTTGAATTTGCCTACAAGGCCATGTAATTTTCCATCTTCCTCTTAGCAAAAGGACTTGATTGCACCAAAGATGAGTCACATCCTGCACCCTTTCTCAAAATTTAGGTACATGCTTACCTGACCCATTGTTTTTAATCTTGAGTGTAGCCACCTTTGTATACAGGGTGTTCATTTGAAAACTTCCCATGAGGGATTTGTTGCGAATGATATGTAGTAATTATTAAAGTAAACTTCTTGAATGTTTTATTTTATCAAATTATTGATTGACAAAATCATAATAACAAAATGCAACTATCCAGGTAACTAACTTTTTAATAATTATTTAGACAATATGCAGTAGGCATAGATTTATCGAAAACCACTGATTAAAGGAAAAAAACCGAGACTTCACCCCATTTCACTCTTTGGCCCCAAGGTCATTCAAAATAGTCCAATAAAATACAGAATAGAATAAAAAAAGGTTTACAATGAGACTACACCACAGTGTTCTGGAAAAAGAATGTTAGAAGTGAATACTCTTTTTTGTGTGAACGAAAAATGTTAGAAAGTAACATTGTCATTTCTGTCCTTTTAATTGAGGTGCACGGTAATGGTGTAGACACAATATTGTACAACGTTTACCTTTGATCTTTGCTCCGTAATTTAATGATGCCATAAAATATTGGTTATAATAATACACTAGTTTCTTAATGATGATCCTTGACAAACCAACTATTATTATTACTAAGTTATGAGGAGTGAAGTGCTTATGACGTGCCATTACTGAAATCTGAGCTTATTTAAACAGATCTTGACATAAAATTTGCGCATTTTTTGATAATCAAAAAGGAGGCTATTCAGGGTTGGCAAAACGAAAAACCCACTAAAAAACCCACAGGGTTTTTGTGTCAAAAACCCACCCAACGACCTATACAAAAACCCATACAAAAGCCCAAAGAATTTGAGACACAAAATGAGTCAAAATCGAGATAATTTTTATATAGTATTTAATAACACAATATAATGTAGTTTACTTGGAAACAGACAGGTACTGACAGATCAGTCTTTATATTCTTATTCCTAGTTTCAAAAAAAATTTACATTAAAATATAAAATACGAAACGGCTTATTTATTAGGAACAAAATAAAATAAAAATAATAATTAAAAACCTAAAACAACTTTTTCTCTTTCATAAAGTGGCTCATTTTTATTATTTTTACAAGCTTTTCTACTTTATCGGGCAGTCTAAGTTCAAAATTAATGTTATTTTTCTATAATTTGAGGTTAGAGTTTCGGAAATTCGACAAATACCTAAAAATTACCCAAATACCCAACCCTGCAGGCTATTGTTTCAATAACTGTCTGCTGTTCAGGCGATTGAGATCTCGACAACTGAATATCGTAGACCTTTCTGGTTTTCGGCACTATATTCGTGCTATCGTGTTATTCCCGCATCGATTAGTCTGAAAGCCATTTCTGAAGATGATGATTTATGAATTTCCTTTAAGTGTGTTAAAATAAGAAAATCATAATGTGTGTACGAATGTCGGGTTTCTCGTTTAATAGGATCTTATGTAATTCACGAGTACGAAATTATTTACTCTGCCAATTACGCAATTATGTGCGTATTGGACTGGCAGGAAATGAATCTGAAGTTGTATTGGCTGCTTAAACGAAACAAAAGAAGGTAAGATGCTACAATTGCAACGAATTTGGGCATTTCTCTAGGGACTGCAAATCGCCAAAGAAATCCTACGAAAAGTTTGCTTCTGCTAAGTTACTTACATTTATTTCAAACCAATTAGTTTACTTTTGTTGTATAACAATTTAGTTCTTTTTTTTTCTTTGCACAGTATTTTTACAATTTTGTTTTTGCTTTCTAATGGAACTTGGATTACTGTTTGATGGCAAGTTCAGTATTCGGGTTGCTTAAGGTATCAAACGCGAATTTTATTCTCGCTCTTAGATGCCTTGCTAATCCCCTCTCTTTTTGTTTATATCTGATTGCAAATTATAGTCACTAGATATAGAAAGTACCGCAATCATCCGCCATTTTTGGGCAAATTTGCTGCCAACTTAAAAAAATTGACAAATAAAATCTGAATAGCTGTAATTTTTTATAACCTAACTTCATAGTACTGTCATGTTTTATAAAAATATATACAGATATCTCCAAACAGGTGGAACAATCCCTAACATTAAAGTTACTAGAATCTGGTAACTTCCGCCATTTTTGGGCAGAAATCATGCGTTCTCTCTCTAACACACGAGCCCAATGGATTGCGATACTTTCTATATTTAGTGACTTTAGCAAATTATTGGCCGAGAGCACCCTTCTGAGCTCGAAAAGTCTGCGACTACGACTCAAAAGAATTCAATTTTCTTGAAAATATGTACTAAAAATTCCTGGGAACTGCTATAATTTGTTTAAAAGAAAAGATAAGTGTCACGTAGTTGATCAAATCTCTGTCTCGACACAAAAAATACCTACCCCATTTACAATTTAAAAGAGAAGATGGAATTTGTGCCTTCTTAATAAAAATTGTAGAAGTGCTTAATAATGACATGACGAACTAAATCATATCACAATCCGGTATCTGCGAATGAAAAGCAGGCAAAAATGTAGAAGCATGCAACATATAACAACAGAGCAATAAGAAGTGAATAGATTACCTTCACCAGGAGATACAATAGCCTTCACAGAGCTCCTATGTCCACTTAAAGCTGCGTTTATTAACCACAAATGATTTCATTTAATAAAAGGGTTAGAGGGTGATCAAGAAAAAAGTTTACCTGGTTGGTCGTCGGCAACGGCCACGGCCGCGTCCGGTCGGTCCGTCATTTGCGCGACTTGCGTTGCCGCGGCCTGCGCTGCCGCCGCCGCTCTCCTCTCCGACTCCTCCCTCTCTTTCCTCTCGCGCTCCTCCGCCTCCGCAGCCTCTTGGCGACGCTTCATTTCCCTCAGTTCAAACTGCAACAAGTTCGTTAACACTTTCGACTCGTGTAGACTAAAGCTTACCGTCGTAAGTCTCTCCAGGGCGCCAAATCGTTCTTCCTGCGCCGCGGCCGATTTCTCAAACGCCTCATGCTTCTTGATCAAATTCTCGACGTCGTCGATACTGTGGCCCAGTTCGGTGCTCATGAGGTACGGTTCTTGCGCGATCAGCCAGGCTTCCGCAACGGCGGCGTCGCGAGCGAATTGGTACACCTCCAGGATAAGTTGTAGATTCTCCCATCTGTTAAAATGTAAATTTAATCATTTGGCTAGTAATCACGAGTCCGCATATGATTCATTCTTTGTGTCCTTTATTTTTAGTGATATTGTGTTAAATTATTGATTCTGAAACGCTGCTTTGGCGGCTTCGCGGTGTTTCAAACCTAAAATTGTGTGTATTATACCTGTTATTACATTAACTGTGTCACGAAAGTACCATACTGCGACGAGGCACCTGTTCTCTGGAAATTGCCAGTTTTAGTGATCACTCAGTATATGAAGATCTGGTATTAAGAAGCGTTTAATTTGGGCGCTTCGTTACGAAAATTGTCGCTCCAAAAATAGTTATTTCTGGCAAATATCAACGAGATAGGATACCTGGCAGTTTGACCTCACATCCCAAGGAACAAAAGGGAGATTTCATTCCGACTATTTAATAAGTATAATTGACTGTAATTGGACACCGAAAACTTCTGGTGGTGCCAGAGACACTCCCGTTCCGCCGCTGCCGCATATTTGTAATTTATACCCATTAGTTTTTTTGTAAAGGAGAACCAAAGTTACCATTGGTGCTAATAGATGATCAATGCATGTTCTGGACCAGAAAGTGACGTCACAACCAATCAGCGAAGAGCACGCCCTCGTACGCTCCTCCCTTTCAGGTTCGTAAAGCGGTCCAACAGCTTTTACAATTGGTCCAACAGGTTCGTGAAGTGGTCCAAGAGCTTTTTCTACTGATCCAACAGCTTTTCCACACGTTTCAACAGCTGTGTGAACTCGTACCGATTCTAAAATATGTTAGAACGCTTCACGAGCTGTTCGACCGCTTTGCGAACCTGAAAGGGAGAGGCGTACGAGGGCGTGCTCTTCTCTGATTGACTGTGACGTCACTTCCTGGTCCAGAACATACATTGGTCATCTACTGGTGGGCGAGCTTTCGGCGAAAGTTCGTCGCAGTACATGGATCACAGCTACCAGTTTTATTGAACATCTGGTATCTAGAGACACTTCGTTATGAAAAGTGTTGATGCGTAACTATTTATATGCTTTAGGAATTGGCCACAAAACGTAGAAGTATCGGCTTTAATTTCTAGTTCCGTGATTAGCCGTCGATCAGGAACCCCCAACTACCAATAGATCAGTATACTAATTGTTCCCGTAGAGATATGTAAACTACCAAATTTGGAAATTTTAATCTGGCAAATTAGGCAAGTGTAATTAACAGTAGCTAATTGAATGAGTTGCAGTAAATCGCATCCGAACCAGTAGCCTAAATTTTACGACCAATTACAGATGCAGGCCGCACAATTAAACCAGTTTGAAATTTTTGGATGTAAATAATCAGCTGGAAAAACTATCGATTCCTCCATGAATGGCCTAATTTTATAAAAGAAGTTTAAAAAGCCGTTGTTTAGAGGGGTCTTTTTCCTTTGCTGTTTTAACCGAAACGTAAGATTACTTTTGGCAATTTTTCACTGTTCTCAAGTATCTTTTAAGATTTTATCACGCACCGTTCCGTTAACTTTAAAGGCAAGTACCTTTCCTGTATCTCTAAAAATGAAGTGGTGGGGGGTATTCAAAGGTTTCCGTAAAGAACACCCTGTATCTTCGAAACGGCTGAACCGATTTAAACAAACTCAGGTTAGTTCAAAAGAGCTATTCTTCAGCTACAACTATTATACTATTTGAAGTTTTGTTAGTTTCACATATCACCGCTTGAGGGCTTTTTTCGACATTCCGACAGAAATGGTTCATTTTCTCAAAATAATTAAATGCATTGGTTCGATTTTTTTTTCATGAAAAAGTAGCTAAATGATGCCTAAACAAGTTCGCGAAAATCGTGATGGCCAGCATTTCGAGCATTTACGGCGGCATTAAAAGCTTCCTTTTTTAAATCGATCCACCTTAGAGCAACAAATTATATAAGAAAAATAATTCCGGAAAAAGTAGCTTAAAAAAATAAAATTTTGAGGGTATAAAATTTTTTTTGGCCTAAATTTTAGGTTAGGAACAAGATATCGAGATGCGCTTTTCGCGAGCTTGTTTAGGCATCATTTAGCTCCTTTTTCATGAAAAAAAAAATCAAACCAACGCATTTAATTTTTTTGAGAAAATTAGCCATTTCTGTCGGAATGTCGAAAAACGCCCTCAAGCGGCGATATGTGAAACTAACAAAACTTCAAATATAATATTTGTAGCTGAAGAATAACTCTTTTCAATTAACCCGAGTTTGTTAAAATCGGCTCAGTCGTTTCGAAGATACAGGGTGTTCTTTACGGAAACCTTTGAATACTCCCCACCACTTTATTTTTAGAGATACAGGAAAAATTTTCAAACAAAAAAGGTTCAGATTATCGTCAGCATCAAAGACGGGCATTTTGTGTTAGGTTAATATGGCGGAATTCACAGAAAAATCACTTTTTTAGATTCCAGATTGCAGTTACGCCCCCTAGCGGCCATTGCAAAAACTTAAAAATATTTTTCAGGTTTTTCACGTGGCCGTTTTAGTAATAAATTTTTTTACCGCAAACCTCTACGATGGACAGGTTCCCAGTACCTCGCATTCTTATTTGGCCACCCTATACATAAAATTTGAAGCGGATTTTTCAAGTTAGCGAGGTTCTCATGAAATAATCTGAGATTCAGACACACCCGTCAGTCAGGGTAAACTGCGCGAGAGGTATATTGAGGAATTCATTGGGAAAAAATGTAATGTAAGACCATCAAATTATAGCAATGGACATTACTGTTTAAAAGGTCTAAAACCATATCCTTGTTTTGATATCAGTTGACAATAAAAATGCGTTAACGTGAAAGAATGAATCGTATGGAAGACCGAAATTGCTTAAACTTCCACTTACCTTTCTTCCCATCGTTGTAATACTGAATTCCGATGATTGCTTAACGCCAACAATTTATCGCGGATTTCGGCACTAGCATAATGATTGCGCGCTAGTAGCTCCCTCCCCAATGATATGCATGCGCCGAAATTATCCTCTCGTGCGTCAATTTCGGCTTTGAGACTTTGGTGATTGTTCATGAGCAGCTCGACGCCGCTGACGTCGCGTGGCTTTTCGCTGGTATTCATTTGACGGACGACGTCGTCCATCCATTGCATCAGTGTACGGACCATGTTGAAGAATTTGAAGAGGTCACCGGTATCCGCCAATTTGTGGCGACGATTGTCGCAAGCTGCCTGTAAGGCCATCCAAGCGGCGACAACTTCGCCTTCGCGATTTGTAATTTCGCGAACTTTATCGCCGGCGTACGACGTTTGGAGTTTCGCCGATTCCTCCTGAATCTGGGACACCTGACTTTGTAAAGTTTGCAGATCCTGCAGGAAATTTATGTGTTTGCGCTGTAAAGTAGAAACGGAACCGGCGTCCCGTCCCAATTCATCGGACATGGCCACTTGCTTTTCGAGAATGCGCCCAAGTACGTCCTTGCAATCGTGGAAGAATTTGTGCAGCTCCCTGGAGGCGGCCAACATTTGAGTGCGGGTATCGATCAATTCCAAAAGATCCTGCCATGCTTCGTTCAATCCGTCCTTCCATTCTGCAATGGTGGCCGAGTCAGAGTGGCCGACCGCAATCAATTGATCAGCGATGTCGTTGACGTTCGCGACGCGTTCCGAACCGATAGACTCGGTATCACGCGCGAATTCCCTGAATCGTTCCCACAGCAAGGTGACATGATCGTAATCCTGTCCGAGCTCATGTGAGGAAGCCACAACTTCCCTATCGGCAATCCACTGTTCTAAGTCGCCCACATCGCGATTTAGTAAGAATAATTGCAACGCCTCGTCCAATTTCCCGCGCCTTTCTCCCGACAAGTCCCTGAGACCCGCATATAATTTGTCCAGCTGCGATTGTTTAACTGCGACCTGCTCGGCCATAGGATGACCTTCGGCGGCAAGCGCGCGGACCGTCTCCCCCAACGCCCGAATATTGTTCGCGTAGTCTTCCACCGCCGCCTCTAAGCTTTCGTGTTTTTTCATAAGATTGCGGGCGGACGTTTCCTCCTTGCCGCGATCTTCAACCATCATGTACAGTTCTTGTTCGCTCATCCAACTTTCCGCCTCGTTAGCGTCGAACAGATACTGCTGCGCCTGTTCGTTGCGTAAAAGATACGCGCGTCTCGCTTCGACCGCATCTTTCAACTCCTGCCACGCTTTCAACAGTTCGTTTATCAAACGACCAAACTCTGAGGAATCCTCGTGTCCTTTAAAAAATCACGGCAAATATTCAACAATATTGTTTAAATGAATTTCAACAGTCAAAAATTACTCACAAGCAGATCTAGCTAAATTATATCAATTTCCAGGAAGATCCCTCGATTTCCCGTTGAAATAGAAAAATTCAAAAATGTATCAAAAAAATTTTGGTTAACTGCTAACAATCGCATTGAAATGCGTAAATTGAATTTTGAACTGCTCTTAAACATCCCTTGATTGCCATAGAAATTCCAAATAAATTTTTAAAATTTTTTGATAATAGCTCACAAGCGTGTTGAAATGCGTTTTTGAATTTGAACTACTATCAGAAATACCTTGACCTCCATAGAAGGCCAAAAAAATTTAAAAAAATCAAATTTCAAATAATTTTTTTAAATGCGCAAGTTAAATTTTGAATTACTCAGAAATCTCTTGATTACCATAGAAATTCCATGTCCAAATGAATTACAAAATTTAAAATTTCAAAAAATGTTTGAAGACGGCCCACAATCGTGTGAAAATCCGTATTTTGAATTTGGATTCCTTCCAGAAATCTGTTGATTTCTATAGAAATTCTGAGTCCAGATCAATTTAAAAAATGTCAATTTTCAAAAAAAATTTGATAATACAATCGTGTTAAAATTCCGAGTTCCGACGAATTAAAAAAATGTGAAATTTAAAAAAAATTGATAAATTCAAATTTCAAAAAATTTTCGATTAATTGCTCACCATCGTGTTGAAATGCGTAATATGATTTTCGAAATCTGCTCTTAGACATCCGTTGATTTCCATAGAAATTTCAAATTTAAAAAAATCAAATTTCAAATAATTTTTTTAAATGCGCAAGTTAAATTTTGAATTACTCAGAAATTTTTTTGATAACTCACAATCGTCTTGAAATGTGTTTTTTTTAATTTTAACTACTCTCAGAAATCCAAAAAATTTTCGATTAATTGCTCACCATCGTGTTGAAATGCGTAATATGATTTTCGATCTGCTCTTAGACATCCGTTGATTTCCATAGAAATTTCAAATAAATTTAAAAAAATCAAATTTCAAAATTTTTTTGATAACTCACAATCGTCTTGAAATGTGTTTTTTTTAATTTTAACTACTCTCAGAAATCCCTTGATCTCCATAGATATAAAAAAAAAATTTAAAAATTATATTTCATACCATTTTTGACAATAGCTCACTATCGTGTTGAAAATGCGTAGTTTGAATTCTCTCAGAAATCCCTTGATTTCCATAGAAATTCCAAGTCCGAATGAATTAAAAAATTTCAAATTTCAAAAATTTTTGAAGACAGCTCACAATTGTGTCAAAATGCGTATTTTGAATTTGGACTGCTCCCAGAAATTTGTTGATTTCCATAGAAATTCCGCGTTCAGATGAATTAAAAAATGTCAAATTCCGCGTTCAGATGAATTAAAAAATGTCAATTTTCAAAAAAAATTGTTAATAGCTCACAATCATTTTGAAATGCGTAATTTGAATTTTGAACTGCTCTCAGAACTCCCTTGATTTTCATAGGAATCCCGAGTCTAGATGAATTAAAAAAATGTCAAATTTCAAAAAATATTTGATAATAGCTCACAGTCGAGTTTGTAATTTAAACTTTTAAATGCGCTCAGGAATCCCTTTATGTTCATAGGAATTCCGAGTTCAGATCCAATCCGATTTGTGCGTAGTGTCTATTTATGAGTAATTTTTGTGAATAAAAATTTAAAAAATAAACTTACCTTCATCAACAAGTTTTTGGCCATTATTGCATACAGAGTTTATTCTTGGCTCGTGATTATCGACCTCGGTGCGAAGCGATTGATTTTTCTTCTCCAACATATGCACCTGGAACAAGCTGGTGCCGTAATCCGTCGACAGAGCTAGAGGCATCTTGTCGGCGATCCAAAGCAGTTCGTCCTCCACGTCCCTTCGAAACTGGAAAGCCTCCTTCTTCTTCTCCAGCTGCCTTTGTCGTTCGACTAAAGGTTGCTTCAGTTGTTGGAATCGATTTTCTACCTTTGTCTTCTTTACCTTGATCTCGTCCATGTCTTTGTCCGGCACAGTTCTCTGCAGATGGACGGTTTGCGGGCCGAGACTTTCGACTTGTCTGGCCTTGACTGCCATTTGCGTTTCGATCGTCTGGTGTTTTTGCATTAGGATGTTGACGGAGGCCAAGTCGGATCCGGTATCGTCGCTCTCGATTTGTTTCTCCAAGTCGTTCATCCACGAGTCGATATCGTCGCAGGTCTGATGGATGAGAACCTCTCGGTTCGCGTCGAATAGACGTTCGCCCTTGTCGTGCGTCGTCTTTTCCAAAATTTCGAATTGTTCTGCGAGCTCGTCGATTTTCGGTTGAATTTCGGCGGCGTACTCGGGCTTTTCGCGGGCCAGGTCCTCTCCCGCCTTCTGTAGGTTTTGTAGGCGCTCCTTGTTCGCGGCGATCTCGGCCTCGAACGCTTGATGTCGCGTCCATTTCGAGTGCACGGTTTTCGCCGAGCGGTACGTTTCGTCTTGCGCGACGATGAACTTCTCCTGAATCCATTCGCCGAGTTCGTCGCAGTCGCGGAGGAACTGTTGCAGCTCGGTCATATCTCGCAGTCTTTCCATTAGAGCGATTGCCCGATCGCGATTCGCTATACGCCGCTCGTCGATCGCGTCGGCGCGTTTGGCGATTTTGTCGGAGGCGAAGTGGCCTTCGTCTCCGAGACGGCGAGAGAATTGCACGACGCCGTTGATTTTATCGTCGTTAGCTTCCATGGTCGTTAGGAAGGCCTCGTGACGCTTCAGCATCTTCTCGGCCTGCTCCAAATTTGTGGGCGTCTCATCTTTGGCCAACGCGTGCTCTTGCTGACTCAAAATTACCTCGACTTGTCGCGCGTCTCGGTTGAGCAATTGCAGAGAGAGCGATTGAGAAAGCAATTGCTGCCGGTTCTCCCACATTTGTTGCAGTTCTGCCCAGCCGTCTTTCAGCGCCTTTAACCTTTCGCGTAGGAACATGTACTGTGGGTCGTCCTGAGTCGAAGGTTCGGCCGTGATTTTCTCCCCGTACTCCATCATCTTGCTATAATCGTCCGTGTAATTGTCGATTTCCTCGCGTATGCTCTGGTGCTGAGACAGTAACTTCTCGGCTTCGGCAAGAGAGCCCGGTGTATCTTCCGATGCGACATCTGTCTGCGTTTTCGTCAACCACACCTGGAAGTGATCCAAATCGCGCAGGAACCGGTGGAGATCACCGGCCTCTTCGAGCTTGGCATCGCGTTCTTTCAACATTTGGGTCAATTCCTCCCACACAATTTGTATTTGAGTGATACGCTCGCGAATTAAGGCGGCTTCTTCGGGATGTTCGGCTTCGATCTGTTTCGCCTCATTCTCGAGTGCAGTCAATTTCGCTTGGATCGCCGCCAAATCGCGTTCCATACCCGAGAGACGTCGCTGTAAGGTCATAATGCCGGTAAGGTCCATTTCCAAACTGTCCGTGCTTTGCAAAATACGCTTCTTGTCTTCGATCCACGATACAGTTTCGCGACATTCGATGTGATAAGTTTGCACGCCGTGCGCGGAGTTGAGCTTATCGCGCTTGTTTTCGGCCTTCTCGCGAAGCTCCGCCCATTTTTGGTTGAGTTCATTTTGACGGCCGATAACTTGTTCGGAGTTGGGATGCTCAACGTGCAGCAACTGTCGCGCTAATTGGTTTACGACGGCGACACGAGACGCGTTCGAGTTCATCTCTTTTTCGAAGCCGTCGTAGCGGTGTTTCATAATTTCGACGTCTTCGATGTCTTTGGCGGGTACCATCGTTTGTATCATGCGATCCTTTTCGCTGATCCACTGCTCGACTCCGTCACTCTCGGAGAACAATTTGTACAATGACAAGGTATCTAGCAACCTTTGTTTGCGCAATTTGGCTAGCTCTAACAGCTCCTTGTAACGATTGTCAATCGAAGCCAGTCGATCGAGCACTTCGGGTGATTGTGCATCTTTTGGTCCCAATTGCGAAGCTTGTTGGTGTAACGCATCGATTACCGATGAATAATTCTTCAATTCATCCGTGACATCTTTGTGTTTCTTCAAAAGTGACTGAACATTAGCCTCATCGCGTCCGACATCTTCACTTGAAACCAAGCGTAAAGTATCCAACATCCAGATATCTACATCATCGGCATCGGCGAAGAACTGATGGAAATCGACAGCTTCTTCCAAACGCTTGCGACGCGCCGAGGCCAAATTCAACAAGTGATTCCACATGCCCTGTATTTCTTTGAGCCGTTCTTGCACTCTCTCCGCTCCAAAATGACCCGATCCGATCAGTTCCTCTCCAACGGCCACACCCTGCGCCAACTGTGGCTCGTGTCCGCTGATCTCATTCTCCAAAGCCTTATGTTTCGAGAGTAATAAATTGACAGTGGTGAGATCGTGCCCAATATCGCTAGTCGACACAATTTGCTCCTTTTCCTTAATCCAATTCTCCTCGTCGGCCATATCCCAATAAAACTGCCAGAGTTTCCGGCTCTCCTCAAGACGGCATCGCCTTTCGACGGCCAACCGCACCAATTCGGCGTACGCGTCTTCCAGCTGTTGCACTCGGTCCAAAACGAGAATAGGATCGCAAGGCCTATAGCCCTCGGCGCTGCCGCCGTCTCCGCTATCAACGAACCTCTGCGACTGATGCGCGACTCCCTTGACGCGCTCTCCCAGTATATTAATGTCGGCTTCTAGCAAGTTGTGCTTCTGCAACAAGTCTTCGACGCCCATCAAGTGTTTGCCGTAATCGTCGGTGAGCAGGCGCACTTTGAGCTCTTCCATCGAGTCCAAAATATGCAGCATTTCCTGGAAGCACTGCTGCAGTTGAAGCGATAATTCCAATCGATGCCTTCGTGCCCTAAGTAATTCTAGTAGATAATTCCACAGCCGCAAAACGTTGTCTTTGCGCGCATTGATACGTTCCATGTCGTGATAGTTTTCGGTCTGTAATTCCTCGGCGACGGCAACCACTGCCTGGACGCGCTCTTCGTACGCCAAAATGTCAGTTTCGATGGCCTCGTGCTTTTTGGCTGCGGCTTCGACCGCGGCCAGGTCCTGGCCGAAGTTATCCTGAGAGACGAGCCGCTGATTTTCGCTGAGCCACGTTTCGCGCATTCCGGCTTTTCGATTGAACCGCGCTGCCAACTGCTCCAGCTTCTCCTGGCGAATCAACTCCTCGCGCAGTGCAAGTTCGCGCTCGTGCTCGGCCTTCTCTAGCCGCTCCCACGCCTTGTTAATGTCGGATATCATCTTACCCTCGCGAGGTGTGTACGGTCGCTGGTTATTCGCACGCATTTTCGACTGTAGCGTAAACAGCAAAATTTCGAGATTACCCTTTTCAACGAACTTAGGTGGCTTTTCTACCGTGCGATAATTGTTAAATTGTCCTAATTGCTGTTGGACGCCGATTAGCGAATTGGCGAAGTGACGATCGCCGAGCGCGTCAATTGTCGATTGTATCCACGCGAGCAAATCGCTCGTAAGTGACTCATATTCGCGAATCATTCGATCGTTTTCCATGGCAATGCCGACGACTTTTCCGATTCGTTTACCCTGCACCGTTTCTTGTTTCATTTTACTGAAGTAGTGGTAATAGGTGACTACGTACGTAATTATGGATTTCTCGTCGGGTTGTTCTACAAACACATCTTCGGCGTCTAATAACTTAGTAAGCCCTAATTTATCTTCGGCTACGTTAAAAGCGTTATTGAGATTATAAATAGGATTCGATTTTGATAGTTTTTCGTAGTTAAGTAAGTCAGGACGATGTTTGTGTATGAGAGCGTTGAATGCGAGCCCATCCCTCCATGACGTGGTGAAATTTCTAACGTTAACATTGTGATAGCCGGCAGTTTTCATTTGGCACCAAAGCAGCAAAGCGTCTTTGGCCGATTTCGTTTCTTGATTATCCGTCTCTTCGATTGTGATATCTTGGATTTGGAAGCGCAAAATGATGGTCCATATGAGACCTAACGATAGACGTGGGTTACCGTCGACTATATCGTGTGAACCCATATTTTCTAAATGGACGCGTTGCTCACGTAAAAACTGTAAAGCCTTATCTACATTCTCTAAGCAGTGAATTCTCATTTTTCCTTTCGTTGGACGCGGTAAACGTTCACCCGATAACACTTCTAGTAATTTAATTAAATTTTTACCATCTCGCATATCCAGATACAGATCGGATATGCGAGTATTTACGCGGACTAGGTGAGAATTTACCCATTTTTGGAAGGTCTTCTTTTGTACACTCTCTCGCTCATCTGTAACAAATAAATTGCGTTTGATACAAGAGTATCGAAAACGAAATTCAAACACATTTCAATTTCATAAATACAGAGTGTTCGAGATAAGGTCAACTTAATAGCTCGAGAAAAAATTCAAATATAATTTCTCTTTTTGAAAAGAACTCACTGTATGACAAAATAGAATTGGCATGTGTTGGATACTCATTAAAAAATTATGCCGTGTGCTGTCGGGATGCGCGGTGTCTGTTATGTTACACGGGAAGATCTATCGCGCACAAGTAAATCTTCAAAACGGAACATTAAACAAGTTGATGTAGGTCTACAACAGACACCACGCATCATGACAGCACACGGTATGCTAGGTTTCATAAGTTTTCTAAATTTTTTTATATACAGTGTGTTCCAGATCGGGTGGGATTGCATGGGTAACTTTCTCATTATTAAAGATAGAGAATTGGTTAAATGGGCAATGTTTTGCAGTTTTAGATGCTTATTTAAAATTTCTTTGTGGAAATTCAAAATGTCGAATAGGTTCGACGTAAATTCAAAAAAAACTAAAATTGGTCATTTCCTTTAATGTCTTATAGTATCGAAAGTATAAGAGATATAAAAAAAAGTATTAGATAAAAGTTACTAACTTTAATACGCCTAATTTAGAATTGATGTCAAAAAAAAGTTCAAGATGGCTACCAACTTCCTAAAGTTAAATAGGCGCCATATTGGATTTTTAGATTATTTGATAGATTTTTTAATTCTCTTTTCAACGGGCTATCATAGCATAAGATTGAAAATAAGATACCAGTGTTATATCAACGGTTTTTATATTTTAATCAAGTAGGCTATGATGAATTAAAAAAAAACAGAACAAAATCTATTCTAGGTAACAAAACGATGAAAGTAATTACATCAGAGGTTTAAAATATCAGGGGCGCACTCATGGGAGGAGGGTTTGGGAGTTACAACTCCCTCCAAAATTTTATATAAGTAGGCGTAGAAATTTTTTGACTTTTATGACGTCACTTATTGACCATCATATTATCCATACTTACATACCTACAAAATGCTGGTATAACTACAAACTATCCCCTCGAAAAAATGCCATGCCATTATCCAGTTAAACACATTTAAAGACACTTTACGATTTACTTTATACAATGTATTACCACCATTGATGCATTGTCCCAGGCCACATTTTGTAGGTGGTTTATCCGTAAGAATATCGAAACTAGCAGTTTTACCAGTTCGAGTATATGGACAGATAAATCTTATTTTTCTGTGGAGTGTTCAAATCGACATAATGAACACTGCTCGTCACAGACCTAGATGAGTTTCACGCCGAAATCATTTAAGATTTTTTTAAATTAATGTATTTTATGGCATAATGGGAAGTCATGTAATTAGACCGGTAATCTTCGTTGGATCTTTAACTGCTCACCATTATTTACAAATTCTCCAATAAACTTCCTTAAAGGATTTTCTAGACAACGTATGTTTCGCAGAAAGGGTTGGTTTATGGTACCTACCAACAATTGAGCTCGCTGCCCAGGTCACAATTCACGAATTGTGTACATTGTACATTAAAGAATAAAGTATATGGAAGTAGCTACTACACTAATAGGTAATAATAACACAACTGCGCGAAGTCGTTCTAAAGGCGTGTTATAGTATCAATGGCAACACGTTCCCTAAAGTAAACTGTCTTGAAGTGTGTTTCACTAATAATGGCCAGTATTTTAAACATGTGATATAATTATTTTCATTGTTGTGTTGTCTCGAATAGATTTTGTTTTGTTTTTTTTTTAATTCATCATAGCCTACTTGATTAAAATATAAAAACCGTTGATATAACTGGTATCGTATTTTCAATCTTATGCTATGATAGCTCGTTGAAAAAAGAATTAAAAAATCTATCAAATAATCTAAAAATCCAATATGGCGCCTATTTAACTTTAGGAAGTTGATAAATGTTCCTCGAAGGTAGCCATCTTGAATTTTTTTGACATCAATTCTAAATTTGGCGTATTAAACACAGTAACTTTTATATAAAACTTTATTGTTATATCTCTTATACTTTCGATGATATAAGACATTAAAGGAAATGATCTATTTTTTTTAAATTTACGTCCAACCTATTCGACATTTTAAATTTCCACAAGGAAATTTTAAATAAGCATCTAAAACTGCAAAACATTGTCCATTTAACAAATTCTCTATCTTTAATAATAAGAAAGTTACCCATGCAATCCCACCCGATCTGGGACACACTGTATATTTCCAGTTAAACCGAAAGTGATACCTGAAGTTTCAATATGTGACCGGATAGATCGTAATGTCCCATATAAAATTATGACTCGCCAAATAAAAATGTTATTTAGGAGACTGTCTCATCTGGAACACACTGTACAGGGTGTGCACGCCCACTTGGAATTTTGTGATCAGAGCCAAAGATCATCCGATCTTTAATAGAGCAGACATTGAAACAAAAGATGGGCTAAATAATAAGCGAGTTACATTAATCTTTATTTTGTGTATTGCTTTAATTACCTTGTGCGCTACCAACCCGCAATTATCTTCTATTCACTGTACATGACCGATCTTTCAACCGGAGAAGTTTTAATTATCCAAGGAATTTATCTCTTACTTTTGTTATTTAAAATTAGTCTCTATCAGTAGTGATAAGTGAATAATTAGAACTATTAATATTTTTTTATGTTCATTAATCATTAATGGAGTAAGGACAACTATTTTTGATAGATTTTTTATAAACAAAAACAAAACGAGCTATTAATACATTGATATAGTTGCTATTGAATTGAATCGAATAGCTCATCAAGCCTAAACGAATGAACGTGCATGGTTACACCTTACTCGCTCCCCAGATACGTCCATTATCTAAACCCTTACCTGCTCTTTATTCTGATGTTCATTCCACTTGACCAACCACCCTATCGACATACATTCCACCCCATTTAAACAATACTTTGAAAGCAGAATCTTCCAAACTAAAACCTGCTTAAGCTATTGCTAAGTAGGGATCGACCGATGGCCGATATTTGGCCCCACTACATTAATATAATTGCGGGGTGGAGACAAAGCAGGGTAATCGGAAAAACCTGGAATCATAGTTCGCGCCTCAAGGACGAAAGGGAATGCGGTGCCTATTCCGCAATCCGGTAAGGGATCCGCCATTATTCGAGCCCGGCGACAAATGACCGATTCAGAACTGGCACGAGCAAGGAGAATCTGACTAATTAAAACAAAGCATTGCGATGGCACCAGAGGATGTAAACGCAATGTTATTTCTGCCCAGTGCTCTGAATGTCAAAGTGAAGAAATTTAAAAAAGAGCCGATAAACGGCGGGAGTAACTGTGACTCTCTTCGTTTTTGTATCGCTCATCCTGGAGGCGCGAGAGATATGGTGACACCCAGACGACCAAACCTCTACGCATACCACCAGCTCAGAAAATTTTGGATTGATCTTCGCCAAATGTTATATTTTTTGATTTCAAATGGCATTTGCGTAAACATATTACTTATAGCTCTGGATAGCCGAAACTATAACATTTCCACTAATACAAAGAAAACCACACATTCCAATACAAAAATTTCAGAAAAAAAACGAATCGAAACGCCGTTCCTATCCAAATCCTAGTCTGCCATGATGAAGCAAAAGATGCAATAAAATATGGAGTGTTCCATTAAAAAAAAAGGTATGATACGCCACTGGAATACAGCACCACTGGTGATGAGGACTATTTTAGAAACATGGCGACGGTAGTTGTTCACAATTTTGCTCCAACACTTTTCCGGTATGATTTATGGTAAAGGTATTATGATCCGAGGGGTCTTAGATGCTACACCCTGTATATGTATATTCTGTTTTGCATTTAATCTCAGATAATCGTTCAAATGTCATCTCAATATGTTGATATGTAACGTCGCTTTTCTTTAATATTTATGCCCCTTTGATGCCGCCTTTATTTCACCATTCGCCAGCTTGAATCTTATTCATATCTTTACATCCGTTACCCTAAGCGCGTTCTTCATTCCGTCACGCTCCTTGCAGCCTCGTTCGGGCGTTCTTCAGACTTTCTGTGCGACTCTCTCGTGGCGTATTTGATTTATTCGGGATCTCTTTTTGACTCCCTAGTCTTGTACCTTTAAACCGCTTTTCTCCTTGTCTTCTATCTCCGACTTTTTTACACCACTTTCTCCCCTTTATGACCCTTTCAGTTCTCCTTCCTCCATACTGTTCCGTTCTACGCCATGCGAACGTTTTGTTTGCTTTCCGTACATACAGTAATGTTGGGTCACCCTGTATGTGTCAAATTTCAGTAACTTTGAACGGTAAATGTAGTTATAATTTCAAAATGAACAAAATTTCGATCATGGTATTTAACTTTGAAGACAATGTGAAGATTAAGTTTATTCTCCGGTCGTTGTGATAAGAAGTTCCGTTATCGCTGCGTGACCTAATTAACTTTGTCGATGAGTGGTGTTTCAATGTTACGGAGATGGTTCAGAAAATGCTTTAAATAGCAGATGAAAACGAGAATCGTGGCTTTTTTGGTGGCGAACGTTAATCCTTTTTTGTGTGAAACCGCTTACTGAATTGTATGTGTTTGGCAGTTTTACAGTTATCGAAGTTTATTGAAAAGACAGTCAGTCTTGTTTGATTGTAAAGTTTTGTGGAAGAAAGATAGTGTTCGTGATAAAAGTAAGCCTGTTTCGAATTAACTTCAGTGGTGCATCACGTATTCAAAGAAGTTTGTTTTTCTTGTCGTTAGTGTGTTTATTGCTTAATTGAAAATCTTTTTTTTATTTTGTCCAAGTTACCTGTTAGAGTTTTTTTTTCTATCATCAAAGAGCCAACGCACCTAATGCTCTCTAAATTGAGTCCAGTGCCGTCAAAGAAATGAAGTTCCAGAAACATCAGAAAATTTGTTGTGTTTGTTTGTGCATTCTGTTTGTTGAAAATCGAAGTTACGACCGGATATTTTGGATTGTTAACACGTAATTTAGATTACTTTAATTAATTGTTTCAATCGATCGCTTGTTGGGCGATATGTGTACTCTGGCCCTGAGTGCCTATTTTTATTTAAGCCTTATTTGATTTGTAATGTAATGTATTTTTCCTGCTTCCTCATTCCTATTTCACGTCTGCTTTATGAATCTTTCATCTGCAGTTTCCACTCTCTCGCTCCAAGCGCTTGATGCTCAGGTTTTCACAGCTACATAACGCGAAGCGCACACTCAAAGACCTTTAAAATCCAGTAAAATGAGAGCAAACCTTACATAATCGACTACATCCCTCACCCAGGTGGACGAACAGACGATGACGCATTCAACAATTATTACTTTACCATGCGAAAATGTGTTATTGTATGCTAACGTTTTCTTTGCAAAATAATAACCGAGCTATAATTTAATTCCATTTTCAAACATACAATTATACCAGTCGAATGCCATTCAACCGAACAACAATTACTTGTTTTCGTGTGTATTCCCACTACTTATTATTTTCTACTTTAATTATTCAGTCATCTCTGGTTAATTTCTATCAACTGTCACAATCACTTTTCCCACAAGAATTTCAAGGTAATAAAAACGAGGTGCATTTGCTTGAGACAATGTTAATTAATAGAATACTAGTCACACTTGTCAATTCTTTTTTGAATTTTGCATAAGGATTGACCTATGTAATAAAAAAATTTATTTGCTTGGACACTGAGAGAAATGATAAGTCGAGACAACACATATTTATTGGTGGGGTCAAAACAGTAAGTGCAAATCTCACCAGAACGGAGTGTTGGTGGAGGATACTCACAAAGAGCCATTGGAACGTCTGAACGAGATATATCCATTGGTGATATCTTGAAAGTGGAGTGTCAGAGGAAAGTATTTACAATTTGTAACCTTGTATTTTTTATTCTTGAATGCACAATAAAAAACCACGTTCAAAAATACTAGAAACAATGTTTTTATCTTTAATGGAAAACACAGAAAAATAATTCATCTAAAAAATTAAAACATCACATTGGCATTGAAAAACTTTTGAAATTATTCACTTAAATATCAATAAAATAATAATAACACTATGTCACTGGGATCTAACTTAATATTTTTCAAAAATTCAAAAAATATTTAAAAAAAGAGGGTTCAAAAAATTAAAAAAATCAAAAAAGCTCTTTTTTGAATTTTGTTTGTGTTATATTTTTAGAATTGAATATACATACCATATTTTTTACTAAAATCTACAGGTTGTATCACTTAAAAAAATGAGGTTAGGTACCATGGTTTTTTTACCTGACCGTGTACGTATACTTACTCACAATCATTATAAAGAAACAGACAGTCAGGTAGGAAAACAAAACTGGATTTTGTGGTCAGATGACCAGGGTCCAAAAACGCTCACCAAAACCACAAAAAATCGGTATATTTCATTCCTTTTAGATCAAGTATCGAATACAGACTTTCATTGAATTATTCCCAATGAATGATCCTTGGATGTGTACTGATTAAATCTCGGATTTAATATGCAGTATCACATGAACCTGAGATCTGGTTCGATTGTATCGCCGGCAGAGACAATACGGGCTGTCCCCAATATTACAGACAGCTTGGGAACGATCGTCTACAGTCGTTGTGAGCAGTGCAATTTTGGTCGCCTCTATATGTGAGACAGAAAGACCCCGAGAAACATTTAGAATGCGGTGCAAGCGACACCACAACAGTGCCCTTTCGCAGAATCACATATTACAATATTCTGTATATATCTCAAGGCCAACAAAAAAAAAAAGAAAGTGAACAGAATATACACTAAATTTCAAGAGAAGTGTGTTCAGTTGTATTGCGTTTATAAGTCATAATAAGAGGCATTGACATAAAGAGCTATCCAATCACCAGTTTCATATTTTCGACTCTACAGCCCATTGGTCCTCTCTGCATTTGGCATGTGTAAAACTTGAACATTCCGTTACATGAACAGCACTGCACAAGGCTCTAATTGCACAACATGAACATTTATCCACCTACTTTTACTACAATTGAAATTTGGTAGTACGCTCACCTGCAAGTGCCTTAATACGGGATCTCTCAAAGAGTCGTGACGATGAATTTCCTCCATCGTATTCGTAATCTTCAACAATCTCCTGCTGTAAGGTGGGATCCCACCGAACTATGGAAATGTCGGTCGTCATTCTTCTCTAATTCACCAGCTGCGCCGAGCCGGATCTAGCTACCTGGAAATAATTCACATGTAACAGCAGAAATGCCGGTAATTGCGATTTTTTTAAGTTGGGGAATTAAAAATCGATTTTGGGGAGAATCGGCGGGGTTGGGGGAACTGGCGCCCAGCGGTCCTGACCTTCCCCACCAAAGCGCTACTCTGTCTGCTGTGTGCCAATGCTGCAGAAAACGACGCAAACGCATATCTTCCCCGTGGAAACGTAATTAGGTCAAATCATGGCAAATTTTGTACGAATTGAATTATTGTAAACGACAAAAAATGGAGCTTCCTTTGGTCAGGCGAATTTGAGGTGCAATTTTCGTAAACGAGGTCGATTGCCGGCGAAGGACGATGACACGTCGCTGATGTAATCGAGAAAACTTAATTGAGTGAAATTATTATGACAAGGTGCAAGGGCAAGGGGTTAACCTTTTCGTCATTATCTAATCTACCCTCTCGAAATTTTCTCACGCCTCGATAACCGACTAGAAACAAAAGTTCCGTTAGTCTTTTTAAAACGTGCAGTGCATTACATAACGTGTGGAATCTAATTACCCCCACCTTCACAAAAACAATGACTCAGATGTACATCACTTGTATTTATAGAATTTTTTAATGCACCGACACCGAAGTTGAACATTGTCGTCGGCAGTCATCACAAAAAATAACCTAACAACAAAAACCGCACTTATCAATAAGGATTTCCTGTGCCAGTTATTAATCGAAGTGAATTAAAAAAGCATGGGAAAACAGGTGCGAATTTTCACGACGCATAAATTGCACACCAAAGGCCACTAAAAATAAGCCGATCGATAAAACAAAATCAAGTTAGGCGGTGAAATTAAATTAAAATAATTCGGGGTTACGCCTATTGGTCCGCCATGTTTATAGGCTTATACCTATGCACATCAATAAAATAGTCGAAAATTCCCAATGAAACCGCAATTAATTACCTTAATAAGTCAATGAAAATATAAATAATAACAACACACACTCCCTACGAAACTAAAAACACACTCCTTCGTTCACATTTAACTCTACACATAAACGAAAGAGCACCATCGCTAAAAAACCCGACTGCTCCGATCCGGTGAATACACTGGAAACTGTACGCAATGCGCATACTCTACAAACGTCATTAAACAATCCGGACTGCCAAATTACGTAATATTTAATTTTTTCTAGTGGCACAATTTGAATTATTCAAAAAAATACAGATAATGCAAGCAAAAACGAATACGACGTTGCCATGCGCTGCGCTGTTATCGCAAGTAACCATCCACGAAATTTTTGATTCTATTTTCTCGCCCGGTGGTTTACTTTGTGTAGCCTACCAATTAAGTACCCCGCCTCAAATATTTGTCTTAATTACTAATTATGATAATTAAGAAGACAAGTGTCTCGCCGGTCACGTGATTGTTTTACTTAAGGAAATTGAAATTATGATTTTGGTTCTTCGCTAATATTGTAGGATGCGTTTTGAAAAAAAAATGAACGTATTTATGGCCCCTTAGGATTTAGCTACATAGGCAGCAAATCATACTGACCATTCAATGATAATACATATCACTAGGGATGCCTGTCTTGAATTGATTTTACAGCACAAAGAATCGATTTTTTATAGATACAGCGTTTTTTTTTAAATTGGCTCCATTTCCAAAGTTTCCTTGAAGTTATTCAACATTTTCTCTTCCTTCCTCAACGTTACTCTCAAATTCCATCATCCTTAGGTAACCCAGTTTTGATCCCAATTTCTAACAAAATAATTAACAGTGTATTTATTTAAAATCTGATTTTATTTCCTAAACTAGTTCCATGTTTCTTCAAAATTTCCGACAAGTTGCTCCTATCTCCAGAATTTAAGTCTAATTTTCCCAAATTTTCTTGAATTGACTACCGACCCCCAATTTTATTGTACCTAAGTATAGCAACGGGACGTTTCCTTAACAATTTTCTATTTGCCTGCAGTTTCTCCTCAATTGGATCAATATTGACAAGGTATTTTTCTCTGAAACTAGGTAACTTGTGAGGAAAGTAAAACAATTGCTTCGTGAATCCTATCCACATATCCAATCCAGTGGCGTATTTACGGGGGGGGGGGGGATATATCCCCCCCCAGAAGAATTGAGTTATCATCATAGCTATTAGGTATTTAGGTAATACTCCGCTATCCGCTCCGTCCACTTTAAAATAAAAGCAATAATATATATAGGTATATATGTAGAGAGCAATTTTGGTTTTGGTTAAAGTCTAAAGTCACCAAAATCTAAATATTCTGTAGTATTCAGTATTCACTATTCAGTGAGTGATCAGTGTTGGCAGTCAACGATTTGGCTATTCGGCATCGATCGGCAATTCGCTACATTGATGCCCAAAATAACAAATGGGTATCAGGTACTTAGTACTGCTACTGAGGTGAGGTACCTGCGTCCTGCCTTTCACGAAATGACGAAAATAAGAATTTTAAATTTTAAAAACAGGAATTTTTTTTGCCCATAACTTTTGATTGAGACGTCTAATCGAAAAAGTACGAATCGTTTTGGATTCTACGCACCAAATTAATAAGAAAAAGTTTTTTCCCGAGAAATTTTGGTGCAGTCGATTTTTGGGAAAAAAGGAAGGTAATACACTGCCTTTTTTTGCCCAGAAAAAAAATTGTCTCAGATCGACCGGAAAAAAATATTTTCTTATAGAATGTGGCCTGTAGAATCCATAATTCCAAACAGTTCCAAGATCGGACTACTAGATCAAAAGTTACAGCCCTTTGAATTTTTTGTCGAAATTGGTTTTTTGCCCATAAATATACCTATTATTCAAAGTTTTCGTTGACTAATTAAAGCAAAAGCAATAAAGGGGCCTGTCAGCAATAAGAAATAAAATACCGTTCTAATCTAATTTTTTCGCCTGTGCAACCCAATTTCTATTTCTTACCCCCCCCCCCCCCCTTCTAGTACGCACTGGGTGACTGTATGTGCCACGAACTTGTCTAATCCCCCCCCCCCCCCCCCCCCCGAAATAAATTTCTACGTACGCCACTGATCCAATCTAGATTGCTATGTGTCAATCTTCATTATTGCATATTATGATAATTTTTCAATTTTGATAACTATTTCAATGTAGGGAATGTATTGGTAATCTACTGACCAAGACTGGACCAATGATGGGCTGTCATGTTTTGGCCAATATTTGTTCATGCAAGACTGGCCCAATATAAGGAGTACCTATCTATACAGTAACAAGATTGTTTCAGCGCATTGGGTGAAATGGTAAAATGTTGGTGATAGGTCGTTCACCCCATATTAAATTCGCAACATTGGGATAGTCTTGGCATTTCAATAATATTCATGTTTGCTTTAATTAATGTTTAATGTATTTCAATTAACATAAATTCCAATTTCTAAATGACGTACCTATAGGTATTTTCTTAACCAATTATTTTCTGTCACTTTTATTTCCTCAAACTTTCGTTCCATTTCGGCATAAATTTCTGAGAATATCTTCGTCTTCGTCTCACATAATTCCCTCTTGTTCCTCTAAAATTCTAAAACACATTGTTATTACTCCCCCTAGGGCCTAGAGTCTACGTCCTTTCTGAACATGAGGTCAGAACGTACGTGTAATTTAGAGGCGCATAGTGTACTATTTTTCTACTCACCTGTAATACGCACTATTACCAGAGACATCCATGTCTCTGACTATTACAACCTTATGACGTAATATACTATTTCCCTCCTCCACAAAGACTTTAAATTTCCACGATTTTCACACATTAGTAAGTAATGAGAATTTTTGTTCCAAAATGGACAACCTATATTTTCTAAAATTTTCTCAAAATTACCCCAGAATTCCTTATTGTTTTTTCGAAATGCCCACTAATTTCGTAATAGGTGTCTTTTATAATTCGCTATAATTTCCCCAATTTATATGGGAAATGAAATAGAAGTTTTCTATCAGGTGAAGTCAAGCTAAGCCACCTCAATTTTTTTGGAATCTTACATGTCACATGTGCCCCCCTTTTTTTCTACTGCTTCTGTCAACACGACTAAGAGTAAGTAGGTTTTCTATTCAGTGAACCCCTTCTAAAGCGAATGTACCCTTCAAACCCCTTTTGGTACCTTTCGTATATTATAAATACAAATTATGGTACGACCAAAATATGTATCTTTTCAGTTTTTTGTTGCAAAAATAGGCAACCCACCAAACACTTGTACAGAAAGTTGCTCCCACAACAGGCGTTTTTTTTTGTGAAAGGTAATTTTGCCTAAATGTTTTCCATAACTTTCTGGAAAATATTTAAATAAATTGTATCCAGATAGTTTACCTTGCTCCCTTTCTCGGGCGGAGTTCAAGTTAACAGAGAAGAGTAATAAACTTGAAGTTCGGTGAACCAAAACATAACCCCATGCAATAGGTAAATTCACATTCTCCCAAAAATTGGCTGTTAAACCGAATGAATGGATAACATTTGTAGAACATGTCTAAAAGTGAGTGATAACTTAACAAGCATCTTTGAAGACGCTTTGCTCTCGTACAAAATTGGAATTATATCATCAGTAAAGGTACATTGATCTTTTTGCGAAAAAGTACCCATTAACATCCGTGTTATCTTTAGGTTTCCGCCGATGACGATTTACCATCAACAATATGCGAGTTATGTATTCGCAACGTGCACCTCCTTTACGATTTCCGAAATGTAATAATCACGAGTAACGCGACGCTACTGAAACGTAGAGGTAGTCTCCCGGAACGCAATAATGAAGTTGTGATTAAATGCGAGTCCAATGTGTTGGAGCAGACAACCGATGAGTATATCAAACTTGATTGCATCGATTCCGAGTTTGATGATGAAATGCCCGAGTTACAAAAACCCTATGTTCAAAAGGCGATTATGAAGGCGGAGGAGCGAAAATTATCTGGGCAGAAAATTAAAGAAAGTAGGAAAAAAAGACCTGTCAAAAAACCAGTACCACACTCCGTTTGTAATGTTTGTGGTGTTACTATTCGCAGTGATAATTTAAATAAACACATTCTTATTCACATAGAAGACCCAGTAAACTGCACTGTATGTGGTAAAACGTGTAAAAATTCCGAATCTCTTCGATCACACATGATAATGCATAGGGGTATCACTTACTCGTGTAAAATTTGTACAAAAGTTTACAAGCATAGAGGAGGGTTAATTGCTCACAGAAAAAGGCATGCAGGTAAGAGTACCCGTTGCTTTCAAGAAACTAAATCACTTTGCTCTAGCTGGCGGCGCTAAGACAGTTCCTTGTTCAATTTGCGGGAAATTATTTTACGATAAGCAAGTACTGCAGAAACACATACGCAGTCATACCGGTGAACGACCGTACCCCTGTAAGTATTGCAACAAGGGATTTTCAAGCCTTTATGCGCGTAATACTCACACTCGTCAACATACCAACGAAAGGCCGTATGCCTGCCAGTTTTGTGGTGCGGCCTTTCATCAGAAGGTCTCTCTAAAAACACATTTTCAGTCTAAACATCCAACAGAGGTTGATGCTTTAAATTCGTTATGAAAATGTAACTTAATCTCGATTTAGGAAATTTTTTTTAATAAAGGCTTAAAGGAAGTGTCTACTTTTTTTGTCTATTCTATTTATAAGGGGAGCCCAACCAGGTTGTACTTCTGCCTCTTGAAGGAAGCTTATTATGTGGGCTCTCTTACAAACTAGTGTTGTGCAGGTGATAGTTAACCATCCAGTGCCCCGTGTGGACAAGGGTGATGTTCCTAATCTGGCTACTCAGTTTTAGAAGATCACTCAGTCTGTAATATTGGCTCTGACAACAGAGGGAGCAATTCCTATAGTAAGCTCGAGTCCGACAAAGACCACCACCACTGCCTTCGCAAGCCAAGAGTACACTGCCACCCAGATCAAGCTTAACTGTCACTGCATACAGACAGTTTTTCTTAAATGTATACATATGGGCAATGTATATTTTTAAAAAAAGCGAATTACACGCATTGAACTTACTATAGGCAACCAACATTACACGGGACAAACTGGAGCCGTTTTCACAGTTCTTAAACTGTTACCTGGTTACCACCCTCCTACAGAGTGTTAATATTTCAAACTTATCGTCTGTAAAAATCACAATTTGCTGCGAATAATAAAAGTAAAGACTAATTGCTAATTTGTCATTGATAATCAAGTTACTGTTTCCATAGCAGACGTCGATTAAATCATTTAAAACAAAATTGTGTAGACTTGGTTGCCTATTATAGCCCTCTACTCCATGCGTTTGATCGAGGCCTACGATACTTATGGGGATTTACGATAATTCAACCGGTTTAACCGGGTTGGTAGAAATCACCATAGAAACAATTGTCTCAATAATTGTAACCATAGCAAAATCTACCAACCCGGTTAAACCGGTTGAATTATCGTAAATCCCCTATTATATTAATTCCCGTTTGCACCGACAAATTTAAGCCGAGCTTAGCTTAAGCGTAGCTTAAAATCCATGGCAACGATTATTGAGACAATGGTTGCCATGGATTTTAAGCTACGCTTAAGCTAAGTTCGGCTTAAATTTGTTGGTGCAAACGGCGATAAGTATCGTAGGCCTCGGTTTGATCCGTTTGTACCACCCGCACGTCAATAAGGGAAGTATTGCATTGGGGTAAAAAATGACCCCACCAGTTTTTTAAGCACCAGGAATCTGATTCAAACAAAATCTAAAAATCATGTCTGTACTCTCACTTTCGGCTAAACCGATTGGAACCAAATTTGGTATTCAAATTCTTAGACATAAAAGGGCAGAATTGCGCATGCGCAGGTGTGCGAGTGGAATCTGTGCTAGTCACAGCAAATTTTTTTAAAAAGTATACATAGCCTATATGTCTAAAAGAGAGTGACTTTATAACTCTTTGGTCTTAGTAAGTCCGGATCACATCCCTTCTTGCAAGGAGGGGATCGGACCTGAAGGTTTTCTCCCAGGTCCGCCCGTGGCCAAGGCTGCTTCGATCCTTCCATTCGTTCCAATCATTTATTTTAGCCATATGGAAACCTTCCGGGCCTCTGCTTCCACAGCTAAGTGTAAAGCTAATCTCCAAAGTGCCTCCATGGCCAAAGTTGGCATAGTCTTCATGGTTCTAGTGACTGCCAGACGGGAAAGTCTCTGAATCTTTTCTAGCATGTTATCTGTAGGTTGCCCTGCACGTGGTAGGCTACCATACAGTATTATTGGCCTTATATATATACTACAGAGTAAAGCCAATATACCAGTCGAAGGTTCAACCTCTTCTGCATGGAGCCCATAGACATGCAGTGACCTTTTTGCATATTGGGTCAATGTGCGCTTTCCTGGTCCAAGTAGACATAAGGATTTATATGTATTGTTTTTCCCTCTGTCTACTTTTCAATGACAAAATCTCTTCTGAAGGGCGCCTAATTCTACGCAACCAAAATGCTTAAAACATGTGATTTATTAGATAACAATAATGAGCCTTTTTTCGTATTCCAAGTACCAAAGTAATGATCGTGGCAGTTTTTGGCGAAAATTTTGAATTCTGATTGTAGTTCAGAATATCCTCCGTTCTGAAAGTTTCTCAATAAATAAATTAACAAAAACATTTTCTCGTGGAGAGTTCTGGACAATCCCTCGATAGTTTTAAAACTTTTCTGCAATGGGGTTCTGTGACAAACCTTATAAAAATTTTAAAAAAAGTTTTTTAAATATTCCAAATGCCAATGGAATTTTTGGCACCATCTTTTGGCAAAAAAGTGTCGTCTAAAAAAGTTTTTACATTTAGTTTTGAGAAATACAATTTAGCTGAGGGTAGTTCTGAAACCTCCGTTAATGGAGTTGTTATGGTAACCCTTATAACAAACGAATCAAACGGATTTCTGGTATTCTAAGTGTTAGGTTTGATGTGGAAATTAGCCAGGAAGCAATAACTCGGTTAATTACATTTATATATTGAAAACGAACATTGAGAAAAAGAACTTAATACAAAACACATGGTACAGCTAAAACGACATTCATACACTCCTGCCTTACATCTGCAGTGTTGCCACTACTACTTAATTGTTATAGGTTTGTAAACTAAAATGTGTATACAACACTAAGTGCCATCAGAAAATTCTTGATCATTTTTGGTACATTTTTCAACTCTAGTTGGAAGGCCCTATTATGGCCACTTTCTCCGTCCGTCCGTCCCTGCGAGGACTTGACTAATCCTACAGTTTTCAAGATCTTTAGTTAGTTCTTTTTGCATTCTATAGCTCTTGAAAATCTTGTCGATTCATCTTAGCGTATAAACCTAAGCACAATAAACGGCAAAAGTGTAAAATTATGGTAGGTACATGAAAAAAATTGATCTTTTACTATAACTTTTTTTAGTAATAAACGCAGAAATTCCTTCCTTGTCGCAGGTCTCGAACAAATCAAGGGACGGCCAGACGGACGAACAGACGCGTTTTTTTTTTAATCTTTGTGGACGCGCTAAAAAGGCATTTTTCTGGAAATTACTTTGAAATCTGACTTTATAATTGCAAAAACGTTCAGAATAAATGGAATTCATTGTTTGGGGGTAATTGGTAAAGGAGGTGTAGATATCCTTTTACGAGAATGAATTTTTATAATATTAATAATATTTAAGTACCTAGCAAAAAAATGCCTGCGATTTTTCGCCCGTAAATGTGTACAAATTTCAGTTTCCCATGTAGTAATAACCTACGTAGCTCCTCTGTACCAATTGATAGATATATATATAGAGATAATTAAGATACCTAATCGTTCAATAGCTTTTTCGTCCCACTTACAAATTAAATTGCCAAAACTTTTGACTAGGATAACGTGGATAAATGGAAATAAAATTGATTTGGACTAAAATTAGACCAATAAACACTTACCTACCTAAATTTATGCCAAATACAACACTTCGACAAAATAATTCAAAATTGATATGATATTACCTGGAAGCACTACAAACCTAAGTAAAGTAAAAACATCAATAAACCACAATAATATATTAAAATATCGAACGCGGTTCGTCAGTAAAGCATCCGTTAATTCACACCTACATAATTTTGTATCTCTGTTAAAATTTGATTTTTCCTGGGAAAGAACCCATAATTTTTGGGCCAGAATGGAGCTTTTTCTGCATAAGAAGTCACTTTTTGTACATCAAATTACGACTAGTTCGGACCAGTTTGGAGCTAACATTAGCACCCCCTAAAGATTGAGATGCATGAACATGTCAAATTTGTGTCAAATTTAATCTCACTTTCAGCAAATACGTTAAATTTTATTTTAAATTTTATCCCCTGAGATGATACGTGGGCAGCTCTTGAAAAAAATGTGATTGGATAGATCGTAATGTCACATATAAAATTATATTTGACAAATTTGACGTAGGTATATTGAGGTAACCCTCTTATCGCGAACGCACTGTATAAGGGAACAACGTGTTTTAGAAGAGGTATTTTTCCATTTGCTCCTGCTCCTCCTTTTATGTCTAAGAGTATGTGTACCAAATTTAGTTGCAATCGGTTCAGTCGTTTAGCCGGAAATGAGAGTATACAGAGGGGGATGGAGCTAATTTTATCCATCATGGTACCATTGAATAAGTTACTGGTACTCTAATGAAAGGTCTCAACGAAAAGAATTAATTTCTATGAACCATAGTCTTCCTCCTCAATCCCTTATCCAGATCGGATATATTTCCTTATACCTCCAGAACGAATTGTCGGAAGAGGGTAATAATAATGATGTCAAAACTTTAGGAGCGCATATCTCGAAAACGGTCGGAGGAAAGTACACTCAAAGGCAAAATGAATCGCCTGGACGAGACAAATATCTTGACAACAAAGTGTCGGAAGAGGCCAAGAGGGTACTCATAAAAGGCAAGTGGAACGTCAGGACGACACATTCTATTGGTGATGTCAAAGCTTTCAGTACAAGTATCTGCAGAATAGTGTGTCGGAGGATTTTGAATGTATCACTCCTACACAAAGTTTCGCCCGGTTCGTCGTCTCAATACTCATTGGAGCGCGTTGAACTAGATTTCTTCTTACTTCTGCCAGCTCTCCAGGCTATAACCTTTCAGAAATTCCAATGGCAACACTAATGGATCTAATTTAAAAAAAGCATTTTTACAACTGCTTCACATTACTATCTATCGATATCGTAAGTGTCTGGATTATACCATGAATAAAATATCTCCAGTGATATGATACTGATTTTTTTTAAATGCTATCTTCTTTGGAATTCTTATATCTTCTTCTCTCTCATTTACCTTCCACTCTAATGCTTATCTTTCCTTACATCCAAACTTACCTTTAATTCAACAGTCAGAAGATGGTGGATTGGTGGATTAAAGGACATGAATTCAGGATAAGTAAATGTTTACCCAACCACAATTCGTTCGAGTGGTTTATTTAAGCAAATCCCTTGAAAACACTTGTTCCTACGTCCTTTTATCAAATAATTCAACATTTGATACTTGATAACGATAGGAAAACCATATAAATAGAGATCTAAAACCAAATGTCTCCCTCAGCCATGTTGTTTAAAGGACTTATTATTATATTAGCTACCGTCTCCTTCTCTCGGCAAGAGGAGGTGAGGTACGGCGATCTCGTGACGAACTTCGTAGTGCCAGAAGATGCGAAGCTACTAGTGGTAAGTATTAAGATTTGCAAACACGTGCGTTGGTAATTTATTGGTGAACCAGCCTGAACTGATCAGAAAATATGGTTATCCGTGTGAAGTGCACACGGTGGTGTCCAAAGACGGGTACGTCTTGGAAATGCATCGCATACCCTTCGGAAAAAGTGGCCCCTCCGAAAATCGACCGGCAGTTTATCTACAGCATGGAATCCTGGCGTCTTCAGCGGATTGGGTTCTTAAGCAAGACACTGGCCTAGGTAAGTTGATTTTTGTGTCGTTGAGTCAGGCTGATGTGTTGACTGCAACAGGATATGTACTGGCTGACGCAGGATATGATGTCTGGATGCCAAATGTACGTGGCACCAGGTACTCCCGCAAACATATAACTTTGGATCCAGATAATGACGCCAGCAAATTTTGGGATTTCTCCTGGCACGAAATCGCAGTTGACGATGTGCCTACAATGGTCGATTATGTCATAGATACGGTGAAGCAAGAACAAATTTTTTACATAGGCCACTCTCAGGGAACAACTATTTTCTATGTAATGTGTTCGGAGTTACCAGAATACAACGGGAAAATTCGAGCCATGTTCAGTTTTTCACCTGTGGCATGGATGGGTCATATGACGAGTCCCTTACTGCGAATTGTTGCAATGGCGAACTGGTTTGTGGGGGTAAGAAATCTGGTAATTCTTTAGAGCGAAACTTATAGTTAACCATTCAGCCGTTCCTGAACCTCATCGGCGTGCACGAGCTCCTTCCTCAGCACTCATTTTTTGCAGAAATAGGGGACAAGTTGTGCGGAGACAACTCATTTCTTCAACCCCTTTGCACTAACGCCCTATTTGCGATATGCGGATTTAACCCTAAACAAATGAACGCCTCGCTAATACCTACAATCATGGGACATACACCAGCGGGTGCTGCCACGAAACAATTGCTACATTTCGCTCAAGAAGTTAACTCAGGTAATATCGAAGCCATTTCTAATGTTAGTATTCTGACGGTGTGGACGCGTAGGACATTTTAGGAAGTACGACTACGGCTTCTTCCGCAACATCGCTAAATACGGATCCATTTCTCCTCCCAAATACAAACTGAAGAAAGTCACAGCTCCGGTCTACCTGCATTACAGCAGAAACGATTGGATTTCGAATGAGAAGGACGTAATTAAGCTATCTCGGGAACTTGGAAATGTGAAAGGCAAATTTTTAATACTGGACGATCGATTCAATCATGTCGATTTTGTATATGGGATCGACGCCTATCAATTACTTTATCTCAGAGTACTTGGCCTAATGAAACGGCACTAGTATAGTTGTAACGAATTTTTCTCAGGGAAACTTCTGGTACCAAGTTCTAAGGCACGAGGGTAACGTGTGCGAAGTTTGGAGAGGATAAGCGAAAAAAATGGTACCTATATAGAATAGTTTCTTTACCTTTACCGTTAAAGAAGCATATTAGAAATACATTACAATATGTGTTCCTTATTGTTCAATTTATGTGTTTTAGAATCAATATATCAATAAGTATCTACTTAAGTACGATTATAAATTATATTCTTATATTCTCCTTGAGAAATCGTTTTTTTAATGATAGTGCGGTTGTTACACATCATATTTTGATCGAAAGCGGCATTGGCGTATAAATGTCAAAAATTGTTGACGTATTGTAAACGTGTCCTAATAAATGATTCCACCCAAAGTTTTCTTCGGAAATGTCCAACCCACTCCCCAGAGGTTGATTCAGCGACTTTCCGGTGAGACTTGTGCCTCAAAACGACACTTTTTCCTCGACGCTTTCCAAACATATCATGGTGTTAAGGATGAATAATACTAAACTGGGGGGTTTGGGGGTATGGAATACCACCCAGTATCCAACGGTGTTATGACAATTGCAGGACATTTGTTCTTTTTTCCTGGAGGGTGTTCAATATCCCTCCAGACTGTACGGTCGATGATACGTTCTGACTCAAAACGTCCGGCCCTAAGGACTCTGTCTTCGAGTATTTCTAAAGTACATGGTGTTAAGGATGAGCAATTAAACTAAACGCGGGGTTCTAGAGAATATGGAATACACCCCCTCCCCCCCCTGTATACGAAAGTCTTATGGCAGTTGCAGGAAAATTTGTTCTTTTTTTCTGGACCCCCGTTGATACGTTCTGCTTCAAAACGACTCTTTCCTCGATTCTTTCCAAAAATCATGGTGTTATGATCAGCAATACTAAACCGGAGGTTCCGTGAGGAGGGGGGGGATTATGGAATACCCCCCCCCCCAGTACGAAGGTCTTAAGACAGTTCCAGGCAAATGTGTTTCTTGTCCCGGGAGGGTGTTCCATACCCCCCGAAACCGGGAGGTGTGGGGGGTATCCATACCCTCCCCAATAAACTCGAAGGTCTGACAATTCCAGGAAAATTTGTTCTTTTTACGTGGAGGGTGTTCCATACCCCTCAGATCCCTCCCCCTCCCTCCTTCGATACGTTCTGCCTCAAAAGGTTCATCGCTAAGGACTCTTTCCTCGATTTTGGTATCAATTCAAAAAGTTAACAAAAATCAAAGAATTAGAAGAAGTGGGAAGAATCACGAAACTGCCAGGGTTTTAAAAAAATGTGCTACAATTTAAATCAATTGTACAGTGTCACGAGGGGTCCTGAAGTGCCAAAGGATCTGGAAAAATGTAAAAAATACAAAGAAATTGAAGAATCGAAAGCGCTTTAAGACGTTAGAAGAATTTTAATGAGCCTTTACGGAAGAAGAGGAAGAGATGGAGGAATTCAATTAATATACACGGTGTCCATTTTTCGAGTGCCACTATGGGGATCTCGCATATCTTAAGAGATAGACATTTGGTTAAATGATGGCAAAGTTGCGAATTTTCGTGTTGAATAATAATCTGAAAAGAAATTTAAAATATCTTCAATAGTTTTGAAAATATTGCAAAAAAAAAGAAAATTTCTGATTTTCGTTTTTCATTTTTTCATAGTAAACTAATCGTTCTAGGCATTTCTAATTAACACATTATTCAGACACTTTTTAATGGAGATTTCGAATATGGCATCTCATTTTCAATAACTTTTAAGATGACGGAGAAACACGTGGCAACTTTAATTTTTCTTCTGGGCGTCTTTTTGGATTTTGACATTTTGAGATTACGTCTTTTTTTCTCTTTACAACGTTATATCACACATGGTATGGGTTCAGTAGCACATTTTTCCTAAAATTGCAATTTTCATTTTCTGCGAAGAGTGCTTTGGAAAAACAAAACGTTCTTTTGTTGTGAACAAAAGGTTGACTTATTTCAAGTAGTGTAATTTACGTTTGTGCTAGAATTATTGCGAAAATATTATTTATTCTCAAGTATTTTGTTCTAATTTGAATTATAATTTTCTTGCAAAACGAAGGTTCAATTCTATTCAGATGAAAATCTCAACACAACTAGTTCCCTGCCAACGCTCCAACCAGACAGATGGATCAAACTGTCAAACTTTTGTTCACGATAAAAGAACGTTTTGTTTTTCCAAAGCACTCTTCCCGAAAAATTAAAAAGTGTCTGAATGATGTTTTTTTGCGATATTTTCAAAACTAAAGATATTCTTAATTTCTTTTCAGATTATTATTCTGCACGAAAATTCGCAGCTTTGCCCCCATTTAACCAACTCTCTATATCTTCAGGTAAACGAGATTCCCATAGTGGCACTCGAAAAATGAACACCGTGTATACCTAGTTATAAGAATGTGAAGATCTTAAAGGAATTGGAAGAATTTGAAGATACGCGAAAATCTAAAGATTTTATTAAAAATTAAAGAATAAAAAGAGTCCGGTTTCGGGTAGCCGAAGAAACTGAAAAAATTGGCGATGAGCGCTGAAGAAGATGTAAGAGCAGCGCCTGTAAAAGGTGAGGTGAGGATGGCGTTTAGAAATCGTAAAGAACACGAGGTGGGAAGCGCGAATGAAAATGAAAAATGGGAAGAATCCGGAAAACTGAAGAGGAGACTGAAAATATGGAAGAATTTGTAATATCCGAAAAACGGAAGGATTCTACAAAAAAAAGATTAAAAAAATTTTAGTCCAAGTGAATTTTATGAAATTGAAAGGTTTGAATTTCGAAAAAATCGGAGGATTTGAAAAAAAATTTGAAAATTTGAAGGGTTTCAATCTAAAATTGAACAAGATATTTTTTAGCAGAAATATAAGCATTGCTTTATTAATGGGTTTCAGAAATCTCGGCGACTAGTTATGGGAAATTCAGATCATGTACAGGGTGTTCCATTTGTATAGTGTTATAACTAATTTTTTTAAATAGAACATCCTGTATATTTTTACTTGTTTCAATGTCATTTGTTAACCTCTACATGGAAACCTATTCACTTTTTGTATTCTTGTCAACGTTGCCATTTTATTAATTTTTTTCCGAATAATTCCTCATAAGCAAACGTCACTTTGATAAATCGTAGCCACATTGATTTTAAAGTTAAAAAATACATTTGATCAATAATGTTAATCCGAGTAACACGTTGATAATGAGAAAGTTGGATTTAGTAATACAGGGTGTTTACAATGAAATGGTAAAATTTCCAAACTGTGCGATAACTATTCTTTTTCAAATGGAGCTACCACTATTTTATTTTCATAGTCACCTTAATTATGGCCTATTTGGGTACAATAGGACGGTAATTAAGCAACGAATTAAAGTAACGATTAATGATGGTCGTTCGAGTTAACAGTTCGCCATTTTGTAGGGGGTGATTAATTAAGTAAGATATATATTTGCAATGGTAAGATTAAGGGGGGGTGATCTTTGGCATTAATTCGGGTGTTTACTAACAGCACAATCCGCGTGTAGTTCGAAAATTAAAGTTGTTAATTAAATCGGGTTACACTTGCTATCAAAAATCCACAAATTTTACATCCACCGGGAAATCCTTTTTGTTATTAATTTTGCCCTCTATGGGCAAAAAGCAGAATAATAAAAAAAGAAGTAGTAGGTAGTGTTAGCTCTAAAATTGTGAATATATTATTCTAAATAAAACTTTTGTTTCAATGATCAAAATAAAATAAATATTTTTTTAAATTTATACAAAATAGCGTTGAATAATTAACTTTAAATTACTTATTCAATGATAATAGTGTGTTTTACCTACATCATGGTTTAATCCAGAATTTGTAAATGCAGGTATGATCATACGTTTCTCCAGGGTACAGTGAAGCTTTTGGGAAGTTTTTCTGAAAATCTACTGTTATTTAGGCTTTTGAAAGTGATGTATTAGCGTACATGATTGATGGCGTCAGGCCAATTCTGCGTTTCAAAACAAAAGGCGCCATGTTTGTGGTAAACGCATTCTCCTTTACCTATCAGCCGTTTACTTTGATCCTGCAACAAATTTTATTAAACGTTTCAAGAATCTTTAAAAGAGACTTTTTTGTATTTCTTACGTGTGTGAGGGCATTGTAAATTCTGGTACAGCGGTTATCCAAAAATTTTGAATATTATAGGGAGGTAAAAATGAAAAAAGCATATCAATCATTTAAGCTTTTCCATTTTTTCAAAAATGTTTTGGAAGTAGAAAGGTTGAAACAAAAAAGCTTAAATAAACTGATCCAAATTATTCCCATAGGAACCTACTTATACATAAATCAGTATTTCGCTGAGAAGTTACTGATTTCTTTTGGAGACAAAATAAGTTAATTAGGTATAGGTACGTACCCCTTTATCGTCTTTAGGATCACCTGGAATGGAGTTGGACGTGTAAAATTGAACACCAGGCTGATTGCTATATACTTCTAATACTCTTCCACTCGGCGGGTGTAAAGCTCTAAAATAAAACAGTTATAATTTATTATCCCTCTTTTGGTCTGGGTCCTCAACAGGCTTGCGCCCATTACAGAGTGACCCGCATAATGCTTTTTTAGAGGTGACTCTGGAGAAGGTTTTCGTTTATACGTCAGTACCAAAACTTGTTCCTCTCAGGGTTTAGGTGCTCAGAATAAATTCAAAATATATCGGTTAATGTTACCCGCAAAATAGATACTTACTAACAACACACTGTATACGTTTAGATTCAACATTCAACTTTTTGGTTCAGTAATTGATCAGTTTTTCACTTTCACACCACAAGAATTGCGCCCCATTAACGAAATTGATGTAGGTTGAATTAATTTTATGAATTAGTCTTGATGTTTTTGTTCTTTCAAAGACCACAAGAGTAACAGTGTAGATTGATTAAAAAAAACATTTACCTACCTTGCAATAAAAGCAATACCCTGATCGGTCCCTTTATTGATGCAAAAATTGTGATCATACCCATCGTAATTTGGAATAGTGTGTATAACGTCGCCTAACACTTTCGGAATTTGTAAATCCAGCGGAGTGTCGACTACCGACAACAATCTACCTAAAGAAGGTATAAGAAGTGCATTTGCAAATATCACGAACTTACCACTTGGAATGGAATTTTCATCAACCTCAGTCGTTTCATTGGCGTTAATGGTTATAAGGTGCCTGTACACCTCTGTCGCGCCCATTTCGTGACCGGCCAAATTAAAATATGAGTGGTTCGTCAAATTTACGTACGTCGGCTTGGTAGAAGTTGCTTTGAAATTTACCAAAAATTCGTTTTGATCGTTCAAGTGAAACGTGATATTAACTAAGACATCTCCTGGAAACCCCTCCTCTCCATCAGGGGAGGTGTAACTCATAATCACTTTCGTACCATTGACGTAATAATCCCAGTTCACCTTCGATGAAATAGTCAGATTGCTACTTTGCACAATGAGATTACCTTATCAAATCCTCTCAGGCCTCCGTGCAGGGTGTGATTTCCTAAATTCGCGGTGACACGGTACTGAACCCCATCTATTCTGATCGTGGCGTTGCCAATACGATTGGCTACTCGACCGACGGTAGCTCCAAAATATGGATTTAGCGGGTTGAGGTATCCTATGAAAAAATAGCTTTTGTTAACATTGTTTACTTAGAGACCACTTCAAAAAATTGGGATATACTTCTTCCTCACGCATATAAACGTTTTTACTGCTTACATCTTCTCACTTTTTAGCATCAGAGGCACAATGTTCTCCGGTGTTTGATCAATTCACCGGCCAAATGCCACCTCGGCTCATCCTATATGGGACACTCGAATGCTGCAAGTCAGCAGTCGGCATCCCTCTTGTTTGTATAGTGAAGATACGCGCCCACATCTCCACGATCGTGTCCATCCTGCGGACTTACGGTTTCCAATCTGGCACAAAGTGGGTTTTTTCATTCTCTCTCTCTCTCTCTCTCTCTCTCTCTCTCTCTCTCTCTCCCCCTCTCCCTCTCCCTCTCCCTCTCCCAGAACTAACTCGTGAGGGACCCCTCCACACTGTTTTTTTTCAGGGCACCACGTGAGGTCCGACAGAAGTGAGAACAATAATCTATAAATTACCTAGACAGGTATTAGCCCGGAGCCGAAAAGAACCGGTACCGAAAGCGATTTAAGTCCCTCACTTGAAACCGTTAGTCAAGTTATATACTAAGTTATGATAACCGGAACCGATACCGGTACTGTTATTATTAGTGCCAAAGAATCGGTATTTTTGGGTTCTTTCTCTCTAGTAAGGAAACACGCACCGCTTTGTGAGAGAAAAATGAGTTTTATATTTTTGGTTTTAAAATTCGGGTCATGATATAGATTTTGTTTGATTCGAATTCCTGGTGCTTGAAAACGCGTATTTCAGTCAAAAAAGTGGGGGGTCATTTTTTACCCCACTTTACTAACGCGCGTGTTGTAAAAAGTCGATGTCTCAATGCATACCTACTTTGCCATACTGATATAAAATATCGCTAATACCGAAAATAAAGATAGTAAGAGGGAGAAGAATATGTGTGAAGAAAGCAATCGTTGAAACTATTGCTGAAGAAAAGAAAAGTAGAAAAACACAGGCAATTGACAGAAGTGAAACGAACGTGTAAGATAATAATTTTCAAAAATTATTGAAGTCGCAGAACCGGAACCGGTACCCTTCAAAAATTATTTTACCGAAGTAGTGCGGAACTAGATATCATTCCCGAAATAAAAATATGAAATTTGGCACACTACATATGCTCTTCAAGAGTAATAGCATTGACTGGAGGGTATTATAGTCAATGGTGTAATAGTCATAAAAAAGTTAGGGTTGCCGTTTGACGTAACATCTCAAATTTGGAACACCCTGTATAAAATTTTATTACATAAAGAAAAAATTTGGAACACCCTGTATAAAATTTTATTACATAAAGAAAAGGGCAGTTTAAAATACTAATCGAAGTGTCCGAGCATATTTTCGAAAAAAAAAAAACTTCTTTGATTTAGTGAATTGATTCAAATTTCACCACATAACGACGCGGTGCTGAATTTTTTATACAGGATGTAGTAGGGACAAAATATACAAAAGAAGATTTTAAAAGTTGTACGCAATCTGAGCATTCGTATTATTTACATTATAACGTTTATAATAAAACTCAGGTAAGTACACTAAGGTAAAGATTGTAAAAATTACCTTCACGATAAACTACTTCAGTATAATAAATGAAGCTTATCAGCGTACTTAGATAATAATAATAATAATAATAATAATAATAAGAATAGTCCTAGCACAGTTAAAAAACACATAACTCCTTCTTCACAGAAACACACCACATTTTCACAACCCACTCGTATTCAACCGCAACGCAAAAACCTTAACAGAACTACAGGCTCACAACATACTAAAATATCTCCACCAAAAACCCAAGCAACTTCACAAACACAACCTCAAGAACAAAGAAACATCATAAATAGAAGTAACGCAACATGCACTACAAAGACAGGTCCACCCAATAAAGTTACACGCCCTAGCACAATTAAAAAACACATAACTCCTTCTTCACCGAAGCACACCACGTTATCACAACCCACTCTTATTCAACCCAAACGCAAAAACCTATACAGAACTACAGGCTCACAACATACTAAAATATCTCCACCAAAAACCCAAGCAACTTCACAAATACAACCTCAAGAACAAAGAAACATCATAAACACAAGTAACGCAACATGCACTACAAAGACATGTCCACCCAATAAAGTTACACGCCCTAGCACAGTTAAAAAACACAATACTCCTTCTTCTCAGAAACAACCCACTCGTATACAACCGAAACGCAAAAACCTTAACAGCACCACAGGCTCACAAAATACTGCAATATCTCCACCAAAAACCCAAGCAACCTCACAAAAACGACCTCAGGAACAAAGAAACACCATAAATACAATTAAAAAACACAAAACTCCTTCTTCACAGAAACACACCACGTTATCACAACCCACTCGTATTCAACCCAAACGCAAAGCTAAAGAAACACTTACACAATAAACTCCATTTAATAAAATTACAGGAATTATTATAATGATTTTTTTTTGTTTTGTTTTCCTCTTTCCTGATAGCGTTGGCTATTGTGCCCATCAATAGGTATGTTGGTAAGTACGAATTACATACTATCCCTAGATGTCCAATGTACGTGTGTGATTTTTATTATTTTTTATTTTTTTTAAAGGACCCTACATAACTTCACCAGACACAGACACAGATACTAATCGTACTTGATTTTAATCCGTGCGATTAGTTAACCAGGCTAGACCTGAGTTCTCACAAGAAACACCGACCATATAATAATAATAATAATAATAATATATATTTGTGTTTCTGCGTGGTTACACTTACACTCGTCAAAATTACATGTAAACAGATAAAACAAAAATACGGTTATTAAAAGTACAAACATGAGCATTACACTAAACTAAACTAAATTACGAACAATGTCAATACCTAATTCACAGATTTACAACTGTTCACGAATTCTTGATGGGAATAGAAAGGATTGACTAGAAGAAAGTTTTTAACATTGGTCTTAAAAGTTGAAGAATCTAAATTTTTAAATTTCGTGGGGAGGCAATTAAATAAAAATTGAGACTGATATAAGGCTCCATGTTGAGATTTGGACAGTCTACATAACTCGGTGCGTATATTGTTCTTGGAGCGTGTATTATAGTCATGTAAGTCGGATTGGTATATATTACTACCCTCATTTTTTTTTGCAAAAGACACAGCTTCAAGTATATAGATGTTAGGGAGTGTTAAGATGCTTAATTTGGTAAAAGTTGAACGACAATCATAATAGATAGAATAGATAATATAATTAAACGTACAGATGGATATGCAGTTGACAATAATTGCAAAGAATATAATATATTACGTATACAATAAGTACTCGAATATTTTTTTTCTATATCGTCCGATAAATGTAAGTATTAGGTAATCAAGTTTTCACAAACCAAGTTTGGATTTGGTCGTATCGGAAGGAGCAACCCAAAAACCTAGATAAGAAGTTGAACTAAAGAATTGAAGAATTTTTTAATTTTAACCATTTAAAATTTCAAATTCTGGCAGTTCAATTGAACCGCAAATGTTGTTACAAATACCATGACCTGAATAATTAATGTGTAATACTCTAGAAACCAATGTATTATAGCGAATATTCCAGAAACCCCGATAGACATCGAGGCGCCATAAAATTAGTCATCAGAGATAAAAATCGAAGGCAGATGTGGCGTAATATTTCCGGAAAATATGGTGTGTTTTGTTCTAGAACGTTCGAGCACATTCGAAAGCACTCGAGAAAATGGGAGAAAAGTCTAGAATAATTGAAATCTCAATAGTTATAATAAGCAGACAAGACAAACGTGTCGTATTAGAACAAACAAGTGCATTGTTCATCGGCACCCCTTGCGCCCACCACTTATTCCATGGGATTGTTTAATATATCATGTCGTTTATTGCGGATTATTTTCATTTTTAAATTTAATAATTGGCGATTTTAGCGCCCCTTGTTGAACGGCACCCAAGACACGTTCCCTGCCTCCCCATCCTAGATGCGCCCCTATTCCTGATACAAAAGACAATAATTGTTTTCAAACATTCTAAAGAAATGATTTAGCTGTAGTAGTAACAAACAATGGATAATTATAGTACGCTCCGCCAATTAGAATAGAGAATTTATTTATAGAATTTTAAATTTATTATAATCTCATGTTAATCTTAATATCATTTTTGTGGGGGATTATGCTATAAATAGCTTAATAATTAATTATTTACATAGGTATCTACGTAGAATTCTTTACTACCCCAACAAATTTACTACAATTTTCTCTTAGTTCCATTAAAAGCACAACCATAGGACTGCTGGGAGGGGTAGCCCCCCCCCTCCCACTGAAACAGTTTAAACCCATGGTTTATATGAAAATATATTGGTTTAGGACCACTCCATGACTCGCATCACGAAATTTCTTGGGAATATTTACCTGTTACGTCCTGTATGTCTAACATTTTTCAAGTAAATATCTTGTCTCTATCACCTATGCAAGAAAGGTTGCAGAAAGGTAAGAATAGTGTAAGGACAGTTGCCTATAGTTCATTATGATAATGCAAGATAAAAAGGATCGATAGCCTATAATTTGCGGACAGATTTAGTGCTTCCTCTCTACAATACCTGCATTACATAATACAACAAAAAAATAAGGAATATATAAGGTGCGTGAAAATTAAAGCCAACTTGGCAACATTGTAAAAACAAAAGAAAGCTTGTGTATTGTCGCGATTGGTTCACGTAACGCACCAAATTGATCGATTTCTCTCGGATCTAATCTCCGGCGTGAATAATTTACCTTTCATATCGTCGAATCCCATGACAATGTCGTCGATCGCCCCATTTTTGTCGGGAACTTTAATTGATGTAATAGTCGCTCCGTAGGTAATCACTTGGACGGTCACACGATTTTTATTTCTCCACGTAAACCTTCGGACGGGTGTCGACTTTCCGCTTGTTTTGTCAGTGAATAAACCAAACTCGTCTTCCTCCAGTATAATTTTTGCAGTGTTCATTTTTGCAATAGTTATCGGCAAATGGTAAGGTGCGAGTAGACCTAAGATGACTAAGTGTAGACATGTTTATGGCTTCTATTTATTGTCCTTGTGGAAAGATAAGGGCGATAACAAGTTGAGAAAAAACTGTTTTATTTTTATTTACGTGTAAATTGCGGCTTTGAAATGAAGCGATTTGGCTGGCGCTGTTGCCAGATGCGCGCCAATGTTTACCGCCAAACATTGAATTCTAAAAACAAGGTGGAGTTCACTGCCGCCAAATGTGCTTCCCTATCTACCACTTTTTTCCGGTGTTTGCTTACTTCGTTCAACTATTTTTTTATCACTTTACTCCATGGGTATAGGCAACACATCATACAAATATTTGAATATAAATTCTATTTATCTTACTGACTGCGCAGACACGATTGTCGAGTAATAAATTCAAATTGATCTGCTACTTTAACTGCTTTTCATCTATTTATCTCACAGACTGCAACATAGAAAACCTAAACCACGCGAATTAATATGATGTAACTTAGGGTTTAGTGCTTGGTCCACTGCTATTATACATATACCTTTCTCTACCCACATTGAAACCATAGTTGCGTTATTTCCAAAAACAGTCTACAACGTTTTCGAAATTGAACATAATGAAATAGTTCATTGCACCCATACTTTTTCTTCTATGCTATCACTTTGACGGTCGTAATAATACTGTTATCATTATCCATTTTTGAACCTAAATAAATTTCTTAGAAGTGTTAACGATGCTAGAAAGTGTTCTCTTAGTACGTAATCAACTTTAAATATTATATCTATAACAAATTATATATAATTATATATAAATTACAGGATCAACATGGAAGCAAAACAAATCAACCATGACTGAAAAGGTCCCAGAAAATGTAAAGTGGTACGATAAGTTCACATACAAAATAGTGACCTGCACTGAACATTTATTTTACAAGTAAGTTACCATCATCATCGATTTTAATTAGTAGAACCATTTATCTCAGTTTAGGATTCAAAATCGCGTCAAGACCATGGACCACAATCGGAATTTGTTGGCTGGTAGTTGCGCTGTCTGCCTTTGGATTCTTTCGATTTCATCAGGAGAAAAATCCACTCAAATTGTGGGTGCCGGCACAGTCGACCTTTTACCACGATACCAATTGGTTAATGAGTAAATTTCAAAATGGGTTTCGGATGGAGAGCGTCCTCTTCGAGGCGCCGGACATTTTAACCCCAGGCGCGCTGAGAGAGGTACCTACACAACAACATTCTTCAATTTTTTACACTAAATTGCAGATGCTAAACATTGATCGGCAGATAAAAAAAATCGTTACCTCGACGAGGGTGACATGGGAAGACGTCTGCTTCAAGTAATTACCTCCATAAATTGTACTTGGCATAATCGAACTACTTACAGGATTCCAGAAGTCGACTCCAGCTTAGACTTTCTATACAAATCGAAATCACAGGATGGCACCATCGAAATCTACGATCCAAGCGTTCTGCTGGGTTCTTCGGCTTACTGCAGAATGCTGCAGAGCTTCGACAAGGTATGTTTCGAAAGGAATCTTCTTCAACTTTGGGATTTTGACGAAGGCCAACTGGCCCAATTAACCAAACAGGATATTGTAGATAAAATTGACGAGTTTAAAATAGAGTGAGTTCGCGGACGAACACCCCTTATCAAGCGTTCATCTTCAGTCCAATTTTAGGAAATTTAAAGAACTACGAAGATTTGCTCGGAGGGATTGTGCGTAACGAAAGCGGGCACGTTATTAGCGCTAGTAGTTTGCACACCTTTTATATGGTGTATGTAAACTTTTCGTCCGTCGACATGGATCAAGTTGGAAATATGGCAGGTACAGCCGATTGGGTAAATCTCCAACATGAGACTGTTTCTTTAATTCTAGCGGTTGCTACTTTAGGCTTCCTTGGACGCGCTAGAATGGGAGAACGGCTTTAATGCGCTACTTGCAAACATTTCGAAAAATGGCACCGAGCTCGGAATTTATTATTCGGCCGCGAGAAGCTTTGGGGATCTGACGGCCGAGTCCATGTTTCAAGATATGGATATTTTGGTGGTGGGAGTAGCCATCATGATTTTTTATGTACAGTTTGTGATATCGAAATTTAATTGCGTGGAAGCCAGAGTAAGATCATTTCACGTGACTTCAGTAATCGTATATGCCTTTCCAGATTGTTTTGGGGTATATGGGTTTATTATCAGTTGGAATGGCTTGCATTGTGGCTTGTGGTTTATGCTCACTTGTAGGGATCTCATATGGCCCTGTTCATACCTCTTTGCCGTTTCTTTTAATGGGCTTGGGTATGATAACAAGGTCCTCGACTTTTGCCTAACATTTACTTTTCACCCAGGGGTGGACGATATGTTTGTGATAACAGCCTGCTGGGAGGAGTTGGCATCTGAAACGAAACTCTCATTGGAGCAACGAATCGGTTACATGTTAAAGCATGCGGGTGTGTCGATAACAGTGACAACAGTTACAGATGTGATGGCATTTTTAATCGGTTCATCTACCGTTAGTAACACTTCTGCTAGTAACAGCTCCTTAACAGTTCCTCTTCGCAGATTTTACCGAGTTTACAGTCGTACTGTCTGTTTGCAGCAGCTGGCATCCTGATGACATTCGTGTTTGTGGTCACATTCTTCATTGCCTGCTTTACCTTGGATCAAAAGCGAATATACGCCAACCGTAACGGGGCGTTATTCTGTTACACTCACAAAGATCACACCAAAAATCAGTGTAGCCAACGTCAAATATCAAAGAGCGTATTCAAATTCATATACTCAAAAATCATATTTACGCTGCCCGGAAAGGTACAAACACTAAAGTAATTTCAACACTAATTCCACAATTTATAGATTCTCGTCATGCTAATAACAGTAATATGCCTGGGCTTCAGTATCGAGAGTGCTATAAGATTAGAGCAACGGTTCGACCCCGAGTGGTTTCTTCCACAATCGAGTCACTTGACTGCCTATCTGAAGAAAAAGGCCGAGCACTATCCGACAGTAGGGCACGAAGCGGGAGTTTACTTTGGCTCCTTGAACTACACCAGTGAAATTCGTAACATCAAAAACATAGTTCGACAATTGGAGGAGAGTCCCGAAATCGTTGAAAATATCCACTCGTGGGTGGATCCGTTTAGAGACTATGTCAAGATGAATTTCAAAAAAGGTACCATTCACTTGGATTAATCTTAAATTAATAGACTTATTGCAGACATGCTTGAAGAAGCTCTCGGTGCAGACGAGTTCAACTTATATTTATCCAAATTTCTGTTCAGCCCAAACGGCGCAAGGTTCCAGGCGAACTTTAGGTTTACGCACGATCCCGAATGCGGTACGCCCGCTAGTGACATTACTGTAAGTCCGACTGCCACGCTCGAAAGAGTAGTTGACTTGTTTCTAGATGTCCAGTATCAATTTTCGATTGCGACACTTTGACGGACCGAAACAGTATTTACCAGCAATGCACGAAACAATAGCAATTGCGAAGAATAACAATTTCACTTCGGGCGATCGTTTCGCAACAGTTTGGTCGAAAATATTCTCAACATGGGTTACTGATGAGGTAGGCAACCGACAGTACCCAAGTACTTAAGATTCATTTGCAGCTAATAGACGTGGAGGTAATGAGAAACTTACAACTCGCGCTGTTGTGCGTAATGGTGTGCACGATTCTTCTAGTTGCGAATTTGCAAATGTGCTTTTGGATTTTTATATGCGTCCTCGTGACTATGGTTAACGTATGCGGATTTATGCAACGCTGGGGGATTACATTGGATACGGTTTCGTGTATCGCATTAGAGTTGGCCATCGGATTATGTGTTGATTACGCAACCCATATTGGCCATACCTTCCTTACCATTCAAGAAGGAACTCCACAAGAGCGCTCCCTCAGAACAGTTGTCTCAATCGGTGCTGCCGTCTTGTACGGCGGGTTATCAACGTTTATTGGTCTCTCTATGTTGGCGTTATCGCAATCGTACATCTTTCAAGTATTTTTTAAGGTTTGTCGATAACACTCGATTTTGACGCAAGTGAATAGTTATATTTGCAGATATTTGCGTTGGTGGTCGCATTTGGTATGTTCCATGGCGTTGTATTACTACCTGTGATATTAAGTTTTGTTGGCCCCAATCCTTACTTTGCGCATAAACTTGTTCCTCAAAGTAATGACGTGATTTAAATTAAATAAAATTAGTATTTTGTTTACTTTTACATACGTCTGTATACCCTACTATGTTTAGTCACTTTTCACAACCCCCACCTTACTTTTGTTGAGCGTGAAAACCATGTTAACACTTTGATTTTGACGACTAAGTAGATAACTGCATATTTAAAATGTGTATTATTCGTCTCAAAATTGTTTTACATTATGCAATTATTGTATTGTCGAAATTTTTGAGGGTGTTAGTGTTTCAGAAATTAAAATTTTTAGATACACTTCCTCTCAAAGAGGAACTGGATTTATATGACTTCAGGTTTCCCTATGTCAAGGTGCGTCTTTGTTGATAATGAATTAATTTCTTCAGAAATAAAAGTTCATCAGCTTCGGTGCGGCTTGGATTCACGCGTAAAACATTTTATTTCGTTCGAATACCTTTTGTAAGTTTAATTTGTGCAATGGTAATGGGAAATATTATTTTGCCGTCGCCTAAGTTTGCAATAAAAAAAACCACGCACATATATCGCGTGTTCCCCTCCGGTATTCCCGCATCGGTTTGAGTGTATCTTAAGGGAGTGGCGCCTCGTATTCGTCATTTAACTTACTCGCGATTACTATGAAGCATTACACACTTTTACACATATACAAATTCCAAGAAATTTAAACGCCCTAGCGCGCTCCCGTTACAAGCTAAAGTGCATATTTATTTCGTTGACACGGATGGTAAATATCCCGTAACCGGGCGTTAGTCTGATAGGGGCCCGAACGGCCAGGAGACGACCGCAGCAATTGTTTTTAGCGCATTTCCACAAAAATAAAAAAAAAATGCGCTATTGTAGCCACTTTGTCCGTCCGTCCGCTCGTTTTGCGACGCTACTAGTTCTTTATCTTAAGAGCTATTGTTCTACTTTTTTCGCTATTTGGTTCGTTATGGTGTCGAGGCTTGCACCAAGGAAGGAATTTTTTCTGCGTTTATTGCTAAAAAAGTTATTGTAAAAAAACCAACAAACCGTTTTTTACATGTTCCATAATTTTCAACTTTTGCCGTTTATTAACCATCCTAGAGATCATTTATAATTTTGTATTGTTGTCTGTCGTCTGTCTGTTCCTTTGCCTGTCTGTCCCTCTATCTGTCCGTGTGAACGATAATTTTGTTTAGAAATGTCCGATCGCTTTTACATCTCCGTTAGTTATGAACTGAATTGCATGAAATTCAACATTAGCCATATAATACGCAATGCCAAAAGTTGAGTCGAATCGATTCAAAATTCACAGTGCCCTTTTCGCATCTCGACCATTTATAAACCGAATTGCAAACTTTTTTTGTTATAAAAGTATTTGAATTAAATTTGATACATAGGCACTTGGAATAAAGGAAAATCTCTAACGCCAGTTTCAAAATTTGGTTTTGCGCATGCGCAGTGCCAACTTTTTTATTTATGGAAGAATTTAAACGAAATTTGATACATAGGCGCTTGGAATAAAAGAAAATCAAATGCCAGTTTCAAAATTTGTTTTTGCGCATGCACAGTGCCAACTTTTGTATTTATGGAAGAATTTAAATGAAATGTGATACTTAGGCACTTGGAATAAAGGAAAATCTAGCGCCAGTTTAAAAATTTTATTTTGCCCATGCGCAGTGCCAACTTTTTTCATCTATGGAAGCATTTAAGTGAAATTTGATACTTTGGCGCTTGGAACAAAGGAAAATCTAACATTAGTTTCAAAATTTAGGTTTGCGCATGCGCAGTTCCAACTTTCTTATTTAGAAAAGCATTGAAATGAAATTCTTCTTATAAACTGAAATTGAAATAGCATGTCAAAAATGGATTGCTCATGTGCAACGCTATCTTTCATATTTGGGGCCGGATTTTTACGATTTTAACAGAAGTTGCATCTTACAAATGGGAAATGAATGCAAGTGGAAATGCGCTTTATGTAAATCGTTTACGATTACTTTTTAACTTGTTTGAATAATGATCCCAAAGCTTGAACAGTAACAGTTATTTAATCAAGTTATATGATAAACTTCTGCGAATAAAACAAACACCCGCAGAGAGGGGGGGGGGGGGCTTTAATGAGTTTGCATGCAACCATAATTTGGTACACAAAAATACAAACTTTGTAATGACCCCAAGGCGAACTGCAATCTTAACTTACCCTATAAATCGGTGGTGTTTATTAGGGTAAATTAGGCCACGCTGAACGTAATTCAAACATTTATTTTGAAGTCCACATATTTCGAGTGCTTATCGCGACTTTTCCTCAGTGGAACCACTGTGTAAAACATATAATTTAAGCAATTATAATAAAATTAGAGAGTACTTACAATGTGAGATGAAAAAAAGTCCCGATTCCCTAACGAAGGCCGATTACTTCCCGTCAATTAGTTACCCTATATTTACACGATACGTTCTACATTGAGTTCTTTTTATGTGTTGGGACGTGAGACATAATCGGGAAGAGAATTGAATAATATGCAAGATAAGAACAAACAAAATATACTACACACACAACAAGGTGATACCAGGGAAACCTTCTTCGGGACAAAAACCCCGGCATAGCTCACACAAATACATGAAATAATTCACGGAAAACGCGATAAATCAGATCAAGTACAAAACACATCTACGGTTCAATTTATGCAAAACAACTCGTATAATGGTAAATTGCAGGTACAAAGGATTAAATTATCAAGTCATTTAACACCGAAAGTGACAAATGCCAGCAGTACCTATTCATGTTAAAATTTATCATCGCACATAAGTGGGAGACATGTTAAATAATACGACCCCCCTTTCTCATTTTACCAATGACAGTGACCTTTCCTTGATCTCTTCGATATCTGACGATGTAGATCGCAATTTAATCCGCTAATTAAATTGAGAATTGAGAAAAAAACCTCTCGGGCGAGGGTTGTGTAAAGTCGCGGAGCACGTTATAAAATTAAATCCTGAGGTAAAGCCTATCATTTTTGTGTCGATTATATACAAATAAGTTTTTGCACAAAAAAAGACGCATACCCCCTCCCATATATTTCTTAAATACTAGATCAATTGAGAGATAATAATGTGTAGAGCTGTAGACATTAAATCCGCGTATATCTGGCAGAATTAAACCAAATCACGAGAATGCCGTTTGGGCTTACAAATGCCACCGCTACGAATTTGAATAATTCTACACATTAGTTAGGGAAGTTTATTTAAATAACTAGCTTAAAACATACAAATACAATAAAAAGCCTATAAATCCTATTTAGGTATCATCTTCGTGGGCCAATTCGGAAGAAACATCACCTTGATCTGCGGGTACCTCTGCACGTTCTTCGGTTTCATTAATGATGTTATTATTGTCTTCGCCCTCGATAATAATTTCTTCGGGATCAGGTGCACGTGGAAGAAATTCCGCATTGCTATAAATGCGTTCGAAGATTTCCTTAGCCTTAAAATGCCTCGTTAATATCTGACGGCAAGCTTCAGAGCGTATACCCTTTCTATCGCCGGATCGTAATCCAAATCAAGATCCGGACCGGGACAAACGTACGTATTCAACAGCTTCTCGCATTCTAATTTTTGCGAAAATGTATTCGGCGCCGAAAAATAAAATGACCACAATATGCTCGGGGAGGAGTTCGATTCTCCCTCCCTTTTACAAAACAATTTCTCGACGCAATGCTTCAGGTCGTCTTCCGGATTTACAGTTTGTTTGGTAAAAACGTGAACAATATCTACAAATAGAATTTGTACAACCTGAAAGGCGCGGTTTAGTGACGTATACGTAGGCCCTTCGGACATGTTCCGGTCAAAGACCCAAGTTCGAGAACTACGCACGCAGCCTTTCGGTCGACTGGAGGAAAAAGTAATAATGTTAAATGCTCCCTTTCGTCTTCAAGTATCGATCTAGAAGAATAAATTGCTAAGAACTGTACGTCGGCTGCTTAGTCTTACTTGTCGGTAATAAAGATTGCGCGCGAAATGTATTCTGTAGTCGAAAAATCGACTATTTCTTTGGGTAGCTTTTCAAGGCTCATTACCAAGTGTGTTGCATTAATACGTTGCTTTCCACAAATAATTCCCTTAAAAGTATTGTCGTTATCGTATATAAAGCCGTTAAGAGACTGATTTAGAGCGTAAATTCCGCCAAAAACAGCGCTCAGTCTGAAAAATTGTGGATAGAACAAAGTGTTTTTAAATTTCGATGTTATTGTAGGGTATCTACTTTAAGGATCCGTTACCGCCTTCTTGTAAGTACTAAGTAATAGTGTTTTGACCAACTTTTGATTTATGATGATTAAATGAGGATTAATCAATCATTAATTACTATCTTTGTCCATTGACGTCCATGATTTATAACATTTCTGGTCACAACATTCATTGTTTGACATGAAGATTGAAGATACCAAATAAATCAGGTCCTAAAATGCATCCTTGTGAAACACCGCCATTGATATCCAAATACTTCGATATTTTTGTAAGTGACGACTTAAGTCTGTACCAAAATTACATTTACCTAATGGTCATGTTTAACAAACAAATTACAAAAGGTTCCATTTTTAAGTAAGTATGCCATGGTTTAGGCGTAAAAATAAAGCGCGGTGTGAGAATTCTTATTTTCCACAGCACGCTTAAAACTTTTGAAAATGCACTTTACATTTTTTTCAATTATAATGAACTGTAAATAATGATTCCTTTCGGTCCATTCCTTAACTTTAACAATCCTGAAATTCCGAATGCGCACATGCGCTCGTGTCACCTAAAAGTGGACGCGCATGCGTACAAAGTAGAGCTATGACATTTTTTTTAAGTATAGGTAACACGTTACTATACATTTGGTTTGCCTTTTAATTAGGAATGTGGACCTACTGAAAATAATGGTTCCAGTTCTAACACTTCCATGGCAAAATTATTTATAATGGATTCGGTTCGGGTTCCAGTTCTCTAGAAATAATTGTAAAATTCCAGTTCCGAGTTTTTCAGATTTGTAACAGTCTTTTATCTGTTCCAAACAAGGGTCAGAAAGTAATAGTGTTCCCTTTCATAGTTATAACAGTTCCAGTTATTATGAGCACTATTAGATGATGTTTATCCTGTTCTTATTCGGAATGGTTTTTTCAATTTTTTCAATTTTTGAAAAGTGCTATCACAAGAAAAGAGCACAAGGTACCCTCTAGCCATTTTTATTAATTTCATGATCGTACAGGGGGGTTTATTAGCGTCATTTACCCCACTCCTCTTGTAATTTACTCTCTTTAAGTTGGTATTAAAACATCAAAGCTAAACTTGGTTTTTGAAAATGTCCATTTTAGTTGTCGAGCCAGGAATTGTAGTTGGACATTTTTTTTGAATTTTTAAAATGTGCCCAGCTGAGATCTCAAATCTTCGGACAGATAGACAGAGTTTAGCTATATGTTGTTGAATAACTATGCTAAAAACACTACTTTCGTGTGTCAAAACTCTACCACATTGATAGAATGCAATTTTAGTTCAATTCTACAACCTTCCTCCGAGATCGCCTACAATAACATCAAAAATGAATCTCATTCGAGGAACTACCTGCAAAAAGCCTGCGTGATTTCCCCACTGCCATACATCGAATACAAAAATGGAGTTTTACCAAATCGGCCCAAACTTCCAAGAAAGCGCTTAGTCTTTTCCACGCCCTCCAAGCATAAAGTATCGTCAGTACACATCGCAATCGCATACAACACATAATGAATTAAATTCTCAGTTAACTTCCGATCTTTTAAGTAACTTTGGAATGTTTTACCCTCGTAACCTTTGAACTCATTTTCGTCACCATCGACGCACGAAGTCAGCAACTTCATCAACATGCGCTTCTCGATGACCGACACTCTGTTACTCGAAAATACATCGGACCTCGAGCACGGCACTATCTCTAGGCTCCCATTTAACCACGTCAGAATGCGGCTGACACTCCGAAATTCGGAATAACGTGCGATATTTGACGAGATCAACAACTCCACGAAATCGCCCTTGGCAAAGTGCAACTGCAAAATTGTTTGTAAATATATCGCAACAGATTTCGAGTTTTAGACAGCTTAAACGTGTATTAAGAGCCATAGAAAGTATCTAAGATACTCTGGAAAGAACTAAATAGCACCTCAGAGTGGAAACGTTAGTTTTTCAAAAATAAAATACAATAAGCCCCTTTTACACAAATTCCACCCACCTTAGGCGCAAGATCGATGTTGAATTTTCGAGAGATCTTCAGCAATTTCTCCTGCGTCCACTCGTGCTCCTCTTGTGCGACCGCACTATCCGATTCATCCACATCTTTTTCAGGATTCGACCTGCAATTTAACAATGAATCTGCTTTGATTAAGTGCACAATCAATTACTCGGGAATGTGCCATTTCTGCGAGTGAATCCTTAAATCGAAAACATCATTCCCAACCGGATATACTATCTCGTTCTCCTTATTCTCCACTACTGGCTGAGAACGATTACCTTCGGGGATTTTGCTGATGGAGTCCAAATTGAATGACGCCCACAATCCACCGTAGTAAGAGTTGCTGCACAAAGCAAAGTTAGACTTGGTAGATCGGAATGTAAGATTACCTGTCGATGTGAAGAACGCGTTTTCCAATTCGGCTGGCGGCAGCTGACACGATTGACTCGACCATTCCTAAAGAAACCGATGAGTAATTGTTAGTAACTGGCAGGGGAAAATTACCTGTCCCAACGACTATTATATCAAAATCGGAGGGCAAGTCGTACTCCATTTTGACGTCTTTTGCGCGGTTCAGTCAGTAGAACACAATTTGAATTGATCCTTTCACAAGTAAAAAACAAAAAGTTTGAGGTTAGGTTTATGACAAGCACCGCGAGCTAAAGGTGGAGGATGTGCTAAACCGCGAGCTCGCCGCTCATCATTGATTATATACATTTATGAACAACGCGCTTTTCTACAAAACTCTAGACCCTATTTTTAAATTTTTCCATTTATAAAGAATGCAACATTTGTTTACATCTTTAATTAAAACTTTACACAAAATATTACTCAATTAGGTCAAATGATTTAACGTAGTTCAAAACGATCGTAAGCGTAGTTCCAACGGTGGTAGAAAAAACAATCAGCTGTTGGAGATGTTTTCAAAGAAAAAAATACAATAAATCCTTTTTAAAAAATGGAAGAAGTAGACAATATCATTATAGACGCCTTACGAAATCTGTCTTGGTAAGAAGGACCTTGTGTTACGCTAAAATAACTTCATGTTACAGTAATATCGATGAAAATGTCAAAAGTCTGAAAGAGTTCACCACCGAAATGGTGTTTTCATCGATGTCGCACTGTCTCGAAACAATCTTACCTGATATCAGCTTGCCAGGTAGCCTTCCGCAGTCGATGAGTCTACGTCTAAAGCATGCCACAGCGATAGCGGAGCACATTAAGGGCTTGGGATACAGAGGTGATATGGGGTATCAGACGATTTTGTACTGCAACGAGATTGAAGTACGTAGAGTACTCATGTTTTTGGTGGAAAGACTTCCACGTGAGACACACAAAACTGTCACAGACGAGCTTGGTACATCGTCCTCGTGTCCTGAGCATCACTAATGTTAAGTTGTAGGATACGTGCCACGGCTCGTGAAAAAGATCGAAGAAACCATTCGTCTGAACCTTGAAAAGCCATGGGTACCATGTGATCTGTTGAGGCAGGGAGTGCGCGATTGTGGAAGTGTCGACCTAAAGCTAGATTTTGGACACAGCCCAAGGTTGCTAAGCGAAAGAATTCAAGTGCCAAACTTACAGGACGAAGCAGTTACAGAAGGTTGTAATGATTATCTCTTAATCTACTGACACTTCACTTTTAGCATTAAAGCATTACTGGATTCATCATCTTCCTGACGTTTCGCGCCAATGTGCCCCACACAATTTAATTCCCAGTCTTCTCTACAACGATAGCAAGTTTGTAGGCACAGTTGATTTTATCAAATCGCCTGAGAACAAGGAGACAAGTTTAAATGTGGTGGATGGCGTTGAAGAGGTTCCAAATGCAATTGTAGCACCTTTAGTTGTAAATGAAGTTGTTGGACACGGGGAGGAGGACCATTTTAGGGATTTACATAATGAACTCGAAGATTATAAACGCAAACACGAAGGGTTGGTGAAAGTTTATAATGATTTGGAGCAAGAGTCTAATAAGGTAGGAGAAGGGAGGGCATACATTTGCCTCCAAAATTTTGTGGATTGTGTTAATTACCTCGAAAGTTCATTATACAGTGTGTCTCCTAATTGCTTGTCTTTTGTAAAAGCAAAAAAAATGCCAATTGAATTTCTGGGGATCCGCCCTGTTTGGTTGGAAACTAATTTGTGACAATTTTAGTTTCGAAAAATCAAGGGTGCCTTTGAAATTTTCAAAAAACGTTTTTGGTATACAAGACGGGGACGAGATATGCACAAATGTTATTAAGAAAAGTTGTTTAGATTGAAAAACTGAGTAAACATGCAAAATTCAAAGTCCTAGGCCTATTTTGATTTTTTTTATGTTTTTGTAACTGAATTTTTTTAGGGAATCTGAAAAAATGTAACTCAAAAATAGTGTTCAAAACAGAATGTAATGACTGTGTAGCAAATTTGAAGCCGTTAGGAACATTTTTTCAGACTCCCTCAAAAAACCGAGTTAAAAGATAAAAACATAAAAAAAAACAAAGTAGGTCTTGAACTAGAAGTTTTTCCAAAAGATTTCCCTACAAGTAAATTCAAGTAGATTTTTACTAATGTAACTTTTCCTGGTTTTTAGATTCTAAAAATTGAAACCTGTATTTAAAAGTCATAAGAAGTTCAAACTAAGAATCCTAAGATGCAAAAATCTTGGAATTCTTCAATTTGAATTTTCCACAATATACTCATTTAAAACCTTTTTTTTACCAAGAGGTGATCAAATAAAAATTCACCTATCAAGCTTTTTGAAATTTCAATTGAAACCTTAAATTGTTAGTATCAAACTTAAAATTTTGGATTTAAACCTAGAAATAAATTTTGAAGTGTGAGTCAATACTTCGACCATTCCAGTTACTTTGAGTAAAATTCCCTCTTTTCCAGACTAAGGAAATGCGTAACAAAAAAGAGCAAGTATTGAAAGAATCGGTTGCGAAAATAAAAACCAGATCAAAAACAATGGCGGTATTAAAAAATGACGATAATCTAATCAAACTAAAGAGTCTGGTAGAGAATGGTAACAAACGGTTAGTCGAACTGGCCAACCATTGGAACGATATACAGACGCCATTATTAAAGGAATATGAACAACTGCAGCAACAAATGAATACGCAAAAGGTAGGAAAACACCTCCTTTGCACATTCACAATTTGCCATCTTTCAGGCTAAACTTCTCGGTGAAGAACAAAAACTGCAGAATGTGAAAACAAAAAAGGCAGAGTTGTTGAAGGAGTTGGCGGATAAGGAGAAGCTGGAACGACAGTTACTGCAAGAGTGCGAAACGCTCCACAAGAACACGAATCGGTAGGTATGACCAGATCAAAGCTGCTTAGTACGTGGGGCGTTGTAGGTCGGCCTATACCAGAAGAATTTTGGAAATAATCGGAAATATCAAGAAGCAAAATGATGACATAGACAAAATTTTGTATGACACTAAAATCGTACAGAAAGACATCAATAACCTAAACGGACAGTTAGATCGTTCATTTACGCTGTCAGACGAGCTAATATTTAGAGTAAGTTAAGTCGATACGGTAACCAATTCATGATCGCTGGCTCTAGGATGCAAAGCGCGATGAAATGTCACGTAAAGCCTACAAACTGCTGGCAACGTTACACGGCGACTGTGGGGAGGTGGTGCAGGCCGTGACCAATCTGGGTTTGGTCGAGCGCGAGTGTAGAAACTTGCAAGAGCAAATTGACGCTGAGCTGCTTAGGGAAACTGGTAGCAAGCTCGAGCGGTTAAATGCGGATATCGCAGCAATTAAGAAAGAGAATGCCGAATTGGAAAATAAAGAACATTAAACTATTATTGTCTCCCTTTATTTTCGGGCTTCTCTTTTCCAAAAAATAAACAATAAGTGAATTTTTGGACTACAACGCAAAATGTGCCAAATTCTTGACACACAGTTTCCTAGGTCAAACGAAAAATTGCGTTTTTGGAAGACTGTCTTCAAAAAATGGTACGTAAGTGTAGGGAAACATGTTTCCCACGAAAGTTTATTATTTTCCGATGTAGAAACTATTATAGCGTGGTCAAAGTACACATAGAGCTTCACAAAAATAAAAACCTCTTGAAATTTCAAATTTGAGTATTCAAAAGGGTTGTGCTTAATATGAAAAATTCTTTACGAAGATAGGTATGCAATTTTCCGGAAAATTGTCGAGTGAAAAATGTTGTTTTTGTTTTTTCACTCTAATTGTTTAAATATTAAATATAAGGAAAAAAGTTTCAATTAAAATTTGTAGCTGATGCATTTATCTACAAATTTTGTCTGAAAAGTTTTTCTGTAAATTGGAAAGTGTACGAGATATAATTGATTTCAGCGGAAGTCGATTCGTGGGTGCGCGCGAACGTTCCGTGAGCCGAATTTATTAAAGGCTTGATTTTAAAATTAATAATTTGAAGGTTGTAATGCACTGAAAAATGAAACAAGACGCTGCTCCCCTTGAAATTTTAAATATGATCTTTTGTAACTGCAAGACTGGTTGTAAAAAGGCTTGCGCCGGCTGTAGAAAAGCTGGGCTACCTTGTTCACCTGCATGTGGTCACTATCAAACGGGAAATTGTACTAATTTAGAAAAAAACAACGTAGATATTGACGAAGATGCAAATAATGATGACTTAACGACGATCAAACAACTATAAATGGTGATAATCAAAGGCACTCAAGGTTCACATTTTGGGTATAACTTCAGTGAAGATGAAAATGATATTGAGTTATATTTGAGCTCGGAAGATGAATGATACTGATTGATTTCGATATGATTAATAAATGAAAACTCTACATTTCTACGTGTCATTGTTTATTTACTATCTTAAAATTAAAAACTTGAAAATCGATGTTGTTTAAAAATACTCTGTGGAAAATTTGGTAGGTATATTTCAAAAACTAATGAAGATATCAGAAAACTTTTCAGACAAATTTTGTAGGTATTGGCTATAATTTTTGATTTGAACATTTTTCTGTATTTTCATTATTTAAACAATTAGAGTGAAAAAATAAATAAAAAAATTTTCAACCAGTTCTTCCGCAAAATTGCTTACCTAAATTGGTAAAGATTTTCTCATATTAAGCACATTTGAATTTCCAAAAGGTTTATTTTTTTGCTGCATTTTACGAATATTTTGTGTACTTTGACCAGGCTATTAAGTTTCCTAACAATTAAGGGTCTACCGTACTAAAATCAAGTTGCTGTGATCGGATTAATTTTAAGTTATATTACAGCAGTTACTTCTATGAAGGCATCCTAAAAAGGAAATTTGAATTGGAGGTGTACTTTTTTGAAAAGCAGTCAAAAGTCAAAAATTTTGAAAAATCTTGAAAATCTTTGATGCTGGGTATAGAAAAATGTGGTATCAAACGACGTAGACTTTCATGTAGATTTCGAAAATGCAATAAAATACAGGGTGTTCTATTTAAAATAAGAAAGTTGTGGTCCAAATCCGGTAAAACCGAAAGTGAAACGATCATGATACCTAATATTTTCCTTCGATAGATAATAAAAAACTAAAAACGGTGTGCGTGAAACAGCCTGTATAAAGTAAAGCACTGCAAAAACGTAATTCCTTATTTGGTTTATATAGGGTGTACATTTGTACAAGTAAGTAAAAGTTCCTATGCATCAAATCAAGATCTATATCTGTCTCCCATAGCAAGGAGTAAACACGAAACGAAACTGGAGCACCATAAATTATTAGTCCTCGTGTGATATCGAAGGGACTTTTTGCATTTTTGTGTGGCAGATCAGTATTCTAGTAGCCAGTTTTGACTTCACCATCAATAAAATCTTGTACAAGGCTATACCCACATTCTCTTTGTTGGTACCCACTTCCTACGTCCCGTTCATTCTCAATTCGCGTTTGAAGTTTTGAAAGTTAAGAAACTTGAAACCGCGTACAAAATTCTCAGCGGGAGTTACGTTTTGGGCGCCCGAAATCGATTACCCCACGAAGACGCTCGCCTTGTATAAGGTGGTTAATTTTGTCCCTATAGGAAAAAAAAAACAAAATTCCGTCACGCAGTGGTTGTGCGTGTTCAGAAGATCTTTCCGACGACACCAATTTGAAAACAATCAGACTAAAACTGCAGTAGAAGAAGATAGAAAAAAAATGAAAAATCTCCAGGTTAGTACACCACACTCGGGGATGGCGTCCAGACGGTGCCGGCCCCCCATCTTGTAGCCCCGTCCCTAAAGTTGTTAATTACATGACCCCAGTATGTACATGTACACTCCTCGTCTTCCTACAAGCGTTGTTCTACTGGCCCGCAGTTGCCGCCAGCCAGCGGACCAAAGGTGCCTTTTTACAAATAAATTTGCAAAAATGCGCTAGACATTACCTCATCCGTATAGTTTCATTCAAAACCGTCTAATAAACAAGTCATCAGTCATTACACTTTTACTTTTAGTGAAACAAATTACACAAATGACAAATATCAAACAAATAAACAGTACAACTCCATGGAACCTCGTCCCAAGCGTCTTCGGTTTGTTGCGTATAGGTACAAGCGAGGCCTACGATACTTACAGGCCGGAGCGCTCGAAAAAGTCACGTGACGTTAGGAGTCATATGAAATACATTACGGCTTATGGAAAATCCGTGCGCGGCTCCACTATTTATTTTTTTACTCCGGATCCGTTCAACATAGAGCCACGAAATTTCAATGAGAGCTTGTCAATAGTACACACAATCAAATTATGGTGTTCGTTAATTTTTAATAACACTAAAAATAATTAATTTTTAGGTTTAAAGTATTGAAGATAAAACGATGTTAGTAAATCCGCGTTTTTCTATTTTTACATCATCATATTTCTTTTTCTAGGAACCTCCAATTATGCGTATATGATGCCTAATCTGATATTGGTATAGTTTTATAAGGCCCTACAAAATCGCGCATTTATTATCCGCGCAGAGAAAAATTCAACATGCGAGAAATTTTTTTGTTATTGCTATAATTGTATCACATATATCGAATGAATTGTGACCAAAGGACACAAAAATGTTCTTCAGAAGGAATTTTTAAGAAATGGTCTCTTGTTTCCTTTTTTTCAGCAGCTGAAGTGGAAAATCTCTGCCCCATCTTGAGAGTAGGAACGTAGTAGGTTACGTTTGGCATCTTGTTTTTAATGGCGGTCACGAACGCGTCGCTCCGTAAATGTTTTGTTGTGTTATTATAATAATAATAATTTATTGGCTTTCATACATTTCATGCGGATAGTAATTTTGCCTGGCAAAAACTGTAACCAAATGAGTTACGACACTTAATACCAGGGCTGATGACATTCAACTGAACGAACGAGGGGCGAGTTACATATCTCGGGGGCGAGATTCTGCTAATAAAAACTTCGGTTTAGAATCTATGGTTTCCCGGTACAGAACTGGCACGCCAGTTTAAGTATATCGAAATCAACACCCAGCGGATGATCTGGTACGACCTAACGGGCGATGGCAATAGCTGCCTCGAGCACGTAGGAACAGTTGTCCGGTTGAAGAACTCTCGGATGATCTTCTGACGAAGCCGACCTTCTTTTGGAGTTTCTACGCCAGAGGGCGAGCACGTGCGATATTGCGTGACGTCACACACACATACAGACGGAAATAAATTTTATTCTTTAAATGTTGCTTAAAAAATACGATCTAAAACGTCGACATTTGATGAAATTTTAGCATATATCCATAAAACGGTGATCGCAAAATACCTATATCTAGCTCAAGCTGGGGCTGAAGGGCCATAAGACTGATTGGTTACATTTTTACCACTCGCACGTTATGGGTAGGACGCATGCGCGAGTGTGGGGTTAACTGTGGTACCACAGCAAATTGTGAATGTTGAGTACATTTTTTTATTTTGCTCAGAAGCATAGATTGATAAGGGGACATGAATAGTCACTTGGAGGAGCAGAATACACTTCAACGTTATGCTTATAAAAATGTCGAATTAAAACAGGAGACCAATAAAAAACATACTATTTACAATTTAATATGCTAAACACTTTTCCGTTTGTACACTTCAGGAGGAATGTACTCCTCCTCGTCCTCCTTCATTTTTGGACCTCTCCTCAGCATCTTGCTTGCCTCTATCTCCTTTTTCTTCGCCTCGATTTCCAACTCGATCTTCTCCTCGTTCTCAAAGAACCAAAGCAACATTTCCTTCTCCTTCATATCCTTTTGCAGCTTTTCAATGTTTGACAACCTCTGCATTGCTAATAATCGTTTGTGCTGGTTCTCCAATGCTTCTTTCCTTTCCTTCTCCCACCGTACGTACGCCTCACATTGTACCGCTATGTCTTTCTCCGACATTTTATTAACCGCAGTCCGTACATTATCTTCGAGTATCCCGAGCTCTACACTTTCCATTTGAAGTTTGTCTACGCTAAACGTACCGAGCGCTTCCTCGGGTACCACGCTTAATACATTTTTGTAAACCACGACATTGTCCTTAACAAATTTGTCTATGACGCCGACAGCTTTATCGGGTTTGTAGAGCATTACGCCCAATAAATAAAAGGAGCGATTTAAAGAATCCTGAAACGGTCTGGCAATTTCTATGAGCGTTTTACCGACGATCCTATGAGGGTCTTTTAAGTCGAAATGCTCGTCGTCGTGAGGGTTCCGTACATATTTAACACGTACTCGCACTTCTTCCTCTGGCTCCTCTGGTTTAGGCGGCTGAGGCCATTCCGACGGATTCTGCAGGAATTTGAAGCAGTGCAGCAGGGACAAACTTGAAGATATCGGATGATTAAAGTCTTCCTGCAGCATTAATTGGCTAGCTACGCGAGCGCCCGATCTGTAATCCTTGCTCTTCCAAAAGGTATCCAGTAAAAGATTGGCCGTGTAGTGATCGAGAAATACTCCGTAGTTCAGCCGGTCGTCCAGAGTTTGAAGTAACTGATCCGTTTTGGCGAAGTTAGTAAAGTCTCGAATAACAGCATGCGAGGTGGAATTAAGCGTGTTGCAGGTGTCTGCGCTCATACGTAACTTATATAATAAATCTAGCAGCTCTTCAATGTAGCTTTCATCTCTAACGCTGTGAGCGAACACATCCACATCGACTGCATTTATGTTCCTCGTTCTCTGATACTGCTGTTCCAACTCATTGTAGAGCTCGTCCAAATTGACTTTTTCAAGTATCGAATCTTGGAAGCGTTGGTCCCATACTTCATTACAGTAATAAGCGTGGGATAAAAAGGTTCGGACTTTTAGCACGTTGACAACTTGCACCTTTAAAGTCTGCTTAAACACTTTGAACATTTTTGTTGAGATGACATAACATAACCTCAATCTCCCCGCTGCGATTGTGAGGTTATAAAGATGATAAACAACTTGGTTTTTCGTAAATTATTAAATTATCCGTTATTGGAACAAATAAATCATCTACACACTACGCGAATATTATCGGCTTGGTCACCGTTGGGAGATGGACCGCAGAAATGGTTGGCGTACAACAAAAAGATTTATCCTCCTCAAGAACCGCACGAGGAACGGAGACCGGCCGTAAGTATACCCTACAGTTAGACTTAATCCTATGTTTACGTAGTTTGTATGCCATCAACGCACAAACATAAAGTACAGCCCGTGGAAAATGTGGTACATTGCGAGTATGATACGAGGCATGTCAGTCGACGAGGCGATCAAGCAACTGAAGTTCGTCTTAAAAAAGGGCGCTAAAGACGTCAGAGAAACGCTAGAGGAAGCTAAAGAAATGGCAGTCAAAGAGCATAACGTCGAGTTTCCCAGTAATATGTGGGTTGGTATGTGCTGAACTACTCGAGGGTAGGAAAATTAAAAGTATTTCCGTAGCCGAGTCGCTAGTAGGAAAGGGAATTGTTTTTAAAGGGATGCGACGGCATGCTCGCAGAAGAATGGGAAAAGTGGAATATTTTCATTGCCACTACTTCGTCAGGCTTGAGGAAGGTTCTCCTCCTAAACATTATTATCAAAATGTACCGAAAGAACCAAGTGAAAAACTTGAGGAGTGGCTTCAGCAAATGAGAAGCCGAAAGATTATTAATTCTTTGTAAATCACGTTCCATTCTGTAACTAATTGGCGTATTTTTAATATATTAGAAGGGTTGCAAAATTGTTTTATTTATATAGGTCAGCGCCTAGTGTTACGCAACCAGCATAACAGTTTAAAAAATTATGTTCAAAGCCCAAGTAGCTTTGCCAAAGCTCATGATGCTAAATCTTACAATTTGGAGCGTATATACCTATTGTTCCTGTTTAGATCCGAGGTATTTAGACAGGAGCATGGGCAGTTACTAAATTGGAGAGGTCTCACATTAGCACTCCTCTTTATACTATCTTGTTATGACCAAAGACCAGACTAATTTTAGTGTGAATTGTGAAAGATCCTATTTGTAATGCATTGCTGTGGAAATCAATTATGCTTACGATACACATTAAAGTGCACATTTTAAAAGGACAAATGCACCATTTCTTGTTTTGCAAACACTCGCAGTCAAGTGTATGACAAGAGTATCATTTCCATAGACCCACTTTAAACACGACACAAGCGCAATTCTACATCATAGTCGCATTTGAACATTTTGTGACGAGTGTTGCGTACGAAGTCATAGAAAAACAGGCCACAAAACCAATTCAACTTAAGATAATTTAATTCCATTCTGTATGGTGTGAATAAACAATCTAAATCAATCATAAAGGTGTAATAAACAAAAATCCATTTACATCTTTCAAGTTGTATTGAAATATAAAGGGAATGTTTACAACTTCAATTTTGTTCTTCTCCAATGACGCCTTTTGGCATTGTACCTATAATTTAACAATTAAATTGGTGTAAACGACGAAATTAACACCGTTACCCACCTAATGGTATTGCCTGTACGTAGACGAACCCATTGCGGAATTGGTCTGTTTTGCTTTAGCTTTTTCGCTAATTTCCTTTTAATAATGAACGTTTTGTGTGCAGACTACAACAAAAGAGTACAATTTAATAAGTTTTTTAAGGGATGATTAATAAATTTATGGATAATTTATTTACCATTTTCGTGCCTTCACGATGAACGATAAAAAGACTAATACCAACAACCGGCTTTTAAGGTTACTAAATGGTTTTGCAAATGCAAAATCCCTAAATATTATGAAAATGTGTGCAACGTTGCCGCGTGTAATTAAAACCAGCATCTTGCATGTTTTGTGAAACTAAATTTCAGTAACTCGTAGGCGCTGGATGAAATAAATATGTGGAAATGCGGAAATAACATGCTTTAGTTGGGCGTTGTTACTGAGGGGAAAGGGGGAGAGCAATGTTAAACCTGTTGGCTCGAGAACAGAAAGAATATCCGCAGATGCCAAAGCCCTTCTTATAAGGTCGTTTAAAGCTGCGTGACAACCAAATCTTCCTGCACTCATATGGCCATTCGCTCCGGTACGGTCAACGTTGTGTCCACATTTGCATTGATGAGGGACATATATGTCGCATCCTAATCGGAGAACCACAACTGTGTAACATCATACCTATTGTCCTTAATGGAAAGGCAGTAAGCTTCTGATGGTGTTCTTAAAGCAAGAAATTTTGCTTTGTCCGATAGTAACCTTAAAGGAGACCTGGAAATAACAGATTGAGGGAAGGCCTTAGGGTCCATTGGGTCTCCTTATTGCGCGCCAACTTTCGGAAGTAGAGCACCTTTTCTATAAAACAGTAGGAGATATATAGGATTGCCATAAGAGAGGAAAGAGTTTCACAAAGGCACAAATGTTCTCGGTCCATTGAATTTGTTTATATAAAAAGAAATATAGTTTTAATAACGGTTGACAGGTTCTATTCAATCCACTTTTTTTAATGATGTCAATAGTGGAAAAAAGGAAATATTGCAACAGTGTCCCATGAAGTTTTAAAACTAACCTCAAATGTCAAAAATTCAAAAATCTTCATTTGACGTTTAAAACACGCGCTTCTTGGAAGTCCGGTAATTAAAGCAATAATTAATAATCAGAATGGAATCGGCGTTCGAGGTTTACAAAAAAAGATTTAAACAAAATGGCTCTGACAAGACTACCATGAAGAAGGCATCTTCCATAAAAAAGAAGAAAGATGTAATACAAAAACTGAAAGTTAACCCAAAAACCAAGGAATTCCTGATGGATTACGTTCAATCTTCCTCGCGGGTACTCGAATTGCAAGGTAGTAATGAAAAACCGGAGGCCGAGTCAACACCACTACCTCAACAGCCAACCGTCTCCGCAAACAAAGTCCGTAAAATAAAATCGAAAAAGAAGAAAGCCAAACTCGACGACTTCTCCTCGCAAAACATCGAACACCTAATAAACTCGTCTGCCGAATCCAACTCACCAAATCCCAGTGAGTCGCCCGATAAGGTCTTCGAGTGGCTAATTTCGCCGATACTTCCCCGAGAGTTTTTCACAACGAAATGGGAAAAAGTTCCCGTTCATATTAAGCGTAATCACGAAAACGTCTATGCCGAATTACTATCGACTAAAAAACTTCAAAGCATCTTTCTCGATAACGTACTTTTTTACACCCGGAACGTAGATGTCGTCTCGTACACCAATCACCAGCGGGAAACTCACAATGTGGAAGGCAGAGCCGTACCCGCAGCTTTATGGGATTATTATAAAAATGGGTGCAGCATACGAATCTTAAACCCGCATACGTATTGCAGCCAGTTGCATTCACTGTTGGCGACGCTGCAGGAGTTTTTCGGTTGTATGGTCGGCGTTAACGCGTATCTAACTCCACCTGGAAGTCAAGGTTTCGCCCCACATTATGACGATATTGAGGCCTTTGTGTTGCAGCTTGAAGGACGCAAGCACTGGAAGCTATATGCGCCATTGTAAGTATGGACCTTTAGCCCATTAACCGACTGACTCTGTGTTTCATACTTTATGGCACCTTTTATATCACTGGAATAAACTGGACATAAATTATTTACTTTCAGAACACCTTCAAAAGTTTTGCCGAGGTATTCAAGTCAAAACTTCAACAGAGACGAGCTCAGCAACAAACCTGTAAGGGAATTGACGTTGGAAGCGGGCGATTTACTATATTTCCCTCGAGGTACGATTCACGAGGGTTTCACCGATCCAGAAACGCATTCTCTACACGTCACAGTTTCTGTATACCAGAAGACATCGTATGTCGATTTAATGGAGCACGTCTTGAAGTACACATTGAGCACAGCAGCATCTGATGATGTCGAGTTCAGGTAGTAACGCAGTAGCTAATTGTAATTTCGCTCAAGTGTAAAAATTTGCAGAGAAGGCCTGCCCCTCCAATTCCTACAACATTCCGGGTTTGCGAACGACGACCGCGATAGCGAAGTACGGACGACGATGAAGAAGAAGGTGAAGAACTTGTTAATGAAAATGATCGATCATCTTGACATTGATTCCGCCGCGGACGAGCTGGGCAAGCAGTTTATGTGGGATTCCATGCCGCCGATTCCTACCAAAAGTGAGAAGGAGCGCATGATGATTTTAAATAGCGAAAAAATGGATAACGGGAAAATTTACGATAAAGTCGACATTAATTTAAATGTGGAGGTCCGGTTGTTACGCTATCATTGTATGCGGTTGGTTAAAGAGGCGGGTGAGGAGAATTTGCGAATTTATTACAACACTGACAATGCAAAGTATTATCACGGCGAGGAGATGCAATTTTTAGTTATTGATTATATGTATGAAGATGCGGTTAAATGTCTCATTCAGACGTATCCTAACTATGTCCAAATTGGCAAGTTGCCATTGGCTAATGATAATGATAAAATACAGATTGTGTCAGATTTATGGGAAAAAGGACTTATAGTTACAAAGACTCCCTTAAGTTATAATGGCGAAGAACCGTAGAATAAAAATTTGTTATGTTGATATAGTCACATTGTGTGATATTTGTTTAAATATTATTATTAATAAATCTTTGAAATTTTTATTTGTATTGTTTATATTTAAAGCCTTCTAAATATTCAAAATAACTGTGAATCCAACACTTCTGGTTATCGTATTAGTGCTATGCATAATGAAGTAACAGTTGCAAATCAGTGTGGTTTTCGGCGGTTATAAAAAAAAGGTTTGAGAAAACATTCTAAACATACTAGGTACAGGGTGATTAACTAAATTTTTGCATCCCCCTCTTTGGACATCGTGGAGAACTCGCAAAAAAACCCATTCTATTGCAATTCAAACTTCTCAACGTTAAAATCGGAACGATTACATGATTGCAGCAGCTGGCGATGGTGCGAAGCTATTCTTTAAAGAATTGAGCCTAGAGTTTATTTGATAGAACTACGGTTATAGAAACGGTAGTGAAATTGGCAGCGAAATAAGGCAAAAGTGTTACGCAGTTTGCAATCACGAAAAAATGTGTTGTTTGTGCGATCTTCGTGTGAAAGTTGTTGTAAAACGGTTCAGTTTAATGTACCTGTTATTGAAATTGTTCTTCCAAGGGCTTTAAATAAATTCCTATGCATAAGAAGTTACGAATTGCAAAAATAAATGTTTTCTGTTCATTGAGCATGATGTGTTGCCTACAAACCAGGCTACACAAATATCGAGTGCCCATATTCAAATTAGGGATTTGCATGAATCTCCCCAATCTGCCGTTTTTATTGAGGGTAAGGAGGGCCTCCACGAACGAAAGGCCCAGGGCTCCGAAAAACGGCACTGCATTTAAGGAATAATAAGTGCGACGTTGTTATTAATCGCATAAATTCAAATGAAATTTTAAAAGAAGTTGCGTACGTGGCGACATCTCAACTAGACTTCTAAAACTATATTTGATAGAAAGTGTATCGATTGCCATGGAGATGGCGCACTAGTACTTATTCTATTTAGGGCCGGTATTTCCATCTTCGGATAAAGTACTAGATTCGTACCTGCCAAATAACTTATACCGCCCGATATCTTCCGTTTATCTATCTGCGAGTATTTCCATCAGCGTGCGGTATAAATATATCCCGTAGATAGCTACCTAACCATAGCCAATGTTGCCGATTTTAGAAGTATGTAATAGAAAAAGATAGCGAACGGCAGGGCCATATATTAGAGCAAGATAGCTTACTACCTGACAATTTGAACGAATGCTTTTGTTTTGGAAAGAAATTCAGTGACTTGTAATATACTTGTCAAACGTAAATTACAGAATAAGCTTTACTTATGAGTACTCTGAACATGAACCAAAATCGTGATGTAAATGCACCGCGTAGAAAGAAAAGGCTAATTTCAGCACATCTGAAAATCGTGTGCTTGTGTCAAGAAAATCTTGATTCATTTGGAATCTAAAATAGGTTACCTATATCCTTCAAGAAAACATAGTATGTATTTGCGTACTTCTACTTCCATACTTCAATTTCTTTCTTCCTATTTAGTATAGGTACGGTTGGTAATTTCGCAAATTTTTGAAACGTCACCAGTTTACTGGAAATTTGACGCAATATCCTGGGGTTATGTTGATAACTGCAGAAAATCTACCCAATAACTTTATCTAGAACTTATCCTGCCGATAATATTTAAACGAGGTTCGAAATACCCGAAGCGACGCTAACTGTCGGTTTACCTGGAAGATATCTTATACTTGACTTTATCCCGAGATGGAAATACCGGCCCTTAATCTATCTATTCAAAAACCGGGCCTTTAAACTACAATTGCTCTACAGATCTTGCAAGACTCCGTACACTGCCATTTAAGGAATGAATGGAATGAACAAGAAAATTCAAAGGGCTGTAACTTTTGAACTAGTAGCCCAATCTTGGGACTGTTTGAAATTGTGGATTCTACAGGCCACATTCTATAAGAAAATTTTTTTCCGGGTCGATCTAAGAGAATTTTTTTTGAGGCCCGAAAAAAAGGCAGTGTATAACCTTCCTTTTTTACCAAAAATCGACTACACCAAAAGTTCTCGGGAAAACACTTTTTCTTATTAATTTTGGTGCGTAGAATCCAAAACAATTCGTACTTTTTCGATTAGACTTCTCAATCAAAAGTTTAGACTAGAAACAAATTTCGAAAGAAAATTCAAAGGGCTGTAACTTTTGAACTAGTAGCCCAATCTTGGGACTGTTTGAAATTGTGGATTCTACAGGTCACATTCTATGAGAAAATTTTTTTTCCGGGTCGATCTGAGACAATTTTTTTTTCGGGGGTCAAAAAAAGGCAGTGTATAACCTTCCTATTTTACCAAAAATCGACTGCACCAAAATTTCTCGGGAAAACACTTTTTCTTATTAATTTTGGTGCGTAGAATCCAAAACAATTCGTACTTTTTCGATTAGACTTCTCAATCAAAAGTTTAGACTAGAAACAAATTTCGAAAGAAAATTCAAAGGGCTGTAACTTTTGAACTAGTAGCCCAATCTTGGGACTGTTTGAAATTGTGGATTCTACAGGCCACATTCTAAAGGAAAATTTTTTTTCCCGGTCGATCTGAGACAATTTTTTTTTCGGGCCTCAAAAAAAGGCAGTGTATAACCTTCCTTTTTTACCAAAAATCGACTGCACCAAAATTTCTCGGGAAAACACTTTTTCTTATTAATTTTGGTGCGTAGAATCCAAAAGAATTCGTACTTTTTCGATTAGACTTCTCAATCAAAAGTTTAGACTAGAAACAAATTTCGAAAGAAAATTCAAAGGGCTGTCACTTTTGAACTAGTAGCCCAATCTTGGGACTGTTTGAAATTGTGGATTCTCCAGGCCACATTCTATAAGAAAATTTTTTTCCGGGTCGATCTAAGAGAATTTTTTTGAGGCCCTAAAAAAAGGCAGTGTATAACCTTCCTTTTTTACCAAAAATCGACTACACCAAAAGTTCTCGGGAAAACACTGTTTCTTATTAATTTTGGTGCGTAGAATCCAAAACAATTCGTACTTTTTCGATTAGACTTCTCAAACAAAAGTTATAGACTAGAAACAAATTTCGAAAGAAAATTCAAAGGGCTGTAACTTTTGAACTAGTACCCCAATCTTGGAACTGTTTGAAATTGTGGATTCTACAGGCCACATTCTATGAGAAAATTTTTTTCCGGGCCTCAAAAAAAGGCAGTGAAAAAAAAATTGTCTCAGGCCGACCCGGAAAAAAAATTTTCTTATAGAAAGTGCACTAAAAACCGTAATATCAAAAATTAACGATTTTTTATTACTAAGTATGCTTTTTTTGCAAACTGGATAAGCTCTAGACCCTAGAGCGTTCTCAATTTTTAGCGCATTTTTGAAAAAAATACGCTATTATATTCGTTATGGCTGGCCGGCCGGCTGTCCGCGTGAGATCTCAACAACTACAATAGCTAGAGAATTCAAATTTTCACTACAAGCTTTCTGCTATAGTGTAGATGTGCAGGCACTACTTAGTCTATTTTGAGTTAGATTACTTGTGAGATCAATAATTGAAGAAAATAATTTCGATATGGTTTTCGGAGGTGCTATAATTTTACCGTTAGATAGCGCTACCAGTATAAAAACTTATTATTTACTTTGTGATTTGTTTTACAAAATGAAGACGTACCGTCAATTGAAATTAAATAAAATTAATTATTTAAATTTAACGCAGCCAACATTACTCGTGAGATCGATAATTTTAAACTTCGCTAATAAAATACTGACCTGCATTACCAAAAATGCGCTTTAATCATGCATATGCTGATTTTCAACTTGTTTTCTTTCACATAGTGGAACCCTAGAACAATCTTTTCCAAAGTTTATCTACATTATTTTTGCAAATCGACCCAACCAAAACAGTGTTCATGCGTCGACGTTATGATTAAACGGGGGTTGGTTCTAGACCAATAGAATGGTGGGCATTTGGTCTATTGAAAATGCCCTTATTCCTCATCATAATCTCACCAGACCATATTATTTGATAAGTAAAATTCATACTCTCTTGGTCTTGGTATTTTCTTGTGTACGATTCGCAGAATGAGCGATGTCTTTCTAAATCGCCTGGTCTAGGTCCTTGAGAAATTCGGTATTTGTACGGATGTTTTTTTTGTAAAATACAATGTGGATTTGATTTTGGTATACACCAGCGTTTTGTTCAATCCGTCAGACTGATGTAACGGGATTCTCAGTGACGGCCAACAAAATATTTTGTACTGCATGTTGTAATTAGCAGATTCCAAACAAAAATGCAGTAGAATTGGTAGAATATCGAGGCTTCTTTAATTCAAAGTTAATAAGGAGATTCAGTTCCAATTCTAATATTTTTCTATTGTCAAAAAATTACAAGTCAACAACAATTTCTATAACAACCAACACAGTTTTTACAGCTACTATATGATGAGGCCTAGTACGCTTCGCTGCTCTATCTTGTGCATTTCACAATACTCTCAACACTGCAGGCTTTTGAAAGGTACTACATATATGTTTTAAGGTTTGCCACTAATTTGCTAAAAGTTGTTTTATTTGACTGTCTCTTTTCAGGATACTTATGCAAATACGAGTACATACGGCTGAAATTAAACATGTCACCATATCAAACTTCTCTCTTCGTTACAAAACATAATTAATCGAAAAAATACTAATTATTATATTGTAACGATATTTAATTATTGATATTTATTTGCAATTAACTAACAATTATTTTATAATAGTCTTAAAAAGGATTAATTTGTTAATTATTATTTATCACTCACTTATACACAATTTACAACAGTTGAAAAATCCACCCCCGCATATTATTTCGAGAACGGCACATAGTACCACGATCAAATTTACGTGAGAGCTTGATTAGAATTCCACAATTAATATTCAAGAGAAACATCCTGGTGTACGAGCGTCTTAGGGGTTGAAAAACTCACCCCCGTATATTACAAATTACAAAATTCGGAATTCAATAGGTATTCCTAAAGACCAACAAAGCCTCTAACAGGCGCTTAAGGTTCCTTAAATACTTTTACGACTTAAAAAGCTCTAACTGAAGTCTCATACAGATTCCACTATGG